TTGGCGTCGAGTCGCCAACAAACATCATTTGTTGTTTGCCTTCAGTCATTTGCTTCCGCCTGCTCAGCCAACTCTCTGATCTATACTTTTTCTTTTTCTTTTTCCTTGGTCGTTGTCCACATGTGATATCAAGACTTGGAGGCTTGACTAACGTGACGGGTTCACATCCATGAGTTCAACGAATGATTTTTTTTTCGGGACTGTTGAGCAATTCAGTCATCCAACATAATGCGAAAAAAGTTATGTATCCTACTTTAACTCGGAATGATAACTACGTTTGGCGGGATTTGTGCTTCCACCTTCCTCTCGTTTTAACGTTCCGAAATATCAAATACTGTTGTTTGTCCTGTCAGACAGCTCTGCACTCGTATCTTCGGTGACAGAGCTCAGGTTATGGACAACATCTTTTGCTGCCGATCATTCGCTACTTCTTAGCCACGTCAGCAATTGGAACTGTACGGACGCTTTATGTGATCTCCCGCACCCTTTCATATTTATCGTGCTTATTGTTCTTAGGTAGATGACCAATAAAAAATGGTTTAAATTTCCAAGTGCTTGGTGAGAATCGTGATTGCAGCATTCATTCGTCGTGAGTCGGCTACAGATGAACCTGCCTGTAGAATGGATGCGTATGCCTTGTTGACTGTTGTATCCAATGAGTGTTGCAACTGAGATGTTGCCGCCTTCTGGAAGCCATCGGTGAAACTTCGCTCTACTCTGCGCTGCGTCGCATGAACATAGGATGTTCTTCGCATCCATTTCTTCCTCTTGGTGCGCTCGCTCTCGCATCGCACAATCTAATATTCCCGAAGCCCGAGTTGATTGTGTCGATCTGCGTCTGACCACGTTCGCCAGACAGTTTCAAACCAAGAAATGACTCCGGTATTCTCGGCCGTGTGGATCTCGAAAATCTGGTATATAAGTGGTATTGTCCATAAAGATGCCATGTTTTCATTTGTTCAGTCCTTTTTCTCCAGTATGTTCCTCAAAGCCTCCCTGTTTGCTTGGGCATTGCAGGCTTCTGTGCTCCGAGTACGTGCAGCTAACTGCACCATACTTTTCGATGGAAGGATACCTCCCTCCGTTGTACCCGCTGACTTTGACACCAGCTCAAGCGTGTACGATGACCAGTTCGTGCGTGGACAAAGTAAGGACCATCTGAAGCGCATTAGTACTCATTTCGCCAACCTTCGGCTTTCTTGCAGATCAAACTTGGGCAGAAATAATCAAATTTCCGGACATTAATGCTTCTCTGGTGAATACGTTTGTGCGAAATTGAGGCGGCGGCTCACTTACCGTATTTGTAGTTTGATGCAGATGTTGGCGCAAAAGCGCTGGAGGTTACATTGAGGTGTGTTGATTTATTGTACAACCTGACAGCTCATTAATCTAATATTACTTCATCACAATTTCAGCGACGATTCTATCTTTGTTCCCGGAGGGAGTACCCCTCAGCTGGGCTTCCGCCGGTCGGAATTACTTCCTGCCATTAACAGTGGTACCGATGGTGCAGGGCACGACGACCGTCCACTGGTCTGTTCGTTCAGATACCACCAGGCCGTTGAACGTGTCACACGAGTACCAGGTATTCCTCCGTTGTAGTAAGTTGAAAATAAGCTATGCTAAGCGTAGGTTTCGTGAATTAGATCGTATTCCATGAGACCAACGACTTCTCGATTGATCAATTCATGCTGAAAACCGGGACTCTGTTTGGGGAGACGTTCAATGAGTCCGAGGCAAAGACACTCCGGCTCCAAGGCAGCCAAACAGTTAACCCCGAGACGTTCTTTACAACACCGTTCGACGACGATGTCTGGCATAACTTTGCGGTGACGGTTGGCTGGACGTCCAAGTAAGTAGATATAAATACTCTTTATCCTTTTCTGCTTTCCGACGAGTTACACCAATTTCAGCGACTTTACTGTATACTATTCAAGAGATCTCGATCCGCTCAGTGTCGTTAACACTACAACGAACGATAACTCCGGTCAGGGTCAGCAGCAGTTTGGTATCTTGAAACTACCGACAGGTGATTCCGGCATCGACGTAGTTCACGAAGGATTCCAGGAGAGCGGAATTAACGAAGGCCTCATATACGGAGGAATCTTTATTGAGAATAGCTCCGATGGTTGCGTGAGCCTTTCATAGATGCTAAGACTGGATACGCCTAGGGTGCTGTGTTCGGACTTAGCTATAAAAAGATCGAAATGAAATATGTAGCAGGATAAGAAACTTCGTATCTATTGAAAGATGGGTCTTGCTATCGAGTACATCTGAATGATCTTTGAGGACATTCATTACACGTTGAGCGTGTAGACTTGGCAATATGTTGGTTCATTTCTATCTATGACCTGGGAGATCCTTGTAGATATATACTGTAAGGAAGAATTCTTAAAACCAAAAAATCACCGATTGTGCATCTCGGAAAATTGATTACACAGACTGACTTGTAGCAAAAGCCTATGTGTGAAGAACCAATTGTGCAAAATCGAACTATAAGATTAGCAGTTGTCAATAATAAGAAGCAAAAGCACATATATCTATTAGACAGATATCAAAAAGACAACGTATTTCTATAATATGTCTCTGGTGTGAATCGAACACACGGCGCCACGGCCACAACGTGGCGATTTAACCACTAATCGACAGAGACCAAAGTCATTGGTTGGTAATGACAAGTATGAGGTATTCAAGGAAAACGAAATATAGCATCTACATACACATTACATACATATGTAAGGGATAAAACTACTATTGCCCCTCAAAACACTGATTCTGCCGTGACCACCTCTGCCAAGGAACGGCTTCCTGTGGAGAAAAGGACTAGTTATGATAAATTATCACACATGCTTCCAGCCCAGTGGATCAGCACAAGGGAGCCACAAGGAAGTTCCACTTAACCGACTCCGTCCACGTGTGCTGAGCGTCCTTGGCTGCATCATGAGCTGGACGAGAAAGGCACTAATGCGAGCGCGTACACCATTTGGAGAAAGGCAAAGAAGATAGGAAGACGTGGAAGACGTATGCACGTATGAGTTTGATACAGGGAAGCTAAAAATGAGCGTGGAAGCGAAGAGGATACATTCGGTAGCATTTTGTTTTTCGTAATGGTGATGCTTCTTTTCTTTCCTTGTAATTGGATACAATAAATTGAATAATGTTATGGAAGTCGTCAAGCTTGGCAAGGTGGCGGAGGCAGTTGAAGAAAGTCTCGGGTCCTGGAATCGCGTCACTGCCAGAGTGATTAACATTAGCTAGAGGGATGGATCAGCGATTCTCGAAGACGAGCTGTGCCACCTGTGCAGCAACTGCAGTGAATCGCGCGATTTACAGACGAAGAAGTAGCGTGCTATCTATTATTGCAAGGCATATGCACACGGTCATTGACTTCTTCTTTCCTCTACTCCACATGGCGAGTGCTATTCTTCTCCGCTCTTTTGTGCGAAATTAGCCTTCCATGGAAACCCAAGCCCGAATCGTGCGTCCAGCCGGATATAAATGTCCCCAGCCCACGCCAGTGCCAGCTCTTGAGGCGTTGCCAGTGACCTTCCTGAGTCCCAGCCGCTCTCTCTTGGTCTCTCTTGGTCTGCTCAATGCTCCGTTCAAGCACTTCCACCCTCTGGGCATTTCTCGTGTTTCCCGTTGTGTCCCTTGCAACACCTGTTGAAAGACGTTGGGATGACTTCGAGGTCAAACATGCTTGGATAGACGTCCCGCGGGGTTGGGTCGTACATTCCGAGGACGCCGCGCCAGACCATGTCCTTGATATGCGTATCGGACTTAAGCAGGATAAGTTCGACAAGCTTGTGGAGGAATTATACCAGGTTAGCGATCCGAGGCATGAACGGTTCGCATATGCTTTGCTTTCTAATTTCCAATTAGTAAGCTGACCGCCTGCGTGAATTTTCGCGATAGATATGGGGCGCATCTGTCAAAGGAGGACGTGGAAGACCTCATCGCTCCTCACGAAGATAGCGGTAAGTGATGGTGAGGCTGGAAACGGAAGTGCGGTTAATGTCGCGTGACCCGTAAAGCAGGCGCTCCGCACTTTCAATACACATATATCTCCGTCAAATCATCTCTTACCAGCAACCTCGTTTATGTCCGAATCTGATCAATATTCTCTTTAGTGAATACTGTCGAGGCATGGCTCACGCACCACGGCATCTCTCTCGACTCGGTCCAACGTTCGCCAGCAGGAGACTGGCTCACCATCTCTATACCAGTCTCTATGGCTGAACGCATGCTCTCCGCCAAGTACAGTGTCTTCCACAACCCTTCCACAGATAGTTATGTCGTGAGAACCACCTCATATTCACTTCCCTCAGCGTTGCATCCGCACATCTCTGTGGTCGCACCAACAACGCATTTCGGTCAGATGCGCAGGATGAAGGCTACAAGCTTCTTGCAGCCCGATGTACCTGCAATTAGCGATGATGAAGCTGCTGCACAGAGTGATGCGATTTCAAAACTCATACCCGGTTCATTAGCGGTTGTCCCAACGAGCTGTAACACCCAAATTACCCCTGCATGCTTGAGAGCATTATATAACACGAGCACGTACGTCCCGCAGGCAACAGATACGAATAAACTTGGTGTTGCAGGGTATTTGGATGAATTCGCAAACGATGCAGATCTCCAGGTATGTTAATTTCCGTCGAGCACTTGAATGAGATAGGCGCTCGAAAGGATTAACGTTGTTGACGTTGGCGTTTGCATTGCTGTGTTGTTTTTGTATTCGAAATAGACTTTCTTCCAGCGCTTCCGCACGGACGCGGTTGGGACGACATTCGAGCACGTTCAGGTTAATGGTGGTGGAAACGACCAGAGCGACCCAGGCGTAGAGGCCAATCTCGACATTCAATACACTGAGGGCATATCGTTCCCGACGCCGAACGTTTATTACAGCACCGGTGGCTCTCCTCCTTTCATCCCGGATAGCAACACGCCAACGAATACGAACGAACCGTACCTTGATTGGCTCAACTTCATTCTTAGGGTGGACGATGACGACCTGCCGCAGACGTTTACGACCAGTTACGGGGATGATGAACAGACCGTCCCATTTGATTTCGCCCAGACTGTCTGTTCGATGTTTGCGCAGCTTGGTGCGCGTGGCGCAAGCATCATGTTCAGTAGTGGTGACTTCGGTGTCGGAGGTGGCGATTGCACAACGAATGATGGTACCAACACGGTGCGATTTCAGCCGATCTTTCCCGCCACCTGTATGTTTTCATCTACTTAAACTGGAGCAAAATATAAGGTACTCACATTGCATTCTCGTAGGCCCGTTTGTCACGTCAGTCGGAGGCACAATCCGAGTGAACCCTGAAACAGCGGTCGACTTCAGCGGTGGAGGCTTCTCCAATTACTTTGCACGACCCGATTACCAGGCGGAAGCTGTACCGGCCTTCTTGGAGGCGCTAGGATCGCAGAATGCTGGTTTGTTCAAGTGCGTGATATTTTACCGTTCGTCTTTGAATGCGATTTTTCCGTGTCTCACCTTTCGAACTCTTACAGTGCAAGTGGAAGAGGATTCCCTGATGTATCTGCACAGGGCCAGAATGTATGTCGTCTGAGGAAAGGAATGTTTCAAATTCATATTCTGAACCCGTGGAAATTTCTCAGTTCCAGGTCGTGCTTGGTGGTCGCACGATATCCGTTGGAGGCACAAGCGCTAGCTCTCCTGTATGTCTTTAATATCGTCACTAAACCATACCGAGTGTTCTCAGATTTTAAACGCTTCAGACATTCGCCGGGGTGATTAGTCTACTGAATGACTTCCGTATTGCCGCAGGCAAGGCGCCACTTGGTTTCCTCAACCCTCTCCTCTATTCGACAGGTGTTGCTGGGCTGAACGACATCACCTCGGGTTCAAACCCAGGCTGCAACACAAATGGGTTTACTGCTGTTTCTGGATGGGATCCTGTGAGTCTTCGTCTTTTCCTTTCTGTGTTCCAACCTTCTCTACATCCTTGAGAACGAATTGCCGCATGTTCACTCGAGAGCGGGAGGCAGTGCACCTTTATGTCGTTCGGAGCAAAAATGTTGAAACACTTGTTGACAATTTTTGTTTTCGGTCTTTACGTTCATTTTAGGTCACCGGGCTCGGTACCCCGGACTTCGGCAAGCTGCAAGCGATTGTCGCGGATGCATAAATCCAATGAGTCGACGACTCGCGTGTTTTTTTTTTAACTTGGCGATCTTCGGCGTTTGGTGGAACGAGGAAATCGGGATTCGGGACTACTATTTGGACAGTTGCGAGACGGACGAGGTGGAAGCGAGTGGAGCTTTGCGAGGGGTGTACGAGATGGGAAAGACGAGGCCGGATCATACAACTCGCCCGACGGACTGAGTTGTACTGAGTGTAGTCTGATGCTTCAGTAGTATGTGTGCTGCATATCTTGTATTTTGGGGGGTCTTAGAAAGCGAAGTCGATTTTTCGAAATGACGCTCGAGATTAACTCCTGAAAGATTAAGCCAATCGCGACGACGTCAAGTTGGCGGAATCAAAGTTCGGAGACCGCATCACGAAATGAGGGTATTTACTAAACCGCTGAGGTATTAAGGCACTCGCGGCCTGTCGTTAGACTTTTCGGGTTTAGTTGATTTCACGCGAAAGTCTCGAATGAGGTTGGTCTCGATCGCGAAGGACAATACCCATGGCTCAAAACTCGGTGAGCTCAAAGAGACAAAGTGCTCGTCACAAAACCAGGGTGTTCCGAGTAAAAGACATTAGACTAGTGAATAAAGTCCGCCGAATAGTCGAGGTCTCTAGATCATGATGCCACTGCGTTATCTTCGGGTTTCACCCGCTAGTATTCATCTCTGGCCCCGAGTCGGCATATATCCCGCTCCGTGCGGCAACTCGTGGCATCAATATTAGTGTGCGGGGAAAGATACAAGCGCGATTAGCTTTCATCCACGTATCTATATCTCGCATCTCATCTCGCGTCTCGCGTAGAGCCTTGTAAAATGCGGTCGAAGGAAATTTGATCTTGAGGAAGCAAAACCGCATCAGACACCCATAAAGTTGTTTCGTGGCAGATACGGAGACTTCCGAGTAGGTTGTGGGGTGCATCAGTCACAATAACATGAACTAGTCTTGAGGTGTGCCCAGAAGCCGTACGAATTTGATGCGCTCACGTAGCATGAAAGCTGCTGATGGCTCACTTTCGCAACTCGTTCCGTCATTCCACTGTTCCACCGCTCGAAGCCGCTGAGCCGCTCATAGGTTTAACTCCATCACAAAGTCTATGCATGATTAATATGAAAGCACTAGCTCGATTCATTTGGTTTCCATGTGAAAATGGCTAGGTACTGATGTTTGAAACTTTGCAAAAGACTCCGCAGGTGGAATATCCGTACAATGAAGATTCCGTTTCCCATGAATAATGCTTGTGATTGCTTCTTCCCGTTCGGAATTCCTTAATGTACTAGTTTGGAACGGGACGATCATGCCGTCCTACGGGCAAGCGTCAAGAAATGATGTCGCTTCATCAGTGGTAACTTTTACCTAGTCGACGGATTTGTGCCTATCCGTAAGTGATGGAAAAATCAAGCGAGAACGCCGTCTCGATTGGACAGGAATTACGGTATGCTTCTAGAGTATTCGTACGAACCGGTTTCCACAGTAAAGGCAGTAACGCGCAGCTTCAAGTAACTCATCAACGATCCAGCTGCGACCTGCTTCCGGGATCCAGAGGTTGCTGGTGCTGGGCGGAGCTGAGGAGGTCATTGTTTCAGCCGATGAGCTTGCAATGCAAAGAGTGTCTCCGGCCGCCGTCGAGTTGTGGTTCTGTACACGGGAGGAGGGAGGGAGGAACGCTTTACGAGTGCACCCAGAGCAAGTACGGACTAATGGCGTTGAGAGAATAAATGATGTTATGGAACACCGTGCTGTGCATATACTCATCAGCTAAAGGAATGTCTCCAGTATTGAGAACTCCCCTACCCCATGCGTGGCCCATTGGACACACTGCCGTCAACAAGTTTTCAAGTGGGATCGGAGAGCTACACGCAGGGCATGTCTCAGTAAGACCAAACGCTTCTGGAGCAGCATCTGTAAATTTATTTTTGGCTAAGTCGCTTAGCGCTTGCGCCATTACTGAAAGGTCTGGTGGAGAGCCTTCCAACAGACTTTGTACAATGACACGCATAAGGAAGGGCAGCTCTTTTTCTGTTTTGTGACAAGACAATGCGATTAGGAAGTTCTTTTTTGGGGAACGCTCAGCTCAAACCTGTTAATGCTTCAATAACGGCAGTAAGGTGTCTGACGAGTACCTTCATAAAACGGTGAGATATATTGCCCAAGAGCGTTTGTGCTATTCTGCCAAATTGTTCTCGTATTTCTTCGCTTGGCGACATTTTCTAATGGTGCGATTATTGTCGTGAGCATTGACCAGATATGAGTAGAGAGAAAACTGCTCGTACCCAGCAATAGTCTGCGACAGCCAGTCGTAAGCGAAGTGAATGGTAAGCGTCCCAGCCATAGAAATCGATAGCGAGGCTTCTCCTGAACGCAAGCCGGATATCATCCGTTACTCTTCCAGACCAAGAGCCTATAGCACTTAGGGTCTCCTCGGCATGCAGACATGATGACAGAAGCTCCAACACTCGAGGCCAAACGGTATCAAAGGTCCTGCGTTGACAAAGGTGTAACAAGATAGGTCTTAATTTCGACGCCGGAGCATCGCACAGAACTACACCGGCGAATGGTCATTTCTGCTTATACTTTGTGTGCTGCGAAGACGACGGACCTGATCTCGGCTGGCGAAACATTTCCGTAATGTAATTCAAGAGCATGTCGTGTTCCGTTGGGCTTCGCCATAATTTCGCCACAATAATCATGCAATTATGCTTGGCATCGTGTTTGTAAGTGAAAAGAGTTGGCTTGCAAGTCCTGCGGTATTCGAAACAGAAAGCAACCTCCATTCACAACATGCTCATAGTCGAAAGGGGTATCAACGTACTCATGTATCCAAAGAATTGTCCCAAATCCATCGAAGTTGACAGCCCCGCTTATTCTACCGATGTCGGCTTGTTGCACAGCACTGCCTTCCGCCTCTACGAATGTGGCACGCGCCAAACACGAGAGATTCGTGGAAGTTAGACTGTTATTACCGACATGTGTCTCTGTATCATTACCGACGTGCACAGCATCCCGCGGCTCAATCGTCGAGTCTAACCTCGGTGAAGAGCACGCGTCTTGAACAACGTGGAAAGAGCCGTCAAACAGTGTCACAATAAGGGTGTCGCTTGTCAAGGCCCGTACCCGCCCAAGACCAGATACGGGGTAAAGCGAAGACGAGTCAACGGACGTCTTCTGAACTTGAACACAAAGAGTGCCCAGGTCACGGCCAGAAGATGCTCTTGTGTTCATATCTGTTCCTGTAGTGCTCAATTGAAAGAAGCGGAACGATCCAGGCTTTGCGTGAAACAAAGTAGGCTATGAAATACGACAGATGAATGCCTTCATTACTTTCCAAGAATCGAGGGCTAAGAACGAAGTGTAGCACCTTTTCTTCAGAAACTTCCGCTCGATCAACCCATGCCAGAGCAGAGATGCCTTTTTCATCGGCACCAGAAGCGAGGTCATCGAGCACGTTAAATTCAGTATGCACAGTAAAAGCGGGACCAAATGGTGCCGTGGATGCTATGAGCTCCAAGCGTTGACGGACATACACTATGGCGATTGTACCATTGGCAAGCCCACATGCAAGATAACATTCACCTGAGAAAGTCACAGATAGGCTCAGGTTTGCATAGCAAATGACGATAGGGCAATACACGTGTCCTGGCGTAGATACTCACTAAGGAAGGGTTGAGGGGACCTCCATGGATTCCAAGTCAAATGAGTGATCCAATCATCCGCAATGCGAATAACGCGGAATGGCTCTAAACTCTGTTTGCCATCGTGTCTACGGAATCAAATTAATTAGCCTGTCAGCAGTAAAAAGATGAGAGCTAAGATAGCAGATAAAATGAACTGTTTTTCGACAAGGTTCATGCCCAACAGCGCGCAGAACGATTTCGTGATTGGAGGGGGGGTTTGACATCTACCTCAGTAGTATGATTGATCCGGCGCGGTTACCCAGCGCAAGAATGGAGCCGTCAGCAAGGGGATTCGGATGAGCCCCAAAATCTGCTTGTTGAGACCACGCCATACCTAAAACGTATGCCTTAAAATCACGCAAATTGGGCTTGACATAAAAAGCGAAGACGTACAATTCACTTGGGCCTGAAGAGTTTTAAGGTATAAATTCCGACCTTCCGGTCCTACGTCCTCAGGAGATGGAAGTTCTTTCAGGGCAGACGTGATGTCCTGCGTCTTCCCAACCGCATAGGCGGTGCGTGAGTTCAAAGTTGTCTGATCGGAACAGAGTGAGTTATTATGATATACCAACCTTGCTCCATGCTTCTTTGAGGTGATTTTTCGTGGCACTCCAGAGTGTCAACTCTAGGTTCGTATTGAGTGTTACAAGCACACAACTGATGGGCATAGGTGGGAGTATCCATAGTTGAGATCGACGAATTGTTGTCAGCATGACTTTAATCTACATTTCCTGCTTGCTTGATTTAAAAACCCTGTTAACACCCACCTAGAACCTGTTGATACATTGCTTAAATTTCCAGGAGAGACGGCGACTGAACGCCATGAAACATCTAAAGATCCGAGGTTCACTGCACCATATTCTGCGTATGCAAAGCAGTCAGTATCGCTGTTCCTTTCATGACAAGGCTGTAACCTCAGTCTTCTAAGGAAAAGAAGTCAGGGTGAAGTCTGACCGACCTTGTGTCTCTGACGGCCAGGGATGAGAAATGGTTTTCTCCAGTTCAATCAAGTTCCTGTGCCAACCAAGGTCCAAGCCGGGTTCTTTGCTACCGTTCTCTTGGAAATTACGTCTATCGGTCTTGAGCAGTGAGAGACTATCGAAATTAATTCCCAAGTCTGGAGTCTATCCCGTAAAGAAATCACGCATCGAGTTCACTTCAAGATATGGCGGTGATTAATGAGGAGATAGATACCAAAATGTATATGGCGCTTTTCGTGGACAAAATCAACTGTCCGTCACCAGACCACTGCACGCAACTGATGGACGGTTGTGGTCCTGGAGTCGGCACATTGAGTGCGGTGAAAATTTCAAGTTCGGCCATGTCGGCCATTTGGCCGATAGCTGAAAGCTTTGTTCAAATGTGGAACGAAGCCAGGGGGGAACCTGGCAGATATGTTTGTCCCAAGGGCGTGATGGTGATGATTCAATCAAAGCGTCGGAGTTTCCTACAGTCTCCTGACGAGTGATTTGGCACTGTGACTCCTTATCAGTACGGTATTCCCTTACGCAGTGTTCAAAAGCAAAGTTTCTCGGTCGGACCTGAGACAGGAGACTGGAGAGATGCAAGTCGCAGTGCAAGTCACGCGTCCTAATGCAGTGGTGGCTCGCGTCGCGCGACGCGTCTTTAGCTTACAGTATTTCCACCGTTCCTGAACTCAAGTTTCATTTACCAAACCTCCAACTTCATAAGCTCTGCATTGCTCGACAAACATGACTGTAAGAGCGCCATGTAGGGATATCTGGTATTTTATTTGACAGCATACCCGTAGGACCTTACATTTTGTCATCTACATATGACAAACAGGGATATGCTCATATTCGAGACATTTGAGAATCCAGCAACCTATCTAAGCGGCGAGCTGTCCGATGAAGGTGACCCTCGCATTTTATCGGTACCCCTTCATGATGATCTCACCAATAGCAAAGAACTTGAAATACCCGTGCATGAAATTCCTCCCAATCCAGACGATTCCGACAGTATGTGTACGAACAAAGATCGGACGCTCCTGCTTACGGCACAATTGCAGTCTTACCCTCACAGGTACATCCGTCATATCCATACGGAAATCCTACAAGTCTCAAACACCCTGCCAACCGCCCGCGAAAACCAACAGATCCATCTTCTCGAGCACTTTTCTCGGACCTCTCGTATGCCGGAGGCGGAGTGAACGGCGCGCTGCGTTGGGGCGATCTCGCTCTTGACCGGCTCCTTCCTATTGATCGGGCTCGTGAGGAAGCCGCACGGGCGGCGCTAGCGCGCAAGATGGCAAGTGGCGCAAGCCAGAGTAATGGACCAGCCCCTGGTCAGCAACAGGGCCAGCCACCAGAAGCTGGTCAACAGGCAGAAGACAGTGAAGAAGATGAGGACGAAGACGAAGATGATAGTGATGATTTAGAGGGTGGCAGTATGAACGATGAAGATGAAGACGAAAATGAGATTCCTGAAGCGAGTTACGAAGAAGAGTGACAAGAGTACTTGAATATACATTTTAACATGTCTTAACTTGCATTTGTAATTCTACTAAAGATTATATTCATACTGCTCTTGCTGTTATAGCTAATACCATCGCCTCCGAATTTTCTTCCCGCAATAGGTCCTTCACACTACAGTCTAAATCTTGTTCAATAGCCCATTCGTAAGCATCTGCGAGTACTGCATCTGTTATCGGGACGAAATGGATTGCCAGTACACGCAAGATATTGTATACGCGGGCGATAGCAGTGCGGGTAGTAAGATCAATCTCCTGTGTGATCACTACGTGTCAGAAACATTCAATTTTAAAACCCGGCATCCAACCCACATCGTTGCGATTTGAATACACGGCCTCCGCGTCAAACCCTTCTTCACCTTCGCGCTCATGCTCACTCGTATGCTTATTTACCCATACATAACCATTAAGGCCAAGTATAAGATCCACGCCACAAGGCAATGAAATAAAATGGCTCTTTAAACGACGAATAAGTATCGGGGGGACAACAACAAGCTGCCCATTACGAAGCTGATGCCGCGATTATTTAGCTGCCTTTGCCATGTCTGTGTGGAACGGGTAGTTACCTTCCCGTACTTGAGAGATCTCGTATGCAATGACATCGATCCATCCGCGAAAAAGGCTTGAACTTCAGCCACTAGCAAATCTCCTTCCTCGAAGAAATTTCGCATCTGCAGTTCATCACTCTCAAGTTTTCGTCGCTATATACACGTAACGTCACAAGAATTGCGGATAAACAATGCTGCTGCGGGACACGCGGGGGCTTACCTGAACACCCCCTGGCAAATTGATGGACGAAAGCATCAAGACCGCGTCTTGCCGCGCATTAGCATCAGCTTTCCAACGTCGGGCAGCAACCTTTTGTTGAATAGAGAATCATTTGCAAAATGTATGTTTAGAGAATCACAGCGTGCTGAAATTGGTTTGACGCACCTCTGTTATCCGTCCGACAACAAGGTCACCGATTTCAGGATTGTACCTGCCCGTTTGAAAAACAGGAACGGGTCAAGTTTATGGCAAAACGGAAGTTGATAGGCACGAGCATATGCAGACAGGTGATCCAGCGGAAGCAAATAGACATATGGATGTCAAAATGAAAGCACATCCGAACATGAAACGTCATCTAACGAACTTTAGTTTACACTCAAGCATGATGAGATCGGAAGCACATGCCTTGCCCGGAGCGGCCGAACAGTTATGAGTTTGTTGACTCGTTCGACAGTCCCCGCGGTGGACGCGACGACTTCCTCGCCGTCAACGTATGTTCCATGGCCACTGATAACATATCAACACTCTGCTAGCAGTATAACCTTCAACGTGCATGCGCTCACCGCATGAAGGTTTGGGCGGATGTTAACGGGACACCTGGCGATGTTAGTTTCAAATGTAAGCCGTCTGCTTCTAGCTCGTCCTCGTCAATTAGTTCCTCCATTAGTGTATCCTCTTCTACATCTGGATGATGCTGAACCCGCTCAAATCCATCAGAGCTGGCTTGCTGAGGAAAAGAAGAAATTGTAATCATTGCTGAAGCGAAGAGTGGGTTCACTGTGTTGAGTTGAGACAAGGATAATGTAGATGTGGATTACCACTTTTGTCAAGGCACGTGCACTTGCTTGCTGAAGCGGACTGACTTCTCAAAGGCATAAGTAATTTACTATCAGTCCCTCACCACCTATGAACGTGTTACAAGCTCTCGAATCTATGAATATGGCGCAGAGCATGGCATGATTTATGTATCTGTAAAACTACTACTGTCGCGCTACCGGCAGAATCAAGGTCTACTTGAATAAAATGCCATGTGTCGGGAGGTCTCAATCGAGTTAACAATTCTGTAAACTTCAAGGTCAACGAGCTTGTGAAGCTTCCGGAGATCTCGACCGACTTCATGCCTTAACCTGAACAATATACTGGCCTTGCACGCGCTACAGTTCCTCTAGTCCTATCGCAAGTAATCCCCCTTCTACAGCCTGTATTCCTCGGCCGCCGACCCCTGTTTCTGCATTGATCTGTAAGTCTGTCATATACCGGCCTGCGTTAACGTTTAGCAGCATCATGAACGTAACGATCGAACAGTCTCTCACGGACTGCGGCGCGTCAGTAGATCACAAGTTCTCGCTTAGTGACTATCTCAACGATGAAACGACTTATCTGGTCCAAGGCGCTGCCTTTTTGGTAGGATTTGCTGTGCAGATGTAACAATCACTGATGGTAAGTAATCTCATCACAACTCTCTCGGGTGTTATTCCTCATAGATGGTACCTACCGGTATTGTTTTTGTCCGTGTTCTGGGTGCAAAAATGAATAATGTCAAACTCGGAACTGCTCGGGTGATCGTTGCTTTGGTCGTTACATAGCCTCATATAGTAGTACGTACACTATGATGAACAAATTCGAAGCGCTAAAGCTGCGGTCATATGAGCTCAGTTTGAATGAGCTCCACAAGGTAAAAGCTGAGCTTATCCACTCCGTGATGTCTCTCACAGTGCTTGAAACATTTGCTGGAGGTAATTAAGATTACTTCAAGGCAATGGGTTTCTGTCTTTAGTTGTGGGTGTGGGCAAAATGGGACAGTTAAGTGGAATCGGCAGAAGCTCGGGCTAAGGACACGGAGATGAAGAATTATCTTAATCGAGAAATTACCTCTCTTCGAGATGGGATCTCCTCATGGATAGGATGGATACAATACAAGACTCAGAATCACCGCGATACTATGCGCGTCGCGACGTGACTTGGGAAGGTCACGAGATCGTTAACTCCGATGAATTGTTGAGTTGACCATTTTCAACATTTATTTCCATCCCATCGCATCAAGAGCGCAGTAAACACTTCCAGCCTCGTGAGACTTGACTTTATCAAACCCGATTTTCTTGCCGAAGAAATTAAATCATGGTACCTCGCAGACAATGCACATGCCTTCGCCTAAGTTCACACGGCGCTGGGAGGTCAAAAAGTTCGCCGCCTACCCCTCCCAAGCGAGACCTTTTGCCTTTATCCAAGATGTAGGAAAATGGCTCGGAACTTCCAAAATCGACAACGGAGTTCCATGATGCTCCCATCCTCCCGAGAGAGCCGTTTCACCTGAGATTCCGATGCCTGATACCTCCCACACCAGTCACCAGAGCCGCACCTTATTATTTTTAATCTGGTGTGGGTGACTCAGCAAAAGGGCTTTGAAACGAAATCTGTTTCAGTCGGTACGTTCGGCATGTTCACAGGTTCCCAGGTCGCTCCTATTGCTAGCTAAAGGACCGCATGTTCAATTTTCCAACGGACGGCGACATAGGACGGATTTGTCAAGAAGCGGACAAGCGTGAGATAAGGACAGCGGATCACAAGCAGTGTCACGGACCAGACCCGGAACTTCTTTTGACCTACCTTTTTGCGATCGTTTTTGATGGGTTCTTTTCTTCTTGCTGATCCTGGACAGCGATTTTTAAACCACGTTCGCGGAATAGCGTACTTTGTGCCTCTTCTTTTCTCCGGCCCTGTCTCTCCGCTCGCTACCCCTTTTCTTACTGCTTGCCATCAGAGTATGGTGACAAGTCTCTTCTGACTTGTCGAGCGATTTTCTGAATAACAATTGTGACTGAGGATGTTCACTGGATCTGTTTGAATGAGCCGATTTCTCCATGCCACATAAAATTCGTCAAAGTCGTTAATGAAGCGCAGCGATCGCATCGGCAGTCGCAGGACCCTCAATGCAACTCTGTTACTCTGCTTCTCGAGCTCAAATCGCTCAATGACTTCATTGCTAATATGCAGATGCCGAGGAGCTGCATTGATACTCAGCGCCTATTATGCCTTGTGACTCCAGACATGTAACAGCATCAGCTCTGGTCGAGACACCAGAATCAGACCCCCCGAGGCTTGCTGTCCAGTCCAGCTCTCACATCCATCTCATAAGCATTGTAGCAAAGGTAACGCGTTGTCAATCGACCCGAACTATCTCCAATACGATGACAGTCCGACTGGAAGAATCGCAAACTAAGCAGTTTTCTCACTCTCATGCCACATCTAAAGCACTCGCGGAGTGTACATATAAACTTCATGCCTGTGCCTTGATGCATGTCACTCAGGTACCGACGACGACAGAAAACCTTTATCAGGGCGTTTAAATACTGCTTCTGACGTGTCCATGGCATGAAAAGGACCTTTGTATGATCGGCATTCCGACATTTCAAACGTGCGATAGATATGATACGCGTCGTCCATGTAGCTTCCGCTCTGGCTCCGCGCCAAACGGATTTCAGGCGCTTCTTCGCAGAGACGGTCAATGACGGAACTTTTGTCGGCGTTCTTTGCGCGCTTGATCGCATGCAAGCTCCTCTTGGATCAGACTTGGACCTTCTTTGGTGCAAGCAATCAGTATTTCGGACGCTCCATCCCCCCATCAATTGTGATGGACCACAAGCGATGTCGAATGCTTTGAACATAGGCGACACGAGAAGTAGGTTACTTGAATCCAACTTTGTCCCGTTGCTTAGTGTGTCGTGTTTTACGTATTCAACTTCACTATTTGGTCTTAGGATGGGAAGAGACGGAGTACAAACGCCAGCAATTTCATGATGATGAATGAATAGGGCATAGGTAATATTTCATTAAGCGATTACACTTTTCTATAATACTAATTTAGGCAATAAACATTATGCGCAAAGCGATGGCAGACATCTATACAAGCAGACTATAGGCAGGAAATGAGTAGTTGGAATAAGTTAGATGAAACCCAATGTCCTAGAGAGAATCGGGAATAATGCAATGTGGGGTATGAAATGAGAGACGCAATTGGCCAAGTGAAGTTGCTTCAGATGGATCAAAGTGTAGGTGCTTTACAAATACCGTAGAATGCAGTTCGGGCGCGAATGAAAGCTGACGAACAGAAGGATGGGGTGGAGAATGAACGTCTGCCGCAGAGTTGTATCCATGGAAATCAGCATTGATCGTGATAAATATGATGCGACGAGATGCAAGAGCGAGATAGGAAAGACGGAAAGAGATGACAAGGCCGGATCTTCGGACAGAATGATGAGTCTTTGCTAAGCAAGCATACAGTGAGCTTCACTTACGGAGCATGTAAGACAAGTCCACACCGACCCATGTGTACTGAAGCTTGTTTTTTCTATTAGTTTCGTAGACCGTTGTCCTGTCAGTTGCTTGAATTCTTCAGCAGATCAGAGTGCGTCCCAGCCTACACCCGACCTTCCCTGCCGAATTAGTCGCGCGCGACCCGAAAAACTCGGCAGTCAGCACAATGTGTTGTTCCAATCACTTGAACGCAAGGAAGTATGCTGAGAGAGCAGGCAGGTCGTTCGTGCTTGCATCAGAATAGCTCTGACGGCGGGATCCGTTGAATTTGAGTACTACGACTGGACCGGGCCATTGACGAGCCGCAGCACCAGAAGTGATGCGGTATATAGCGCGATTTACGGGTGAGCCACGCTGCAATGACATCGGACAGTAGAAGATGTGCAACGGGAAGCGCAGCGGCTCTCCATTGAGACCCTGCGTAAGCACTAGCGCTTGCGGTTGCGACTCCTGAAAGTAATCGCCAACAAGGGGTGCAGGGCATGAACTCGAATGTGGCTTGCGCGTGAGCTGACAGTTTACGTTGATAATCTGCGGACGCTCTGTGGCGTGACCGGCAATTGAGTTCCAGCAAGTGCTCGAAAGAAAATGGGAGGTACACACCTTGATTTGGTACGAAGAGAATAGCGGAGACGGTCATTACTTCAGGCGCAGCGGGCGGAGTTTGGATGACAAGCTGCGAGGATTGCTGCATCGGCGTTGCAACACATTCACGACGGTGGCGAGGCCAGTCCTACAAAAGAGTGAAATGGTAAGTCTTAAATAAACGACCCTTGAACCCTGAACAGGGCTGAACGCTTACTCACACTCGAGAGGTGCTCTGGGCTACAGTACCATGCAAATTGGCAACGACTACACCACATTGTGGTTGGACGGCAGCATACAGTGCAGGGATGGTGGATGAGGGACGATGCACCGTTACCGTTCATGACGAAAGGTCGTTAGGGTCAACTGCTGGGACAACGTCGGAAGAGGATGGATCGGGAGTACTGGAGGATAGAGATAACATGGGCTCGGATTTATGTATCCGGTGAAGGAGCCAAAGAGATGAAAAAGGAGCAAGATCAAAACGGCTACGACGTAATGGAGGTGGTCTGGGACCGACCATCCTCGCTAAATTGCAAGTCTTCCACGGTCAGACATCGTCGCGAGATCGCATAACCGAAGGGGAAAATGCAAGATGATCTAGATAGTACGCGTGCTGTGCTAGCGATTCAGGAACGAGCAGATGTATGTTTCTCGCGCTTCAATTGGCAGCTGCCTAAACCGCATCAACGGAGGCTTGGAGAAGTCGAGAGCGCAAATTTAATCCGATGAGGCTAGCGCGAAATCGCTGGGGATGGGCGGGGACTTTTGTCAGAGCACAGCTTTTGATCGCCACCTTTCGTACTCGCCAAGCGAGGATGGTGGGCAACGCGGGACCAGTCAGTCAGTTCATCGTTAGACAACCACTGAAGGTTTGACAACCTCATGCTATGAGGTCTAGTTGAGCGAAGGCACAAGAAGATGCTAGAGGTAGTTGTTTGAGCTGTAACCGGGAGGGGGAAAACACCTCATTGAAAGACTAGTGGAGTGTTGTAAGGACATTAGTTTGGACTGATGCTTGTCGTCAAGTGTCAGCATCCTCTAATTGGTGTACCTCCGACGGCAAAAAAGGGAGTTGTCTCAGTTCTTACGAGACTGAGCGGCCTCTGGTCCTGTTTTGGGAGGCCTCTCGGCAGTCAGAGACAGCATCTGAGTGCTGATGCCACGTCTGAGCTGAGCCGCTCTGTCAGATCCATAGCCGTGAGAGCCGTTGTTGTGGCCGGTTAGGCGGGCACTCGACCGCGCAGGCCTCCGAAGGTCACCGTCCGAGTCGGTCGCCGTTAATAGAGTCGTCTAGCGGACGCAAAGAAGGAACTACAAGAGCTTCTCCTCTGGTGTTGTTCGTCTCTGTTCCCATCAGGGCCGACATGATCCGGTAGATCGCTGAAGTCTATCCCAGTCATTCGTCCCGGCGGTGAGCACATTAATACATAATATTCCAGAACAATACAGTTTTCTTCCGCATCCCGTACGCGGAAGTTTTCAGTATTTGAGTCCAGTGGCTCAGACCGTCGCGGAGATTGAGAAGAACAATGGTAAATTTAAGTTTCTATTATTGGATAGTTAATTGGGTACCATCTGTTTGCGTCCTATAGGCTCTAAATGCAGTGCACGCGGAGGCTTCGAGAAATTCCACTAAGAAGCCGACGATCACATCCACTCCCACCATTTATACACTATAATATTAATAAAGTAGACAGTGCACGCAGCATAAACTGCCATGAAAATGACCTGTAATGTACGCCACTCATCGTCTTACCGGAAGATCTTGCAGATGTAAGGCTCCCTCTCCCCATGGATCATTCTGAAGCACTGGTCGCAAGCAATTAGCCGTCCCATTTCATCTCCTCGCTTCGGTCCGGCACTCGCGTGACCGTTTATGACCATGCCTCTTACAGGAGAGCCACTCAAACCAGTTGCTATTCGTTATAGCACCGGATATCCACCAAAACCTGCAACGATCCGAATCCGTGAATAACTTGTGGCATTACAGAATGGCCGACACCTCGCCACCACCCTGCCACATCCTTGAGATTGAGAAAGCTTACCTCTCCAAGCGCTAGGAATTACTCGATGAACTGACAGGCCTTGCATTCTCCCCCGCTTAGTCTCCCATGAGCATACGCTTAGGCCGTGGCGCATGCACTGCTCAACCCGAGCGCTACAGTCACTTTCGTGCGAATCAAAATTTCTATAAATGTTCTAGGACGCATTTGCAACTAATGGCTATCTTCACGCCGACCTTGGCAATGGAAACGAGATCATTTGTCTCGAATACGCGCACTACGGCCTTTCTCAGGATATCGGAATCACGTTAGTACTGCACTTCGGCAGGAATTGCGGAGGGGTGACCGCAGAGTCAGCGCTCCGGTGATACGCGTAAACGGATTGAATCCTATCTTAAGAAACTTGCATTTCGAACTTTAAGCGTTAGTTTCAATACTTGACTCTTGAAGAAGGCTGTAATTGGTATTCCAAGGTCTTGTGCGAGTGGTACAATCTTGTAAGAGAGGTATGAAACACTTGGAGTAAGAAATTTCACTCCCCTCGTACCACACTCTGGAATAAGTTTGAGGCTCCTCGGAATAAAGTGCTGCGGACCCTGATTACATTTTGCCTTTTACCGTCGCAGAAATTCATGGATGGCAGTACTCGGTTAGCAATGTTGAGACTGGGACGCAATTGCGGGCACTACCGTTGAGATAGATCACATGACCTCTACAAGAGGCTGTGACTCTTAGTCACAGTCCGCCAGTCACTCTGCTTGTGCGTCCTTTCTTCATCCAAGGTCGAACACGTTTCAACTTCAATCACTATCGACAACCATGTCGGACGAGGAGATGAACATCGATGATGGTGCGTTCTGGTCATTCATTTGGACTGCTATGTGCCTCTGACCTGTGCTGCTTCACTCAGTTGGCGGTGTCGTCCGTCGGAGAGGCCGCGGGTTCCAAAAGTCTGGCGGTATGTCGTTCTAGCAACCGAATAGGTGACAAGACATTCAGCCTGACCTTGATTTGCATCTCTGAAACACTTGCACCACCTTTCGTGTGTATTTTGGCTTCTTCCCTTTGGCATATGGAACTGTTGGTCGTCCTTATGCAAATCCCGATCGGCGACTTGTTGAATGCGTCTGCACGCGATTAACGTTTCCGATGTTATATTGTTGCCTACGCCTGTGCAGGAGACGACGCCGCGGTAAGTGCTGAGCCGACGTATGATCGAGTCGACGCGACTACAGTGAACAGCGCTGCGGACACCAAAGCTGCGCGGTGTACGTGATCAGATTTCTTACCTCTCACACAGCCCCGCCGCTGACGCAACTCATTCCATATTTCGCAAATCTTGCAACTAATTGATTTGATCTGGAATTGCGGCGTTCATTAATGTCGCCTTTTGATGCGAATATTCCTCCTAACAAATCCATACCGCGCATGCAAATGGCGCTGTTCATATGTTTTGCATTCGCGCCCTTCCTTATGCATTTTTTAGCCGTGGAGGGCTGGATTGTTTTCGTCACGAACGTGCATGAGGAGGCCACTGAAGAAGACTTAATGGATAAGTTTGGAGAGTATGGGGAAATTAAAAATTTACACCTCAACCTGGATAGGCGAACTGGCTATGTAAAGGTATGCTGTATAGAAGCCTTCTTACCGGAATTGTGAATTTTGGACTGATTCGTTTACCGTCTATGCCTTTGTCGACACCCGTTCTCTAGGGCTATGCTCTTGTTGAATATGAGACGCTGGCGGAAGCTCAAGCAGCGATTACCAACGCGACTGGGTCGACGTTGCTTGAGCAGGACCTCGAATGCGATTTCGCGTTTGTTCGTCCACCGCCTTCTGGTCCGAAACAAGGTGGTCGTGGACGGGGTGGACGTGGACGCAGCGCAAGTCCGGGAAGAAGGCGATGACTGCATATCTTGTTAGTTCATTGGTGCTGTTCTTATACTTGTGTTCGACCTCTTGTCGGAATTACAACAATGTCTGCATTCGCCTTGTTCGTATTTGTAGTGGCAGAAGCCTTACTTAAGACTGTAACTGGAAATGCGTGGGAACACAAAGCTTGTGACGTGACGAATATTGGCACGTGGCCTTGCATGAATCCCTGCTCAACTCTGTTCGCGACAGCGAAAAGCTATCCACGTCAGTACCAGTTCAGCTCAGCATCGTTTAGTACACGCACTCGCAGTGATGGCCCAGCTGGAGGATGCAGAAGAGTCATATGGTTCTGCTGGTGAAATTACCAAACCAAAATCACGCTCGTTGGGCGGCAATCGCTCAAACAACAAGAAAGCTGTCGAGGTCGAACCAAGTGATAAATCAGACCAGGATCATAACGTGGAAGGGGGCGATGGAGAAGAGGACGAGGAAGAGTACGAGATCGAGGAAATTCTCGATTCAAAGCGGGGTATGTTTGGTAAAAAGGTGTGTACTTGGTGTGACGTGATTCTTCGTGTCTATCTTGAGACACGTTGCAACGTGTTTCGATAAGTATTGTAGTTTCGGTCAACGCTGAGCGCATTGCTATATTTTATTTTGTTAGAACGAGTGGGCATATCTTGTTAAGTGGAAAGGATACAGTTCCGAGCATAACAGTTGGGTCCCGGAACAAGACGCAGGGTGAGTGTGACGCGACGTGCTCAGGCTTCGATCACATCGTTGCTGACAGTCTACGGATTGATGTATTAGGAATGCACAGGACCTCATTAATGACTTTCTGGCAAAGAGGGCAAAAGCTAAAGAGTCGGCTACTCGGCTGTCTTCCGTCCGTGGACGTAAGCCTGCTTCTGCGAAGGCGTCAAGAATTGGCAGAGATGCTAGTGCTGGCACAGAGAGTGCATCGACAACCAAACGTGGCCGAAGGAAGGCAAGCTCCGATGAAGATGAAGATGACAGTGACTCAGCTCGCAAGGCAAAGAAGTCGCGCGGGGCTCACAGTACGAACGGAACGACCTCAGGAAAGCGCGGTGCCCTCGCGGCATTGGACAGGACAGACGACGATGACAGCGTCACAATGGCAGACGCTAACGAATCAAGACCGTACACAAGTATGAAGGCTCTGAAAATGGGATCCATGAAGAGTTGGGAAGATGTTGTCAAGAATGTTACCACTGTCGAACAACATGATGAGCAGCTAATGATCTTCTTTGAATTGTGCTTTAGTTTCTCTTGTCACTGCATAAGATGGTCATCTGATTTTTTTTCATGCTCTAGGAATGATGGACATTATGTTCGTGAACCATCGGAGCAATGCAGAAAGAGGTTTCCCCAGAAGGTGAGTTTTGTTCAATTGCTGTCAGAATATCCATGTGTTGAAACAGAATTTTCAACACAGCTACTTGACTTCTATGAAACACATCTTAGATGGAGAACAACAGACGGAGATGAGGGCCAATCGCACTGAATACTTTCATTGATCCCCTCTCGCCCCATAGTGATCATATTACGCCATCTTTTATCTCTTTTTCCCTCCGCGTTGACACTTCGTTCATTGTGTGTCGGCTACTCTCGACGTCTCTCGTTCTTACTGATTTCTCTGGTATATTTTTCATGTACAACTCTGTTGTCAATCTGCTGATATTATGAGCCCGTTTATACGTGAATGAGGCTGGGGATGAGTACAATCCAATGTCTTTGCAGAAGCGCTTGATGCCAATAACAATGCAAGGAGACAGGAATTGATAATCCACATTCAACCCCGGTTATATAGAAGTAAAAAAGACCCTGTGATAATTTCATCCCAGTGTATTTCCAGGCCTTGCAGCGGAGTACCTATAGATTCATGTTACATGTAGGTTACACTACCGATACAGTAAGTTCCTTGCACTGCACAAAATAAATCCATCACTGCACGTGCATCGGTGTTTCTATTTCTAGACCAGTGCAGAATCATTTCGAGTCAACTCAAACTATCAGTTCATGAGACTTGCAAGAGTAGCTCTAACGTTAACAGCTTTACCGTCAAAAAGAGTCCAAATTAGTTTTTCAAGGCTCTCGACAGCAGTTCCTAGCCCACATAGTACACACGACGAAAGACTCTGGCAACGCGTACTCCGTCAAATGCAGCGAGCAGAAGCAAGGGAACAGGAACTTCGCGGGAAAAGACGTGCTGCTGAAGAAAGGTCCTCGCGAAATGCTTATAAGAAGGGTCCGAAGTTAAGAGGAGATAGGAGAGATGACGAGGACGTACGGATATCGAAAACTCTTTCGTGGGTTCTGCGCCACGGAGCGAAGACGGAGGGGTTAGCAGTGCGTCCAGACGGTTATTCACGAGTACGGGACTTGGTGAGTGTCGAGCGTATCTTGGAGCTAGTGGCTGCTGAACTGGGCTGGTATACAGCTGGCCCTACCACGATTTAGCGATGTGAATTTCCAGACATTGGAACGAATCGTGCAACACGATGCAAAGGAGCGGTATCATTTATTATTTGAGACTAGCGAAAGCGAGAGTTCTGCAGTGGAAGACTGTTGGTGGATAAGGGCTAATCAGGGCCATACAATGAAGGTATGCACGACCATGCACATTTGCTTTCGCTCGCAATTTTCTCATGCCATGTCGGACTTCGCACAGAATATAAATCTCGAGTTTGCCGAAATCACAGATGCAGGTCAGATACCCATGGCAGTTCACGGGACGAATCTTCAAGCTTGGCAGAAGATTGGTAGGTTTCCCGTAAATTTATAGAAGAGTGTCCATTGATTATTTCTTTCAGAGAAAGAGGGGCTATCGCCAATGAAACGTACCCATATCCATCTTGCTCAACACGTCTCTCATATTAAGGGAGCAAGAGCTACACCTGGTCAGTCTATATTGCTCAAGTTCTTCAACTTTCCTTACGTATCTCTTGTAGGCTTGCGTAATAACTCCCAGGTACTCATCTACGTTGATCTGGACAAAGCTCTCCGTGCGGGAATTCGATTTTATCTTTCGGCAAACCGCGTCGTCTTAACTAAAGGTGACGAGACCGGTTACTTGCTGCCGGAATTCTTTCAACGAGTGACAGACGGACGTGGTGCGCCGCTTCCTGGTTGGAGCGGCACGGTTGCTACCAGTAACTCGTCAGCACGGCAAAAGTCAAGATCACGAAGTAGTGGAAAACGATCGAGTTCGCGAAGTAAATCGCAAGAACGAATAGCTGATGGCCCTGAGGAGTCGAAAGGCGAACCCCTCATAACGTCAGTAACGGAGGCCGTCTCTAAGATTGAGTTGGAAGAAGTTGCTTGATTACACTGATATTAGTTTGGACACTATACGCTATTGATCCGGATGAACTCTATCTATTCTGTACGCTTCCATATGTTCCGTGATGGCAGTAATATACGTCGTAAAAATGGACGTACAATTCATGACAGGTGTTAAACTTAGCTTGTAGGCGTGCTGCTAGGGGTGTCGGCTTCACTCAAGAGCCAAGAACTGGAGTTTTCCCTAGACAAACTCTTCACACCCCTCTTCTTACCTTTCACAGCCTCCGAATTCGATGAACGTGTGGTACAATCACTCTCTCCGAGTTCACTATCATCTTCCCCCCACATCGTGTATCTAAACACCGATTGCCTTGAGATTAATTTGTATCATAAGTTCCGTATGAACTCGAACAGGGGGACACTCACTTTCCCATCTTTCGTGACTTTGCTGCTCGTAAAGGCATCACTGACCCCTTCAGTTTAGAAGCGGAGCTTGAAGTTGTTCTCGTATCCTTTGCAGACTTCTCGTATCGATTATCTTCCCCGGGAATTACAATGTCGAGATCAGATCCATGATAGTCCTTGTTTACGCGATTGCACGGCCTTGGAGTAGCTTCATTCGTGTCGCCGGCCGATTCTGAGTCCGAAGGAGAGCTAGAACCATTTGCTTCAGAACGGGCAACTGGTCTAGGGCATGGCTTTCTCGATGTCGGCGTCCGTTTTACCCGGTGATGTATTGGAGAGCTCTTGGATTTCGTCGCCATCATATCGTAGTCTGATACTGTCTCCGATGCTTTGCCGTTCTTTCTCTTCTTTGTGCGGCGTGCAACGGGCGTGTCAGTACGGTACACAGAGCTATCACTGAGCTCTATAACACCCTCGCTCTTCCCACCGCTGTTTAACCCTGCTTTCGACCTTGCTTTCGGTCTTGCCTTTACCCTTCCAGTGGCCTCTGAATGCTGCGAAGTCGGTTCGATAACAATAACTCTGTCCCCCCTGGAAACTCGCAATTTATCATTCTTCTTTCCGCTTTCCTGATTGCGCTGGATACTTTCCAGGTGCTCCTCTTTGGCAATCTCCTTACGTCTGGTTCGAACGCGCTCTTTGACTATATCGTCGCCAATTAACTGTCCATCATTAGTACCTCTCGTAGAATTTGATCCGTCCAGGTTGTCCAAATCTGGGAACATGGCAGTTCCATAAGTGCTGCTCTCGCGCATCGTGCGAATCGCATCCTCGATGCTCATTCCCCATCCAGAGTCCTCCTGAATTAGCGCCACAGCGCATTCCGGTACAAGAATGCGTCGGATGAACTCAGCAGGCGTGAGAGGTGTGACTCGATCGGCGTCGACAGTGCCTGGTGGAAACAGATTGTTTAGCGTTTGAGATATGATGATAGATCCTTGCTCTCCGTAACTTTTAGTAAAAGAATGTTTCTAAGTGACGTATTTAATCAAAAGTAACGGATGCACTTACTATCCAGGCTGACTCTTCTCAAAGGTATTGAATTGGTCCAAAAGGCCCATTGCCTTCCTGGCACCCTTCTTTTCAATATCTTGTTTCAACTCGCGCCAAAGAACACTCTTTTCTTTGTCATGTAATATACCTGTCAGGCGTTGCCGCAAAGCAATCACTCGCTTGGGGAGTGCTGTGAAGTCAATGCATGTCGGCCAACCTGCCTCTTCCGCAGTTGGAAGGAGCTGCGTTTCAAATCTATGGCGCTGGCACATGCTCACATACGAGAGAAGAGGAGCCGTTAGCCCAAGCGGGTTCGACGGCCGTGCATCTGGATATTTTGGGATGCGTTTCAGCATGTCAAGGAGAAGGGGCGATGGGTTTGGTGGGAAAGGCATGTCGCAATAGGGGCATAGCGTCTTTGGGTCGGCTATCAAGTCAAGCATATGAATATCGATCTTCAAACAATTACAGGCGCGTACTCACGACGGTCGGCGAGCTGCGTGAAGGACAATTCACTGACGTCGACATCGGGTATGCTGAAACAACATTAGTTTTGTTTTTAGCTCGACCGAATGTCGGACAATGATCGAAACTGGGTGCCTCACATGTCAGATCTCCGTGACCTCTTTGTTGGATGTTGCTCAGTGCCACTCCCAAGCTCATGTTTAGGCGAGCTTGAAGTGTTTGAACGGTCTCGTAAGGACATAGGAAACGGGGCTAATCCGCCACGATTTATGATTTCGTCGTTGTGGTTCCAAGACAACGGGTCGTCGCTGCTTTCGCTTCCGCTTTCATCGCTGCTTCTGGGCTCGGCGTTTTGCTTCTTTGATTGCTGTTTTCTGTCCTTCGTATGCTTGTGCGATGATCCATGCTTTAACAGAGGAAATGGTGCTAAGTTGTATTTTGAGTCGTCTGGAAAAGTACGTTACGTTATCAAAAAAAGTTATCTATAAATAACATTGCCTTATCTGGCTTACCTGCACTGCTTGAAGGTGCCTTTTCAGACAGCACCGATGTACTTATTGTCTCGTCTGCGAAATGTTGAGCGATAGCGAATTAGACGGGCCGAGACGAAGAACACACCTTTTACAGACCTTCTTGGACGAGGAGTCTCTTCGTCTCTCCTTTTTTCGTCCAATAAGGCTTGTATGGGCTGGTAAGACGAAGAAGTGGTAATAGAACCGTTGATTGAATATTTAGCGTTAGTATTTGATACAGGTGCCTGAGATTTGGAAGTACTAACATTTCGTCTGTTCCCATTTGGTTCCTTTGAGGAGCCTAGCGAATCCGGGATAGTGCTAGAATTGTGGTTCTTTCCGAATGTCGGACGTGGCTGGATCTTTCCCTTCTTCCGCGGCATCGCATCGAAGATGTTCTCGTCATGTTGGGATTTTGACGTTGGAGATGGCGAGGTTTTTTTCGACTTGGAGCGAGCACGATTACTTTCCCGACCCGAGCGCATTTTCTTCTGCCGCCTGTAGTCATCCGAGTCAGAATCGGGAGGTTCTACTTCTTTGTCAGAGCCCCGTATTGGACGCTTCGCAAAACTTTCAATGGGCTGGCTCGATGAACTCAGGTTAAGCTCGTCGGACGAGTCGCTGTCCATGCTGTTTAAAACCGTAACTTTTCTGCGATTGTCTACTGCGGAGACTTTGCGGCTCTGTCCCTCCTTCGTGCGCCTCGTTCCTGTCGTCTTCTCTAAACTCGATGCTCTCTTTCCGTTTTCTTTTCCTGATAGAGAAGACTGGGAAGAGGACATAGAACACTTCCTGGGGTTATGTGCTTTCGATGACTCGCCAAAACTATACGATGTCTTCCCAAGGTGTTCAAATTTCGTACCGGTTCCACGCGCAGTCCCGTCCATTTCGGTTACGAGTTTGTCTCTGGATTTTCTGAAAGACGTGCTCGCTACGAAATTCCCGGTCTTCCTGAGACGCTCGAGATATTCGGAAGAGCCCAAGTCAGAGCTTGAATAGGATTGTTGACTAGATCCGAACGGCGTGTTCGCTCCGTACGCTGCTTCTTCTAGTTTGAGTCCAGCTCGGTTTAAGTTAGTATAGATCTCTTCCATTCGAGTAAGCTGTTAGACGCGCAATTGTCCAAGGAGAAGCAGCTATCTCTCCAGCTCCCCAGTATCTTAGCAAGATACTGGAGATCTTTGAGACGAAACAAGAAGATACGATTCAAGTTTCAGGTGATGACAGAAAGTCAGTAGAAAAGTTGCAAGACAGATGAGACAGCATTAACGTCGTGGTTTAGCTGTGCGAAGCCAGAGTGTGCGCGTATCGCGTCACGCGTCCGAGGCGAGGAGAACGGTCATGTGATCTCCAGGCACATCACCATCGAGTCGATTCGACAAATAAAATATACTTAAGACTCAAGGATACTCACGTTTTTTAGGCCTTTATATATACGGTTTGGTGGTACATGATACTAATAATTCTCGTGTCGAAGACCCAATGAAGGCTTGTCTCTGTCATACCACTGCTGCAAGAATTATCAAAGCACAAAAAATGATATTTCGTCCTGCACATGCCACCATTCGGTTCGCATTGAAAAACGGAATATGAGGAAGCTCAATGTCTAAACCAATAAGATGATGCATATTAAACCTTGGCAGCTGGACGAGTGCACACATAATGAAAAGAATGGTAATATAATGTTTAAAACATCAAGGGAGTGACATGAAATCCGCAGGTGCCTATTCATCTGGAGGGTCAGACAAGACACTGGATTCGTCACTTGCCTCGCCTTCTTCTCGATCCTCATCAGTCTTTCTTCCTCTAACCCCGGCCTTCTCTTCTGATACCTCGCCCATTTCAATATCCTCTGCTTCCTCACCCTCCTCGTTCTCCTCGCCTTCTTCACGTTTATCGTCCCCTGGCGGAGACTGTGGCTCCTCAGCTGGTGATAACGGGCTACTATCCGGACCACCAACTGGGGTGAACACGGGTGTTGCATCCCGCGAAACCGCCGGTGTGAGTCCAGTCGCACTAATTCCAGACATTGAGTTCTGCACACGAAGTTGCTGCGTTGCAGTTTGCAAAAGCGGAGTCGAAGGTCGTGGTGAATACGATTTTGCAGCAGGATTGAGTGATGCACTCCTTTTCATACTTGCATCGTCTGACTTATCGCCCTCGCCTTCTACAGCAGCCGCGGGACCTGAAGCGTCAGCGTCTAAACCTAAAGCACTAGTCTCCGGCTCTGCATCAGGCGGTTCGGAAGGCGCGCGAGAAGTGGTTGCGTCGAGTTTTGGGACGTCTTTTCCTAACACAGATAATCGCCCAATATCTGCAATGATTGCGTCCAGAGCAGCCTTTCGTGCCAGAATAGAGCGATTTAGCGTTTCATGTTCGTCTTTAGTGACCTGAATGTCGTTTTCTAAAGAAGATATCGACCTGAAGACAAAGGTTTAGTGGAGCCCTCGACGAGCCACTACGCCACTCACAGCTCAAGCTCATCCCTTGTTGGAAGGCCATTAATTTTCTCCGCAATCTGGTCGTATTCAATCTTCCTTCGCCGCTCAAGTTGTGCTTGTTCCAGCGTCAATTTCAGCTCCTCGATCTCTTGCTTGAGACTTGTGCGTTCGTTTTCTTCAATGGGAATTAGACATGATGCTTCTCGGTAGAGCTAGAGACGTACTAACCTATCCGTGCACTCTCTTGTTCATACACATCCACTTGTCTCCGCTCGGCATTACACGCCATACGATTCTTCCGTAACAGTAACTGGAAACTCGCCAGCTCGATCAAGAATGCTTCCCGTGCCTCTTCCACGGACGACGTAGCAGCGGAAGCGGTCTCTACTATTGGTGGATATGCTATAGATGCATAGGAATGAAATTTCTTCGTAAGACGCCGAAGAGACCTCTCGTCATTTGTGATTCGGGCGTGAATGAGAGTGTCTGCCGAGGGAAAGTGATGAGAGCAATACTTCAGGGATCATAGGCAATACAGACCCTCTTCCTCAGGGCTCAGCTGAGATAATTTGAGAGGCTTTGACGGGACGGCTTGTGCAGTCATGGTGAGTGTTGACTGTGAGCTTTTGTTGTCGATCCCGTTCCGCGAATCCGCGTCTTTCGTTCGTTCACGATGTCCAAACTTTCTGATTATGTCAGCAAATCATCATGAATTACAACCTCCTCTATGTACTTAATACACTGGTGTTGAACGAAGTCAGTTATTGTGATGAGCGATTATAAACAGGGTGGAAAAATATCTACTTGCGATGCTCTTACATGCAGCAGGCTCTACGCTATACTTCAACATTGTTTAATCTATAACGACCTTTGGGCATCGTCTGAACCACGATTCTAGGCTCCAAAACCAAGTATTTCAGTAGTCTGGTATCTGGGTATTAGGCGTTTAAAAGCGATACGACGTCCAGTATGCGTGCGAATCCAGCTTCCTGGATTCTCGGTTACGTTTATTGCAACCCATCGCATGAAAATCCGGCCATCGGGAAAGTCTTCCATGGGCAGCATTATGTTCCAGCCCAGGTATACATCCGTTCCCGAGCGCATCCTCGCTACGATTCCTTCTTGAGCATCGAACCGGACACGGAAGCGACCAATCATTTGTGGCTTTACACCACGCTGCAGAAGTTGTAGATGCTCTGCAGAGGCTTGCGGGTGCATTCGTTGCGTGATCTCATTGCGATAATGTGCTAGTGCCCTAGCCGGTCGATGCATTGTAGGGACATCGTCGTCAGAACTGGAAGTCTCGTCACCCTCATCCTCGTCATCCCCGACGTCATTTCCGTCTTCATTTTCGTCCTCGTCCTCGCTGTCCTCGCTTTCGCTAACTACGAGTATACGTTGTCTGATATACTCGTCGTCACCACTGGATGACGTAGAAGCATCCTCGCTGTCGAAGTCGTCAGAGTCGGAAACATCATCCAATAGGTCAGCTTCTGAAGGAAATATGTCCTTCCAGGGTTCTTCATCAGGAGTAATGTTCTCTGTCTGGTTCTCCGTAGCAAATGCGGAAAGGACGTTCTTGAGAATGAACAAGGGAACTGGCCTAATCTGGATAAGAGAGCGGCAGCACGGGCAGGTTTTTATCCTGAAGATGGTCGGAACCCTCTCTCTGTCATCGTCGTCTTCTCCGGGTTGTCGACCAGTCCGAAACCAGCTTTGTAAGCACCCTTGGCAAAAGACATGCCCACAAGGGACGAGACTTATCTGACGTCAGGTGCCGGCAAGGGCAAGAAGAACTGGACACGTACGTGTGAGGCTTGCTCAGCACTTCCAAACAAATTTGACATTGGAGATTTTCCTGAACTAAATTCAATTGCTAGTGTTACCAAGTTAGTGTGGCGATAAGCCGTATACACAATGCACATACGTCCTCGGATTTCTTGCGTGTCGACTTTAGATTGTCGATTTGACTCCCCTGTTTACGATTCATCTGAGGAAGTTGGTTCTCAAGTATTCTGCGTGTAAGAAAGTAGAAGCATCGTACCCTCTTCAACGCCCCAACTTCTTTCTCCAGATCTTTCATTGACTTAAACGACGTCATTTACAGGTCTGGAAAGCGAGTATTTTAAGAGAATCACCTTCTGTTGTGCTTGGATCACCCTTCGTGCTCGATCGACTTCCTATGGGTAAATCTCAATAGTTGGTCGGAATCCAGAAAGAATGGACGATTGGTTCGTACAGTCCGAAGCGCAGAGAGCTCTTCTTTCATTTGTCCTCCGCTGTCCTCTTCTCGCTGAGAACCTTCAGGCTTCGGTCTCTGAGCTGAGTCTGTGTTTCGACTTAGCCGCAGCCTTTTCTCGCCAGCTGTCTTAGAGACGTCCGGTCCAGATGGATGCTCATGTACCGAACAAACGGATATGTTTTCACGCGCTGAATCTGTCAACCTTTGGCTTCTTACCTTGGTCTTGCCAGGGGAAGCGGGGCGCGTAAATTTAGGGACCTTATGTCTCCGTGCCTTTCCGCACGAACGGCAAGCCTTTAATCCACCTGACGCCGAAGACTCTGAGCCATCATCCAGCAAGTCTACTTTCCTCTTCTTCGCCACAGCAAATGCTAAAGTGTTGCTGCCGCCGATTTCTGCGCCTGCTGAACGCAATCCTTTGTTTTCGATGAATACCCGTGGCGATTTGTCGGTGGCGCGTTTGGAACTGGGACCAATTCTGCTGTGATGTCCGACAGCACGGTTGCTAACATTTCGTTGAGCGGAGGTGAGAAGCAAGGAAGACATTTTGTAGGGTAGAAGGGGCGAAGGCTGTGTGATACAATTCGTTGGTGACGTGAAGCGGTTGGCTCTATCGGCACAGAGGGAAGACGCGTAAATGTAATAAGGTCACAGACTGTGTGTAACGGCGCTAGTGCTTTTGTGACGTGACAGACGCGTGTCTATTCAAGAGTGGCTTGGATCCCGTGACTCAATTACGTGACTCTCCCCGTCCTTGTGTAAGTGTTTCGACCATCTTCGTCTGCTGCAGCCGCATTCGTTTACTTTACAAAATCATTCTAGAGCCCGTCGCTGAGCCGCGTTCGAAAACAAGAAAAGAGTCGGGCTAGCACTAAAAGTCTCTCCTGCAAACCGGGATGACGCACGACGATGCTGGTGAGTTGATCCATTTGGTTCGCGAATCACTTACTCATATGGGTGTTAAAGACACTTGTCGCATCTGTAGCGCCCCAGCTGAGCCAGATGCTCCATTGTTCCATCCCTGCAGATGCTCTGGGACCATACGGTACATCCACCAAGATTGGTAAGTCCGCTAGCTCTTCGTGTTACGCCTTCGCTGAATTTCTGTTCAGTTTGACTACATGGTTAGCGCACAGCAAAAAGAAAACATGCGACGTGTGCAAGTATCAATACTCATTCACGAAGGGTACGTCGGATTCTTTGTCTTGTAGAAAAATCAAGGTGTTAACGAGCTGTTTTGCAGTGTATTCTGACAATATGCCAAGACAAATCCCCTTCATTTTGTTTTTGCGCAAGTTTGCGCAAAAGTCATTTTGGGCATGCATTATGGCGATTCGAGGGTTGATGGTGGCTACGATTTGGCTAGCATTTCTGCCATATGTGACTGTTTGGACTTGGAGATTCTATTTCATCATGGGTGAAAATATGTATGCATTTGCATCTCTTGGCCGATATATTTTGCTTATAGGATTACAGCGCATGGTGGATTTATGATCATCCCCGGCCAAGTTCGACTCCAATTTTTCATTCGTATTTCAGCAACCTCAGCTTGGTCGATGACCAGAACCGGACGAATTCCCCAGATAAAACTATCATGGGCTTGGTAACAAGTTATCCTGTCTGGCGAGCGCTCTCTGCGGATATTTTTACCGGTCAAATCATCGCGTCACTTATTGTCCTGGTCTTCTTGGGGATCTTTTTGCTTCGGGAATGGATCATACAGAATGCTAGGCCCGGAGTATTCGATGACGACGATGCTGCTGGGGCAGGTGCGCAAGATGGTATGGAAGCTGGTTTGGAACCCGCACCAGCAGAGGTAGCTGAGCCGGCGGTGCCAAATGAAGGAGAACATGCAGAAGATGCCGCTCAACAAGTCGTGGAAGAAAGCGCACCTTTGGTTGATGTTCCCGGGGGAAGCACATTAGCAGTGACGGAGAACGGTGCAACTGTACATCCCGGCCAGAAACGGCGACTGAGTGCGGTTGACGATGCAGACAGAGAAGGAGATGATGACTCCCGCGTTTCTCGAGTGCGTAGTCGAATAGCCGGAAGTAGTTCGACATCATTGGAACGTCAAGATCAGAAGGACTCTGAGCCGGTGTCAGAACATGGCTCTTCAAAAGGAAAAGGCCGTTCAACTTCTGGCGAGATGAACCATAACCCGGACCATTTCGAATTTACTTTCTCCGTTGGAAAACCTGCTGCAGCGCCGAATGAGCCAGGCGTGTCTCAACCGTTTACCTTCGGTCCGCCGCCAGATAGCGCAAATTTATTTCATTATACACCATCGACAAGACTTCCCTACCCGCTCACTCCGGGCGGTGGCTTGTCTAATGAAGCCGAGTCATCCTCCGGCCCCCGGCGACCACCTCTGCCCAATACCAACTTTACATCCTCCGCCATAATAGATCTATCTGACGAGCCATCGACCTCCATGGCTGCGCATCCAGTTCTGACAGATGTTGACGGTCCGACTGGGGGAGTGCTGCCTTCACCCAGTCTCGCCACGTATCGCGCACCCGAAGAATTTGAAGCGAATGCTACATCGTCTGCGGGATCTAGGACGGATGCCTACGAAGATGACGATTCTCACAAATCGGACAGAGGGTCGATTTCGTCTTCTGCTATTGCAACTGTTGCGGATTCTGATTTTCGCAATGATTTGAACGAATATTTCCGGGAAGAGAATGAGATGCAAGGTCCGATCCACGTAGGCGAGATTCTTAATGAAGAGGATGTTGTAGAGGAGCCAGACCAACCAGCAGTTGAGGAGGGGGACAACGAGCCTGAAGATGTGGCCGAAGAACAAGACGGTATTAACGACGACGACGTCGACGGAGCCTTAGAGGGTGGGTGAACTTATAGTTTTCCCCGGCCATAGATTTTAAATGCACACCTAGAAGCTGTTGGAATGAGAGGACCCTTGACAACTGTTTTCCAAAATGTACGTATCTATTCTCCATTTTCCCGTTTCACTATATTAATCACACGCAACTACAGGCTGCTTTAATGATTTTTGTATTGGATACAACCATCGGTCTCGCAGTTTGGCTGCCGTTCACGATCGGGAAGACTGCTGCATTACTTTCTGTATGTCTAAATTAACATTTACTTCATCATCTCTTTCTGAACAAGTATCAGCTAGAGCCCGCTCGCATCGCGCATCTCCTTCAGTGGCCGATCCGTATCATACGATTTTTCACCGATCCTGCTGTGGACTTAATCGCTCTCGGTATCTTTAATGGTGGACTTCCTATCAGGAATTTCGTCGAAACTCTGTCAGAATATATTTCACCTTCAAGGATTCCGAGAGAGGAACGGCATTTCGCTTCGCAAGCTTCGAATACATCGAAGGTGACATCTGAGGATTCATTAATTCACCAGCACTGAACTAATTGCATTTTGATAGGTTGTTCTGGACTCGAGGCGTATGACGACGTTTTTCGTTTGGGAAGCTGGTGGTCAAGGATCAGCAATCATCCGTGGCATGGAATACGTTGCAAACTCACCTGTTGGTCAATTCCTGGAGCCATATTTTGCTCGGCTGGGGAGACGAGTCCGAATGAACGCTACATCTGCAAAAGCCGGTTGGATAGAGTTGGCGAACGGTGACGCGTCCATAAATAGGTTTTTTGCCATATCTCTGGGCTATTTACTTGCGGGCATCCTGCTCGCATTCTATCTAAACGTCCTGAATGTGGGGAATGTTCAAAGTGCCGGAAGAGCTATTAGAAATGCTATCCGACAACAGCTTATAGTTTTGAAGGTACGATGCCGTTCTTTTCTCATGGGTTGTCGCTGACATTCTGTGAAGGTTGCGATCTTCATCTTGATTGAACTTGTCGTATTTCCTCTTGGATGTGGCGTAATGCTTGATTTTTGCACGCTGCAATTGTTCCCAGATGCGACCGTCCGGTCCCGTATGTCTTTCTTCGCCTACGCTCCGGTCACAGCTACTTTCTATCATTGGATGGTTGGCACTATGTTCATGTACGTGTGCTCTAATTACTCCCGATCTTGTATTCATGCAAACGATATTTATAGGTATCAGTTTGCTATTTTGTTGGGTAAGGCTATTGCCAATCCCGAACTTGATCTCGCATTTATCTAACAATTTCTCAGGTGGTTGTAGGAAGATCTTACGACCAGGTGGATTGTGGTTTATAAAGGATCCACAGGATCAGAACTTCCATCCCATTCGCGACATTCTAGATCGTCCAACCCTTCTCCAAATGCGGAAGCTCGCAATCAGTGCGATGATGTATTCTGTCGTTGTCGCACTTGGTATGGGTGGATTGGTTACATGCTTGCATGTTTGGGGAAGGTTCCTCTTGCCATTGCGCTGGAAATTACGGTGAGCATCATTTCAGCATGCGCAACTTAGACAACTTTTATTGATGCATGACGATAGGGAACCACTGTCGGATATTCCTGTCGACTTATTGTTCCTTCACATCGTAATGCCCTCTACCATCAAGTATTTCCGACCTCGCAAATTGGCATTCGTACTAGCCACCAAGTACTGGAAGTTCGCAGCGAGACAATTACGGATTACCTCATACATGTTTGGTGGCCTACACCCTGAAGAAATGCGTCCTTCAAAATGCATCTTGTCTTGGCTATCTTCCCTGTTTGGTGCCTCGAATCGAGACGAAATGAGCACTGAAGATGGTAATCCGCCCTTCGACGGCAGCTTCCGACGAGTTCCGGCTCAAGACAATATATCACTTCCGCGGGAGATCCGAGCTACTGTGGTTGTTGACAGAGATGGGAACCCGCTTGACGAGGCCGGGAGACGCCTTATGGACTTGCAGAATGCCGAAGCTGAGAAAGCGAAGCGGAACGCCTCAGAGGATTATGCGGTAGTATACCTCCCACCTCACTTCAGAGAACGAGTGATCATCTTCATCGTATCTCTTTGGATTGTTGGATCGTCACTCTTCGTAGCTGGGCTTGCGATCCCTACCTTATTGGGCCGCGCTGTTTTCAGCGTTGTCTTGGGTCGGGAAGTTCATGATGGTTATTCTATCATGCTTGGTTTCTACTTGTTATGGGGGTGTTATTTCGTCGGAACAGTACTGGATCGGATGGACAAGAGACGACAGCGGTCAAACAGCGATGAACCTCGGGGTGAATATGCTGTTTATGTATTCAAACGCGCCATGTTATGGTCCGGAAATGTCGTTTGGGTAGCATTCTGGATTGGTGTTGTTATTCCGACGTTGCTGGCCGTAGTCATCGAGGTTTATCTCGTCCATCCTCTGCGAGTCATGATCAACCCGAATTGGACGCTACAAATTGGTGTATTCGACTCGTGGGCTATTGGACTTGTCTACACAAAGATGGCTCTATCGACAATGCGCCTTCGACCCGAAACACGCATAGACACAGCTTTAAAAGAGGTGAGTGTCGTTAGGCAATGGTCTCTATCTAGAAATGCTCACATGGTTTTCGCAGATGAGAGACAATGGCTGGCGTCGTTTGAATGCAGTCACAGTGACTCTGGACATTATAGCTCCTGTCACTGCAGGTCTCCTCGGCATGCTCTTACTCCCCATACTTCTCGTACTCGGCTTGCAATGGCTCTTACCTTCCAAAATCAATTCAAACACACTCTGTCAGTCTCCTCCTTTCCCTTTACCCAACGTGCCATTTTTGTCTCCAGGACAGCCGTACTTACTACGCTTAACTTGCCCTCCGGTCGCAGTCCTCTACGTTTACCCAGGCATATTCATATCAGCGGCCTTTGCCCGCACGTATACCGCCCTCCAATCGCTCCTTGCCTCTTGGGCGCAGCAAATTCGTGATTCCGAGTTCCTTGTGGAAATGAGGTTGCGTAATTTGGAGGCACCACCTCGGACACGTTCAGTTAGTGCCGAATCGATACCGCCATTGGAGGCGCAGCCGAACAGCCCGGGAGCGGATTAAATTTGGTTTACACTCACCTCAACAAACATAATTTATATTCATTGCTCACACCACTCGTTTGTATTATACAACACAATTGTATCTTTTAGGCATGTCTATAATTTTCAATGCCATGACACTGACAAAAGAATATATGGGATGTGGTTCTTTTACTGAAGATGAAATGTAGATGTAGATGTGTTTATACACGACTTCCATAGACATCCTTGGGCGACGTCCCAGCCTGTCCTTTGCGAATGTTCGCTTGTGCCCATTTTTTAATCCGAATAGACTCAATCTGAATGAATCCGGTGGTATCAGTCGGTTCAAAGCCTCCAAGCTCGTCCATTGAGGACTCGTGCTCATCGTAAAGACCTTCGTCGGAAGAACGTCCTTCGACAACAACGTTGCCTTTGTACAGCTTGAGGCGAACGACGCCGTTCACCGTACGCTGGCTCGCGGGAATGGAAGCGGTAACGAATTCGCGTTCGGGGGTGAAGAAGTGGCCGTTGTACAGAATTTGACTAAGGGCTGGAGTAACGAATGTGTCACGAAGACGACGGACGTTGCGGTCAAGGGTAAGACCTTCAAGATCCATGTGAGCTACTCGAAGGATCGTTGCACCGGGGCTTTCGTAGCATCCACGGCTCTTCACACCGATGAAACGATTTTCGACGATGTCGATTCGGCCGATACCGTGTTTGCGGGCCAGCGAGTTGAGCTCGAGGAAGATCTCAACTGGATCAGTCACGGTCTTTTGGTCAGTGACGACTTTACTGGGGAGTCCATGGGTGAATTCAATGCGCAGCCGCTCTGGCTGCGTTGGCGCGTCCTCAGGCGAGGTGGTGAGCTTCCACATGTCAGCGGGCGGAGTCGTATCAGGATCTTCGAGAATACCTGCTTCGTAAGAGATGTGGAACAAGTTTTCGTCTGTCGACCATGGCTTTGCCGCAGTCTGCTGGACTGGTATCCCCTTTTCCGCAGCGAATTGCAGTAGCGCAGCTCTACCCGCAAAGCGGTTGTAGAATTCTAGTACGTAAATTAGCAAACAGGTCGACATGCAGGATCACAAGAGACAAACCAGGGAGACGCCATGGCGCAATGACTTTGATGTCAGGTTTGAGACCATAGAAGGCCAGCTCGAAGCGAACCTGGTCATTGCCTTTACCAGTGCAGCCGTGCGAGACGTAGCTAAATTAATTTAGTCAGAAATATGTATGACAAGCTGACCCAGATTGCACCCACTCGCACTGCTCCTTTTCTGCTGCAGACATCATGCCGCGCGCAATGACTGGACGAGCTAGAGAAGTCCCGAGAAGGTATACATTCTGCGGAAGTAATACGCTACCGGTAAGTCATGACGGTTTAGTTGATGATAGCTTCTGCGGACCTCGTAGATAGCGTTTGCTTGTACGGCAGGGTATATGAGTTCCGTAATAAACTCGCGCTTGAGATCCTGTGCCACAGCTTTCAGCTCATGCGCAAGATACAGTCAGCGCAATGCATACTTCAAGCACGAACTTCTTAGCGCCAACTTTCAGCGCTTTTGCACGAGCGGCTTCGAAATCCTATGAGCAGAAGTTGATAACTGATACAGTAGAAGTACATGACATGCGCAGCATACCTCCTCCTGTCCAACATCTGCCATGAATGCTACCACATCATAGCCTTGTTCTATAAGCCAGGCAAGAATGCAAGAGGTGTCTAGAAACGCAAGAAACTTGTCGGTATATGCATATAGTGAGATCGATTGCGATACACACCAAGTCCTCCAGAATAAGCAAGAAGAACACGACCCTTTGTCGATGACATTGTCCAAGAATGATCAAGTCCTTTCTTTACTATATTTCAGGCGTGGATAGGGAACGCAGAGAAGACTCGAGTCGCAGCTGGACCGAGTCAGACTTGGCGCGCAACATTTTTCTTTCTTTCAAAAGTTAGCAGTCACGTGGCAGGCTGTACTTAGCGTGTTGGTGAATGTCATCACGTCGTCACATCGCGTCTCAACTTCCCACCTTTGCTGTCCCATTCACCTCCCAGCATCAGCGACAGCGACGACACTACAGAAAGCGCTCCTCTCATTGCTGCTGCACAGCAGCTTGTGCTCTAAGCTTTATTGTTGCCAACTTTCCCCGCCCACCTTGCTCCTCAGTTGACCTGAGCAGCGAGATTATGGTCGTTACGCGCAGAACATCGGTCCCAATGCCCCCCGCGTCAAGAACGACCTCAACGCAGGCCACCCCAAAGATTAACAAAGGCAAAGCTCCTCAGTCCCCCTCTCATGAGCATGGCGAAGTGGAAGACACTCTCCTGAATGGAATGTCTTCGCCGGAGAGAAGATACGTTGGTCCCCAGTTCTCCGACGATGCACTGTTCTCGGTAAGCTCCACTTTGCTTCTCTTTTCATTAGTCTCATCGTGTTCTAGGATGGATCCCCTCCAAGGAAATCCGTAAAGGACAAGACAAAAGCAAAATCAAAGAAAAAAGAGGTACGAGTTCTTGTCTCATTCCCTAATACTTACGTGGCTGATGGTGTCTCAGGAAAAGGTCAAGTCGCGAAGACAGAAGCGACCATCGAGCTGGCTTGATCTCTTTTCTCGCATGTTTATTCTCGGTTTCCTCATTTACTCTTTGTCCATTTGCCCGACGGCCGACTTGCAAGCATCACCCGTATGTCGGGCCCTTTCCGAGTACCGTCGTTTAATCCTGGAGCCATACGTGATCAACCCCGTTCAAAATCTCCTCCTTCATCCATCGGTTTCTCCCTACACAACTCCAGTCATAGAGAAAGCACGCCCCATCATCTCCCGGTCGCAGGAGGAATGGAATTCTCGCGTCGTACCTCAGTGGAATGCCAAAGTAGTACCACAATGGGAGAAGCATGTTGTTCCCCAGTGGAGAGCACATGTCTCTCCGCAGCTAGCTCGCCTAGACACAAAGCTAGACCCATACCGTCAGCGGACTGTTGAAGCATACAACAAGCACGGTGCTCCGTACGTCAAGCAGGCTCGCATGCTTTTGTACAAGACACGCCCCTATGTCATCCTAACTGCCGCAAGGACATATGACACGTATCAAGCATCAAAACCTTATTTGTCTCGTTTTTATGAGCAGCTTCAACGATTGCCTCCGCTTCTTTCCAAATACGTGATCAGACCGCTTGCATCTGCCCGTCGTCAGTTCGTTGATCCTCACGTCGCACTTCTTTGGGAAAAGATCGAGGAACTAAGCTCAGGTACCAAGGAACCCCATGATGTACCAGATGCAAGCGTCGAAGCAGAATTACCCGTCGCGACGTCGTCGATTGTTAAAGAGGCTGAAGGATCAAGTTTGTCTGTTGAAGTTGAGGTTCCCGTTGTCACTAAGACATCGGTTGGAGATGAGCCGCTTGCATCCGCTGAATCAGTCGCTTCTGCGTCGTTGTCTCTTGAACTGACTACTACGAAAGGCTCCGCGGAGACTGCTTCATCTACATTCGTGCCAAGTGAAGAACCCGATAATCTCTCTTCTGCGTCATCTGTAATGTCCGGTTCCTTGGTTCCTGGAAGTGAGACTTCGGAGTCCGTACCAGGTGCAACCTACTCGCCGCAACCAGGCGCCACGTCGGAGACTAATTCACTTCTGGGAGACGACTCAGGATCTCAGCAGGGAGTTAAGATCGAACCAAAGACAGTTGGCGCTTCTTTGGATAATGATGTTGAGAATTCCGAGGCAACGGCACCAAGTATTCGCGATGATGCGTCTGAAGTCGCCGAGGAAATTTCCGCATCCATAAATATCCCCAAGCCTCACAGACCTCCTCAACCCGTTCATTCGTCCGCTTCCGTGAACGAGGACGACGATTTAGATCAGCTATTAGCTGAGTTGGAACTAGATGTGGAGGAAACAATCTCTAGCGACCCACCTTCTACTTCATCGGTCATTGAAGAAACCGAAGAGCAGAAAGCCGCACGCGAGGCAGCGCGTTTGGCTGAAGTTGCCGAAAAACGGCGTGAACTTACCGCGCGGCATACTAGATGGGAAGAGAAGTTGGCGGACACAATCAGTGCACAAAGTGCATCACTCAAAGAGGCTATAACATCAATCCGACGTGTAGGAGCAGCCGAACTCAAGATTAATCTGGCTATTCGTGCTGCTATCCAGACGTTGCATACTGAAGCAGAGAAAGCCTTACGTGGTACGGATGCCTATTTCACGAAACTGAGGGTGGGAGGAAAGCCACGCGCGGAACAGGCTCGTCTTTGGGATCGTGTGCTCGAAAAGGTGCAGGCCAAGTTCGATGAGCGTGTAGATGAAGTAGAAGAAACGGTCAATAAATGGTATCAAGAAGAAGTCCTATCAAAGGAGGGCGAAGAGGTTTGTCTATTAAAGTGGTCTATATAATCTAAGCTCATTCGCTGCTATTTTCTAGATCGAGAAGGCTTCTGCGACCGTGAGGAATGTCGCAGATGAAGCGCAAGCTGATATTGGGCTTGACTATGCATGGCTCGATGACGTGACCTATTTGGACTGGAGACGTTACCATGCTTTACTCGACAGTAAGCATCCATTGCGAAAATATGAGATTAATTCCGTTGCTAATTATCTCTATAGCACATCAGGCCTTTTTGGACGAGACATTGGCCCTGGCCAACGGTTCTCACGAGAACGCGTTTCCGAATGTGGTCTTGGACGCCTTTGAAGACCTTCAGGCCGAAGTACGTGATATTACTCTCGGCTTTGAGACGCGCATGCGTCGTATCAAGCGTGAAGGTGAACGCGCATTTGCCGAGGAACAGCCTGAGGCCGAGCAGCCGGAACCTGAAGTATCCATCCTACCTGTTCCGAATGACGACCAGAAAGAAAACGCAGTCTTGCAAGAAGTGGCTGATGCTATTGTAGGTCGTAGTGAAGAAGAGGTCGAAGCTGCTCTGAATCGGGCGAATGAGCAGCAAGAAAAAGCTGCCCACGTAGAACTTTAGTCTGCGGGGAATGATCATAGCTTTCTGAGATACTCTGTCTCTGTCTATTGAAGCACTTTCTGACCATTACTCCTCTGCTCTCCCCCGTCACTTCCCCCCGATCCGACAAATTAACATTTAACTTTGATTATCGATTATGTTTTATAATTCCGATTTCTCGTTCATGCTTGCTATGATACATATACGTTGTGTAACGCAGGTCTACTAATGGATTTTTCTTCGATTATGCTTCCGTACGTTCGTTAGGAATTGGGCTAGCTGGACAACTTCCCCGTCGGTCAAGTCACTCACCTACCCCATTTTCTACTCTTCTTTCGACAGAGATTCACTCGTCAACACGGACAATCCCACATCAGGCGGCACTGCTCATTAAAATGAATATGACATTATCCCCTTCACTGGTAATGCTTTGGTTAATCCGTTCATGTTGATCGACGTGTAATTCTAGGATGAAATAACTTGCTTTACTACCGGAATATTAACAATTCAAAGGACCCGGTGTGCCCATGAATGGCAGAATATTCGAATCTGCAGGTCTAGCTTGTTTTGACTTATTTAGCCACGCAAGTTTATTATTTAACAACAATTTATATCACAGGTGACTCTTCATAAGTTCATTGTACTTGCAGATTCTGTGTCGACTCAACCAACTTCCCCCATCCTCCGTTATTCCGTGTCGATATTGCTTTCCACGCGTCGCTTTCGGCACCAAGGATGATCTTGATCCAAACCAAGAACCCAACGACAATAGTATCCGCAAACGAGAATTTATCAGCGAAGTAGAATTGCTTCCCTTCTCCATTCCTGTCATAAAATCCTGCAATGGTATCTAGACCCTCCTGGAATTGTTTTAACATCGCATCACGTCCTGGACCAGGTGGCGCTAATTCTTCCAACTTCTTCCCGAGTGTCGCTTCCCGTGTCAGACGCCAGTAAGCCTGGCTCGTCGGATTGAGTTTACCGTGTATCTCGAACATCATGATAGGAAATATCGTCGACCTGACGTTCTGCATGAATACGTGTTCTAGAGCCGCGATAGCGGCCTTTGTACCCGGTGGATAGAGTGCTGGGGTATCGGGATACGTTGCGTCAAGGTATTCCGCGATAGCAGCGGAGTCCGTGATTACTTTGCCCGTCGCCGAGTCGTGAATCGCTGGGAGAGTGTAATGGTCACGGCCATCCGCCTTCTTGCTTGTCGGAGCACCGCCGATTCTCTTCATGGTAGGTTCGATATCTGGATACTCAACCCACTCCGTTTTGTACGGAATACCCTTATAGTTGAGTGACAATCTACAAGGCGTTAATGTTAATTTTGTGGAGCGCGATATTGCTATTCCAGTGCTTACCGAGTCTTGAACGTGTTCGGTGACCAGGCCTGCGGCGAAAGCCTCGACGGGATATCATAGAGGGTAATCATTGTAACAAGTGCTGGTCGAGAGTGGGCCTACAGTACGGTCGGTATAAGAGTTGGGTGACCTCGACCTTGACAGCCTGAGAATATGAACATTCTCATGGATTATCTTTATAATCCAAAGGGCCTATGTTGTTTATAACCGCAATTCCATTTGGTACGACGTTTCCATGTGACGCCATAGCGCTGCTCAGTCATCCAGTACCGAAGTAGGGTTTCTTGATTCCGGGGAGAAATCGATTCGGCTGCATCCATGCGACAGAAGTTGTTTCTGATTCCCAGGCCCAGCTACAAAACGAGCAGAAAATGGAAACCATATTCGGTGTTGACCTTCTCCTGGATCCGCAGCTGGTTATCATGACTTGAATGCTTGATCAAGGGATCTGAGAGTGCCAGCCCCGACTAGCAGTGACAATTGCCATAGAACTAATAGAAGAAGAGTGGAATGAGTAGGTGCATTACTAATCTGATCATTTGTAGACTAGTCATTGTACTCAATCGCAGGCTTCGACTCTTGCAGTTATCTCATCACCTGTCCAACTGAACTGTTCCATGGCTTCAAGCACACTTTATGGACACTCATTGAGTTGCAATATTATATCAGCTGATAGTTTTAGAACGTCACGCCTAGCTTCGTCAGTAAAGTCACTCATAAAAAAAAATTCAACCAGGTCCACGCATCTTTGCAGACCGTTCTGTGTTCTCATCACAACTAGAGTATCACGATTCATCACTCTGCTTTTTGTCTGTTTAATAGTGTCATATCCGAAAGTAGGAATATACAAATTCACATCTACTCATGGGATGGTAGGAATCCGTAGGATATTCGAATCCTGATCTAGTGTTATTCTGACATATCTTATATTTAACAACTCACTGTACCACAGTCAACTCGTCATCATACTTGCAGCTTCTGTGTCGATTCGACCAATTTTCCCCATCGTCCGTTATTCCGTGTCGATATCGCTTTCCATGCGTCGCTCTCTGCACCTAGAATGGCCCTGATCCAAATCAAGAAACCAACGACGATAGCATCCGCAAATGAGAATTTATCAGCGAAGTAGAATTGTACCCCTTCTCCATTCCTGTCATAAAATCCCGCAGCAGTATCCAGACCCTCCAGGAGCTGCTTCAACATTGCATCACGTCCTGGACCAGGTGGCGCTAATTCCTCTAACTTCTTCCCAAATGCCGCTTCCCGAGCAACGCGCCAATAAGCCTGGCTCGCTGGGTTGAGTTTACCGTGCGTCTCAAACATCATGATAGGAAATATTGTCGTCTTGATGTTCTGCATGAATATGTGTTCTAGTGTCGCGATAGCGGCCTTGGTACCCGGTGGGAAGAGTGCTGGGGTGTCGGGATACGTCGCGTCAAGGTATTCCGCGATAGCAGTGGAGTCCGTGATTACTCTGCCCGTCACTGAGTCGTGAATCGCTGGGAGAGTGTAATGGTCACGGCCGTCTGCCTTCTTGCTTGTTGGAGCACCGCCGATTCTCTTCATGGTAGGTTCGATATCTGGGTACTCGACCCACTCTGTTTTGTACGGAATGCCCTTATAATTGAGTGACAATCTACGAGGAGGCAATGTTGAATTCGCATATACTGTATGATATTGTTGCACCGATACATACCTGGTCTTGAACGTGCTCGGTGACCAGGCCTGCGGCGAAAGCCTCGACGGGATATCATAGAAGGTAATCATTGTAACAAGTGCTAGTCGAGAGTAAGCCTACGGTATGGTATAAGAGTTAAGTGACCTCGACCTTGGCAGCCTGAGAATATGGCCGTTCGCATGGATTATCTATAATCCAAAGACCTACATACCTACATGTCGTTCATAATTCCATTTGGTACGAGATATCCATGTGACGCCTTAGCGCTGCTCAGTCATCCAGTACCAAAGTAGGATAAATCGATTCCGCTGCATCCATGCGATAGCTTATTTCTAATTCCCGAACTACAGAACGAGTGGAAAATGGAAACAACATCCGCTGTTGACCTTCTCCGGAATCCACAGCTGAATTCGTTATGGCAGAAATGCTAGATCAAGGTATTTTGAGAGTGCCAGCCCCGGCTAGCAATGACAAGTGCTATACAAGAGTGGAACAGGGATATAGCCATGCAAGGCATGGCACGGGTTACGATGACGTAAAAAGAGAATGATTACATAATAGTAGGATGTATTCGGAGTGTGTGAGAAATTACCAAAAATAGATAAATAGCTACACACCATGCTCCTTTAATAAGACTAGACAGTCAATTTGTGATCAAACTGACTAAGCAGTTTTGTATCAGTGACATTAGCAAATAACAGAAAATAAATTCATTAGACAGATTTAATATAACAAGAAGTCTTAAAGATCATAAGGAAAGAAAATGTTAGACTTTGTTTTTAGAGCATTTACCAAGAAGCAAGAAAAATAAATTAAGATACACAAATGAAGTTTGTGACATGGCTGTCCAGTGGTAGAGATGTGGCAGAGAAAAGCTCTGTCAGACCCCCCCTGGGAAGAAACTGTGGGAGAAAGTTGATTTTTATATTGAAAAAAAGTCACAACTGAATTGCATCAGTGTGACCACTGACTTGTACCTGGTGCCTGCAAAACGAGAGGCAACAAATCGTGCAATAACTCTTGAATGCATAATTGAATTCTCTCAGTTATCTTTGTACATGTCAAAGCTTTTTAGAAGACAACTTTATATCTATAAAGATTAGCACTGTAAGTGATATCTGAAGAAATAGATTTTTTTCATCTTCGCAACGGACGATTCCTTACGTCATCGTAATGAGTAGGCACATTACTAATCTGATCATTTGCTAGTCATTGCACTCACTCGCAGGCTGCGACTCTCGCGGTTATCTCATCACGTGTCCAACTGAACTGTTCCACGGCTTCAAACTCACATTATGGACACTCATTGAGCTGAAATACCATATCAGTTGATAGTTTTAGAACGTCACTCTGGTAGCGTTGTGCCTTGGAATATTTATTAGGGATCATGACAGCTGGTCAGTTTCCCCACCTAGTTTCGTCAGTAAAGTCACTCATAAAATTTTCCTTTTCAACCAGATCCACGCATCTTTGCAGACCGTTCTGTGTTCTCATCATAACTAGAGTATCACGATTCAACACTCTGCTTTTGGCCTGTTTGATAGTGTCATATCCGAAAGTAGGAATATACAAATTCACATCTGCTCATGGGATGGTAGGATATTCTGACGTATCTTATATTTAACAACTCACTGTACCACAGTCAACTCATCATCATACTTGCAGCTTCTGTGTCGATTCGACCAATTTTCCCCATCGTCCGTTATTCCGTGTCGATATCGCTTTCCATGCGTCGCTCTCTGCACCTAGAATGGCCTTGATCCAAACCAAGAAACCAACGACGATAGCATCCGCAAATGAGAATTTATCAGCGAAGTAGAATTGCATCCCTTCTCCATTCCTGTCATAAAATCCCGCAGCAGTATCCAGACCCTCCAGGAGCTGCTTCAACATTGCATCACGTCCTGGACCAGGTGGCGCTAATTCCTCTAACTTCTTCCCAAATGCCGCTTCCCGAGTAACGCGCCAATAAGCCTGGCTCGTCGGGTTGAGTTTACCATGCGTCTCAAACATCATGATAGGAGATATCGTCGGCTTGATGTTCTGCATGAATATGTGTTCTAGTGTCGCGATAGCGGCCTTTGTACCCGGCGGATAGAGTGCTGGGGTATCAGGATACGTTGCGTCAAGATATTCCGCGATGGCAATAGAGTCTGTGATCACTTTGCCTGTCGCTGAGTCGTGAATCGCTGGGAGCGTGTAATAGTCACGGCCGTCTGCCTTCTTGCTTGTTGGAGCACCGCCGATTCTCTTCATGGTAGGTTCGATATCTGGATACTCAACCCATTTTGTTTTGTATGGGATACCTTTATAATTGAGTGACAAACTAAATAATGATTTAAAAAATTTGATGTAGTACAAATTTATTACGACAATACTTACCGCGTCTTAAATGTATTCGGCGACCAGGACTGTGGCGAAAGCCTAGACGAGATATCATAGAATGTAATCATTATTATAATTAGTGCTAGTCAAGAAGAAGTCAATGGGGTTGAGATTGAAGCAACCTGGATCTTTGACAACCGACAACCGAGAATATGTACGCTCACAAGACTGTATTTATAATCCGAAAACCTATATGGCCTTTATAAGCACATTTCCATGTGCTGCGTGCGTAGTATACGCTGCTCAGTCATCCAAGTCCAAAGTAGGCTCCTGACACAGACTAAACAATCTCGACAGCTTCCATTTGCAGCTTATTCCCAATTCTTCGGGTAGATAACGACCCGAAACAGAAATTCAATTCAATGTCGATGTCCCCCTGAATCCATCATAACAGGAAAAAACAGAAATGTTAGATCAAGGGGTTTCTGATTTCAAGAGTGCTCGCCTTTGACTAGTTATGTCAATTGCCATGAACTTGAAAGACCACACATTACTAAGCTAGGAATGCAACTAGATTAGTCATGTCCCCAACAGTGATAATCACATCCCAGGCCTACCAAGACGTTCCATGGCTTCAAGCACGTATCATGGACATTCATCGAGCTGCAAAATTATAATTATTATGGTATCTGATAATTTTAGAGCATCACTCTGCTAGGATTATGCCCTTGGCATATTTACAGTAATAAGAATCATGACAGCTGGTCAGCCTTCCTTCCTGATGTCGTCGTGAAGTCACTCATATTTCTTTTCAAACAGATCCACGCATCTTCGTAGACCATTCTGCGTTCTCATTATAACTAGAGTACCACAGTTCACTGCTCTGCCTTTGACTGTTTGATAGTGTCAAGCTAGGCACATACATTAGCAATAAGTATTCAAAGATGCGTGCCATTTAAACATGGCAGACATCTCAGAGAACGTTTGTCATTGATCCCTCATATTTCACTGTTCCCATTTACTACTTCTCAGGTATTTGCACCGCAGCCGATTCACTATCACGTGTGCAAAGTCTTTGTCGATTCAACCAGTTTTCCCCATCTTCCATTATTCCAGGTCATCACTGCTTTCCACGCGTCGCTTTCAGCACCTGAGACGACTTTAATCCAAGCCAAGAATCCAACGACAATGGCATCTGCATACGAGAATTTATCGCCGAAGAAGAAGTGCTTTCCTTCTCCATTCCTATCGTGAAATCCCGCAAGTTCATCCATTTCCTCCTGGAACTGCTTCCAAATCACGTCACGCTTGGGACCTGGCGGCACGAATTCTTCCACCGTACTCCCAAAACGTATTTCACGCCAGTAAGTCTCGCTTGGTGGGTTGAGTATACCGAGCACATCAAACAACATGGCGAAAAGTATTGTATCGATTTTTTTCATAAAGACGTGCTCGAGTGCCGCGACTGCAGCCTTTGTACCTGGTGGGAAGAGTGCTGGGGTATCGGGATACGTCGCATCAAGGTATTCCGCAATAGCAGTGGAATCCGTGATCACTTTGCCTGCCATCGAGTCATGGATCGCCGGTAGCGTGAAAAAGTCACTACCGTCTGGCTTCTTGCCTGTTGGAGAACCGCCGATTCTCTTCATGACAGGTTCGATATCTGGATACTCGACCCACTCTGTTTTGTATGGGATGCCCTTATAGTTGAGCGGTACTCTAAATGACGTTGGTCTGGAACAATATGGTATCTGCTGTGGCGTTTCTTACCGTGTCTTAATCGTGTTTGGTGACCAGGCCTGTAGGCCAAGCTTCGACGGGATATTATAGAAAGTAATCATTGCTGTATGTGCTAGTCCGGGCCAGGCCTACAGATATGAGATGCACAGTGACCTCGATGTTGCCACCCCTGGGAATACCTGAGAATGTCTTGTCTTGCACGCACGCGGACTCTCTTTATTTACAATTCAAAGAACCTACTTGCCCTTTACATTTAAACACACTTCTGAGACTTCTCCATGCATGATGCAGTGAGGCAGAACTTTGACGAAACTCTCACACTCTTCTAGCTGATTTCCAACGCAATTCCGGTAGTAGCTATTACAATATCTTATTCAATATCTAATTTGTTAGGCATGTTCATTCCTTATCAGTTCTTTGTATCATTACGGCCGACTCACCATCACACTTGCAGGTCCTTCGTTGACTCAACTAATTTCCCCCATCTTCCGTCACTCCACGTCGAAATTGCCTTCCACACGTTGTTTTCAGCGCCAAGGACGACTTTAATCCAAGCCAAGAATCCAACGACGATAGCATCCGCAAATGAGAATTTATCAGCGAAGAAGAATTGTTTCCCTTCTCCATTCCTGTCGTAAAATCCTGCGAGAATGTCTAGATCCTCCTTGAGCTGCTTCAAAATCGCATCACGTTCTGAACTCGGCGGTACAGGCCATTCCGCTTTACGTCGCCAATATGTCTCGCTTGGGGGGTTGAGTATACCAAGCACACCCGGCATCCCGATGGGAAGTATCGTCATAATATTCTTCATGAAGATGTGTTCGAGTGCTGCTACCGCCGCCTTTGTACCTGGTGGGAGGAGCACTGGAGTATCGGGATACGTCGCATCAAGGTATTCCGCGATGGCGTTAGAATCGGTGACCACTTTGCCTGTTGTCGAGTCGTGGATCGCTGGGAGTGTATAGTGGTCACGACCATCCTCTTTCTTGCGTGTCGGAAGTCCACCGATTTGCTTCATGGTGGGCTCGATATCTGGATATTCAACCCACTCCGTTCTGTATGGAATGCCCTTATAGTTGAGCGACAATCTACACGACGATGTTTATAAACAGTACGATATCTACTCTAGCAATACTCACCGTGTTTTGAATGTGTTTGGCGACCAGGCCCGCGACGACAGTTTCGACGGGATATCATAGAAGGTAATCATTATTGTGTGTGTTATTTCAAAGGAGGTCTATCGATGTGAGAGGGACAGTGGCCTCGACGTTAACATGTTGAGAATACTTGAGGATATATTCTGTCTTTCGGATAAACCCTTCATTCATTGTTCGAAAATCTGCAGAGTCTTTATAAGCACACCTCTCTGCACGCTTATTCGTTCTCGTGTGCGGAGTAGTACTGCTCAGTCATCCAATTCCAAGTTCGATCTTCGAACCAGGGACTCAGCCACCTCAATGCAACAACTACTTCTGGCTCTGGTCACAAACTATGAAGACAAAAGGCATATTCATTATGCCGAATCCGCGGTTTGTGGCGCATAAGCACCATTACGCCAGACATGCGGGATCAAGGGCTCTCGAGCGCGCTCATCTCTGATTAGTCTTGTCAATCGCGATGAAAATCTAGGCATATTTACAGCGTTCTTGTTGTCGGTGTGATCCCATCTGTGCCTTATAATTGACGAATCATATGCAAAGTGTGCAACTGGTTGGCTGCAAATACAACGGATGGAATGTTGCATATGTTATTTGCATTATGACATACAGTACAGTTCGGCGGAAGGGATCACATCTATAGTGCTAAATGGAACCGCCCTATATTACACGGAACTGGGATTTCAGCTGCGGCGCAGTAAACCGAATAAACCAAATAATATTATTCTCATCTTTTATAGTACAGTAGTCCAAGGTAAAAAGATGTAATAATAATATATTGAAATATACTGTATCTCAAACCTATATTATTGCGTTCGACCTGATCTGCCAGACATGATATAGCCTAAAAAAATCCGAATTAACTTGGTAATAAAGCTAAGTCGTTACACTAGTCTTCCCACTATTGAGAGACGTTAGCAAATTCTACAGTGTTGCTTACAATGCATCGTAAATATGCAGATTAGAGTCTGGAGAGATGGAATTTTATAAATGTTGCGCGACTTGAAACGGCATCATGCCGATCGGACGCTCTTCCGATGATCGACCATCGAAGCAACTTTCTGACCCGACACCACCAGCTGTGTTCTAAATTTACTATTACAGTATTCTTACCAATGACTGCAATTTTGTTAAGCTTGTAGAAGTGAGGTATAACTACCTTGTTCTCGCCACGGCACAAGTGTTGTTTCTCCCTTTGCTGTGGTGCTAGATGCATATCTCGCTTCAAAAGTTGAAACCCCCACCGGCAGTGTTGTTGTGACCCTTGTAGGAGGATATCTGACTATCTCCTCTTGGCCATTACCCGGAGCCAATGAGATCTTTTCCATACCCGCACGCGTGTCCCACGAGCACGGGCGCTGATATCTCATTAGTCGAAAATGCAGGCAAGGCGCCGCGCAGATAGGGTAGCACAGACACACACTGCCCATAAAGCTAGAGACACGTCCGCTCCGTCCGTTTCGGTATCCCACCAGATTTACTCTACTGGCTCTGCCTTAAGGTAATCTGGGCCATGACTCTCGCTTCCAGCTCGCCGTCCAGTATGGTGTCTTCAGTATTTGCATCGCACTTCAGCGACGAGGATTTCCTTCGTCAAAACGCAGCCTATGTCGTAGCAGGCATTTGCGTCTTACTCGTGTCCATCACCCAATTCCTGAAGTCTAAGAAGCCAGCGGTGAGCATATCATTAACCTTGTGGGATGCCAGCTGATAAAGTTATAGGTTGATGTGCCATTGGAATGTGCCTCTGGTGGTATTATTTCCCCTTACCAAGGTGCACAGGAGTTCCTTAAGAGCGGGAGGAGCATCTTACTGGATGCTTACAAGAAGGTGTGAAAACGTGTTCCGCTTATATACAACTGTTGCATCCTTACATGTCATTTCGTGCCCATAGTATGGTCGTGGAACATTCCAAATACCTGAGACGAGCTGGTATACTGTGGTTATACAACGGCCCGATATTATTGAACAGGTCAGGAGAGCCCCTGATGACAAGATGTCTTTTGAAGAGGCGAACGCTGAGGTTGGTACTTTAAATTCCGAGTGTCTTCAAAGCTCAATAACAGGAATTTCCTAAGACCTTTGCGCTTCATCTTGTTTTTGGAGGACCACCAGGAAACGTGCCTGTCGTCACCCATGTCGTGCAAAACCGTTTGACCCGGGCTCTTGCCACAGTTTTCGATGATGTCCTAGACGAAATCTCAGTTGCATTTCGTGACAATGTCCCGGCGACCACTAAAGGTGAGTACCATGGCCCCTTTTGATCAGCAGATGCGGGAACAAACTGTTGTTGTGCTGTAGATTGGGTGGCTGTAGATGGGATGAGTGTCATGAGGAACGTCGTATGCAGAACAAGCAACAGAATTTTCGTCGGCGCTCCTCTCTGTAAGTCTGATGCTGTGTTCAAAGAATTAACATTGCCGCGATTAACACGATGATTATCTTCAACTATGAAGGCAGGAATGCAGACTATATTGATCTGAACATTAATTTAACAATTGACATTGCGATGACCGTGGATAAGATCAACAAGGCCGCAAGGCCCTTCCGTCCGTGAGTATTACAATAATGTTTTCGACATATTGCCAGAGTTATTTACCATTTGAAATAACTATAATTAGGATTGTTGCGAAAATCCACGGCCCGATGCCGAAGGCCCTCGCTCGTGGGATGAGACACCTTCGTCCAATACTGGAAGAGAGATTCAGAATGTACGATCAATACGGTGAAAATTGGTCTGGGAAGCCGGTGAGTCCAACGTTAAAGCATCTACTATGCAGAAGGACTTGATATTTGCCAAGGACGACATGATTACCTGGGTCATCGAAGAACTACCGAAGAATATGAACCGCAATGTGACAGAGATTACCCGGATACTGCTTGGTATTAATTTTGCGGCAATTCACACGTCCTCTAATGTAAGCCAGCTTGCGTTGATATGTCACCCGTTTGCGCCAAGTACTCATGTCTTAATCACTTTACTGCACAGAGTTTCACTCACGCCCTATACCATCTTGCTGCTGAGCCGAAATACGCTAAACCTCTGCGTGAAGAGGTTCAGAAAGTAATTGCCGAAGAAGGATGGACAAAACTCGCGATGACGAAAATGTGGCAACTTGACAGCTTCATGAAGGAAAGTCAACGCTTCAACGGAGTGGGACTTAGTATGCTTCACATCTATTTCCCTTCTGTTCCAAGTATTTACGCTCGCATTTCTTAGTGTCGTTACAGCGGAAAGTCATGTCCGACTCAGGCTTCACATTGTCGGACGGCACGTTTTTACCCAAGGGAACGCTACTTGCCGCAAATGCGGAAGGTTTGCATCGCGACAACTCGATCTACCCGGACGCAGACAAATTCGATGGATTCCGATTCTCAAGGATTCGCAATGAAAGTGAGGGAGATCATGTCAAGCATCAAATGGTGAACACAAATGCAGAATACTTGGCTTTCGGGCATGGCCGCCATGCCTGGTGCGTCTGTCTAGTATTTTGTTTGATGCGCAAGATGCTCACTCCGACTCTTGTAGCCCTGGAAGATTCTTCGCTGTCAATGAGTTGAAGGCAATGATGGCATTTATCGTTCTGAACTATGACGTGAAGTTTGAGAATGACGGCGCTCGGCCAGATAATATGTACTTTGGGAAGAATGTGATACCTAACCCGATGGCCAAGGTGCTGATTAGGAAGCGTGTAGATGTCTAGTCTCAGCATCTAAATATATCCCTCGCGAGCAAGTGGGGTTTGACTTGTAGATTACTTGCTATAATGAACGTTAAAATATGCAGTATCGCTGTTAATGGAAAATCAAAGTACTTGTCAAAGTGCAAAAGCTTTACAATTATATAATATAATGCTATAATACAAGTCATATCTAATGCACGTGACGCGCTCATGACCAAAAATCTTTCAAACAGTTTCATCAATTGTAACTTCCACCCATACTTTTGACTGTACAACTCTGCAAACGATTACCAGTTACGCGTTTAAGGACTTCGTCTAGTCGGGGATGGCGCCCAAATCATGTGCTCTGTGTAACAATGCTAAAGCAATCCTCAAGCGCCCCAAAACCGGGCAGCAAATATGCAAGGAGTGCTTCTTCTACGTCTTTGAAACAGAGGTGCACAACACCATTACGGATGCGAAGCTTTTCAAGCCGGGAGATCGAGTGGCTATTGGTGCGTCTGGAGGGAAAGGTGAGTGACATGGACGACTCGTTATCTTAATTGTTAGGAGCTCATTGACGAATGCGTAGCTCAGATTCGACTGTTCTGGCGTATGTCATGAAGACGCTGAATGAGAGGTATAACTACGGACTCGACTTATTCTTGCTGTCCATCGATGAGGGTATTACAGGATACCGAGATGATTCGCTAGAGGTGCGCCTTAAGCGAGGACTGATTTAACGTGGATAAGTTTCACTGACTCGGCTTTGTAAAGACCGTCAAACGAAATCAAGAGCAGTACTCCATGCCCCTCAAAATCCTGTCGTACGACGAACTATACGGGTGGACCATGGATGCAATCGTCTCAAAGGTTGGGAAGAAGAATAACTGCACGTTTTGTGGTGTATTCCGGCGTCAAGCTCTTGATCGGGGAGCTACGACGCTAAATGTCGACCACATCGTGACTGGTCATAATGCAGACGACATCGCTGAGACTGTGCTTATGAATAGTAAGTTTATTTAGAGCTGCCTTCTATGAATTTGTCTTGACAGAGCTTGTTTTCTCATAGTTATGCGTGGCGATATTGCTCGCCTCGGACGATGTACTCTAATATGTACGCAGGGTGAAGACACAATAAGGCGGTCCAAGCCCTTCAAGTACGCCTATGAGAAGGAAATTGTAATGTGCGTCACATCGTTTCATAAGGTACATTGTATGCGCTATTAACACTGTTCACGTCTCAGGTATGCGTATTTCAAGCGCTTGGATTACTTCTCAACGGAATGCATATATTCCCCGGACGCATACCGAGGCCATGCTCGAGTCTTCTTGAAAGATCTCGAGGCCGCACGACCGAGTGCCATTATCGACATAATTCATTCTGGAGAGGCTTTCGAGTTACGAGAAGAGGTTCGAAAGGGCCAAAAGGCACAGCGTAAGTAATTCTCCCGTAACAAAATCTTTGGTCTGGTTAACTCAAATATGCGTGTAATTTACGACCTATAGAAACATGCGAACGATGTGGATACATGTCGTCTAACCCACTGTGTAAAGCATGCACGCTTCTGGAAGGCCTCGAGCGTGGTATAGCAGAGGCTGGCATCGTAAGTGCTTCATGGTCTACTCCCATACAACTTCTCTGCTCACTTTATTTTTTGTTGTTGTCCCAAAGACCGACCGAGGGAAGCGCAAACTCGACGAGGCTGGACCGGCATCATCCAATCTCCGCACGATTCCGTTCTTCGAGATGCCACAGGCCTCAGGTCCAGGACCAGCCGTTGAGATAGATCCAGGGCCATCGCAGAGCTGGTACTCACGCTCTTGACTCGTTATTGTTCCGACTCTGGTAGTAGAACCTCTAATTTACGCGTTCATACATATGGTTATTGCATTCATCAGCGCTGCACAGCACAAGATAACCATTTTTTGTTGTGTGAATAGCTTATCACATTGTACTTTCATTAGTGGTTGTATTAGACTATTAAATATGAAAAGACTCGAAATCACCCATTGCACAAGACTTGTGTTTACTCAAGATTGCTGTAACAGATGACGGCTTGACTCATAGCATGCTCTAGGGTATTAAATCTGTACCATTTCGGGGCTTTGTACAGCAAGTAATATTAGGATATAATGTATGTACTTTTTGTGTCTATCGGTGAGCGTGTTGGACATGTATCGTCATATGATCGCGAGCGCATACAACCTCGCCCCCAAACTCCTTTTCCGCAAGGCTACGTATCCCCTCCATAATTGCCTTGGACTCGGGATTCACATCATCGTCTCCCTTGTATCGCGCGCTAAAGTGGTTCAGAGCAAGTCTTCGCACCCCAGCCGAACGGGCGAAACGTCCAGCCATTTGCGGAGTCGAGTGACCTCGACTTCGCGTGCGCGCCTCAACGCTCTCGTGTGTATCCTCATCGCGAGTTTCTGGGTCGAGACCTGGGAGATGTGCGTTCGTCGCTTCGTGGATAAGCAAGTCTGCGCCTATCGAAAGAGGTAGAATAGGTGAAGGGTCGTACGTATCGCCCAGAATGACGACTTTCCTCCCTGGTCGGCGTGGTACGCCCGTTAAAACCGTCCCATCATCCAGTGTAATTGTCTCTCCGCGTTGTAATCGCGAGAGATTTGACATCGGTGCCTTATTCCGATTTAAGTGGGGAACGTACTGCGTTGGGTCCATCTTTTGTGGTATGGGTGCTTCGGCGATGACGTACCCGACGCATGCGACGGAGTGCATGATAGGTGCTGCGGAGACGGATATTAAGTCGTCGACATAGATGTCGTTCCATACACCTTCGTCTGTTTGTAGAAGGTTCTTGCCAGGTAATTCGCAATGGTGTGGTCGTAGGTTGGTGTAATCGCCATTCTGGGGATCTCGGGGTAGTCGGAGCTCGTGGACGACATATCGGCCTTGTAGTGTTGTGTGGGTGAGGCGTAGGACGCTACGGAGATATGCGCGAGTTCCGAGAGGACCGTAGATCTCGAGGGGCTGGTATGGCGATGAGTCTTTAATATTACGATGCAATGCAGTTTAAAAAACCTACCTCCACTTCTTCAGGTTCAGGTTCTCGTAGTCTCTTATCTGACACACCATCAATCATCCCACCAGAACCATTCATACATCCAGCCATTAAAGGAGCAATACCAAAAATATGATCGCCTACAACGCAAAACGAATTTCAAGTATGCAAGTCAAGCTCATATCCCATCCCAGTAGATAAGAGGTGTAAGAGATGGCTCACCATGAGTATGAGTGATAAATATCTTCCTAATCTTCCCCATCTTCAACGTACTCTGCTGTAACCTCTGCTGCGTCGCTTCTCCACAATCAAACAACCATAAGTCTCCTCTCCCACCCAAATGCAGAGCAAGCGACGAGTGGTTTCGCGTCGAAGATGGTTGAGCAGAGGCAGTTCCAAGGAAAGTTATACTAATGTTAGATAACGTGGCAGATTGCGAAGCCATGTTCGTTCGCGATGGAGGCATATGGAGTCGCGTGCGTAAGTTGAGTACAGGTGTAGGTGCGTTGTTGCGCGAATGTGAAAGAAAATTGGGATGACGAGCGAATGTGCTGAGGCTGCAGCTGCTTCGAGCGAAAAGATGAGTGAGTTTCGTAGCGTGTAACTCGGAGAAACGAGTCAGGGCGAACATATACGTATGTAGAGCGCCCTGTCCCACAGACTCGGAGATCGAGTCACTACAGCACAGTAAACAAAGCGAGAAAAGCCGAAAGTCTATTCAAGTACGGTCTAATGAGTGAATCAGCCAAGTCATGGCACTTGCAGCCTTAGAGTTGTAGGCACATCTATACCTTCCCTAGATAATACGAGCGAACTTCAAAGATGTTGAAGGATGAAGATGGCAGGTGAAAAGTGCGTTTTACAGAGTTTACGCGGATCATGTGACTAAATGTGCTGGAGATTCGAGAACGAAATTTCAATGAATGGATCGACGGCCAGAACGACCAAAACTCAGATGAGAAATCAATAAAACAGATAGCATGTAGCAAATATGCGGAGTACACAAAAGTCCAGCGAAGAAAACTAAAACTAATGCACTTCGTCCACTACATCTATCCCGTCTACATTGACCTCAGTAGTATGACCGTGAGCGTCCAAGTCGTGACTATCATCAACTTCACCATCCGCATCTGCGTCCCCATCTGCACGAGCAAACATATACATCGGATCAGTGACCTCAGCAAGTACCTCATCGCGTTCTTCAAGCTCTTCTGTAGTGAAAGGAGCCAAGGACAAGTTGATTGCGTCCCATTTGTCGGAGTATGTGTTCCATTGCTGGGTAAAGTCTAAAGTCAGGAAGGCTGGATAAAGATAGTAATGAAATTACGCACCGCAGCACGCCTTTTCTTGAGCAGGATCTTTCGCTCGATGTTTTTGTAGTAGGCACCCTTCTCTCTCCGACCTGAATCACCCTCGGATTTGATATCGCCGTCATCGAGAACAAGTAAGAACTCGTTCTGGACGTCTTGTTCGATTTTGACCGTCTCGTAATCCCGGATGAAAGAGAATATCGTTTCCTAAAGCACCGTTAAGCGGAGCAAGGATGGACCAAATTAGGCGGAACTCACCTCGACGTTCTCTCCATTTCTTCGTCGTTCCACGAAGTTTTCTGCCATCTCGTCTTCCTTTGGCAAGAAGTACGCCAAGAAGTGGTCTCCGTCTGCTTCCATAGGTCGCAGAATTCCACAATTTATTCGTGGATCAGGAACCTGTAATTCCTTAAGTATAACTCCCTTTTATACGAGTTGGACAAGGATACACCTACATCTGCTGCCCGGTCACCTGGTCGTTCAGAGAACCGGAATAAGTCATATGCATTTGCCCAGATGTCCGTATCCGGAAGTATCTCGTAAGATTCGACGGCAGTAACGCCCGGCTTGTTTGGATGTTTAAGTTGAGAGAGATCAAAGTTGTCGCCTAGGGATCTAAAGGAGTTTTCAATGTCTCGTAATTGAGCTTCTCGAGAGATGTCGACGATTCTTGCGTCCTCAGCTGCGGCTGTCCGGCGCCTAGAAAGAGACTTTTAACCCTAGGATGCAAATTAGATTAAAAGAGAACGACTCACGTATCGCGGATGACGGTTGGAGTCCGGTTGACAGTACTACTAATGTACTCCGTTTTTCGAAGCCACGAAACCTGAGGAGCTGAAGGTGTCCCGTTGCCTGTAAAGACACCATTGGACGTAGGAGCAGAGGTGTCTCCTAGCATGAACGCATCTTTAGGGTCGACCGGGGGTAACATTTCTGGATCCGGATTGATTTCTATGCATCCAAAGTCACGGAAGTTATTATGCATAAAAGATATAAAAACAAGCTGGTCGAAGTACATACGTGAATCGTCCTGGCCATCTCCCCACAGACACTCATAGTAGCTCAGGTCAAGAGGCATTCCAAGGTCTGCGTCTACGACCATAGGCAATGGCGTCTCGCTAGCCAACGAGGCAGTGAAGTCGGGGCCCGCATATCGCGTTGGGTTTGTTGGGATGTTTAGGAGTTTGGGCGGGAAGGGAGGTGGTGGAAGCGGGTTTTGAAAGCGGACCTTGAAGAGCAGGTCAAGCTTACTGTTCCAAGCAAGATTAAGTGAGTGAATATAACAAAATATGGACAGGATAGAAAATACCTTTTCTTGACGGACATCGTTGCAGTAAATATTCATTCAATGAACGTGACAAGACCGCGGCGGACCGAAAGTCGCGCGAAATGGCTGTAGCACGTGATGCACTACTTCTAAATGGGGCATCTAGAATCATTAAAGTTATCAGATAACACGACATCCCGCGTCTAATTAAGAAATATGACAACTGCGGCATAACGCGTGAACTGACTTCTGGTTCTTTTCCGCCCACCACCTTGCCCACGCGTCTCTCTCTTTACAATTAGCTTGTACAATGTCTGAGCCTACTCCTGCAGACGCAACCGTGCCTTCTGCTGAGCCTGCTACAGCACCAGCGCCTGCGGCAGAGGTTGAAGAGCCCCAGAACGCCCTGACAAAGAAATTTACTGAGGCCGAATGGAAGGCACTCAAGGAGTTTAGGGTACATAGATTACGCAGTTTTATGTCGAGATGCATTTCTGACATGCTAGGCATGGCATAGGCTACTCTTCCTAGCGTTGTTGAAGAGGTTTATGGAAAAGAGAAACCAGAGACTATTAAACTTTGGGGAGTCTCATTTGACCCGAAAGGAACTGCGGATGCGCGCGCCAGTGTCGTCTTGATGAAGTTCCTGCGAGCTAGGCAAGTTAAAGTAGGCGACGTTGGATAATGAATGAAACTGATTATGACTTTATCTATCTGGATTTTAAAGAGATTTGAACGTCGAGAATGCAAAGGCCATGTTAGTCAAGACGCTCAAGTGGCGAATCGAGTTCAAGACGGATGACATCCTAAAGGAAGAGTTCCCTCAGGATGTGTTCGGGAACTTGGGCCATATATATGGCAAGGACAAGGAAGGCCGTCCTGTAACGTACGTCGCTTTGTACATAGCGACGAGCCTTGAGAGTTTAATAGTATTGTGTTTCCTGCCGTTTAGCTACAATCTCTACGGAGGAAACCAGGATCTAAAGGCTGTATTTGGAGACGTGGACCGTTTCATCAGGTGCGTTTGTTGTTTCCACTTGCGTTCACAGACATTGAGCTTCATTAGGTGGCGTGTGCAACTAATGGAAAAGGGCATAGCTCTCATCGACTTTGAGAATATTGATCAAATGGTTCAGGTTCATGGTAAGAGGCGTTCTCGTCTGTTTGGACCAATCATTGTCTGATTCTCTTGTTAGACTATGAAGGTGTTGGTCTGAGAAGTCGTGATGCAAACTCAAAGAAAGCAGCAGCCACTGCCTCCACCATTTTCCAGGATTATTACCCCGAATTCCTTGTAGGTTATCTATCTTAAGTCTACCCAACCTCAGATGCTGAAAGCATTTCACAATAGTATAAGAAATTCTTCGTCAACGTTCCTGCCATCTTCAACTGGATATTCTGGTACGCTTCGCCACATCACGTCATCAAGTCTTGCTAAACAGTAATTTTAATTCTAATAGGCTCTTCAAGCCGATCATCTCGGCTCAGACCCTGGCGAAGATGAGCGTTGTTGGTACGGGCGCACAAGTAATTGGGAAGGAATTGCTCCCTATAGTTGATGCGAAGGAACTGCCGAAACGATATGGTGGTGAAGCAGATGCTTTCTGAATTTAGATATCCAAATTTTTGTTTGATTTTGCTTGTGTTTTGCTTTTACGATTTCACGCGTTACGAGAGGTGATTGACGAGAGAGGGCCGAGGCTACAAGGATTTAACTTTTGATTCCGTCTACAGTGCTTGTTTGTATTTTCTTACTGTTTAGACATGTCAAACTGGCCATGATGCACGAGTCACGTTATTTTACGAATAAAGTGAAACCTCGCATGTAGCGCAGGTCTGCATATACCCACTACGTTGTTTATCGCGCTGCGGACCTCCATCGTCTGACATGTACGGAGCGGAACCAAATGATTCGGCCCGTTTAGAAGGAAAAAGAAAACAAGGAAGCAATATGGTCCTGCCGGCGCCAACACGCAGCAAAAGGTTTTTTCTCGCTCACCAGCCAATAGCCGTAAGAGCTTGAGCTTGCTTGGACGGATCCATTAGTATTACGGCTTCCACGATCGCCACAATCACATCAAGAGATGTGAATGGCACAGGTGATTCGTCCGCTTGGCAGAGGCGAAGAGGGAAGATGATGTATGAACAGGATTTGTCAAGTGAGACACTTGTGTCATTTATGTGTGCGCATCCGACACACACGTAACGATGCCACCTCCCGACTTTGTCCGCAACTCGTTTCATTTCAATGGCGAGCGTGTCTACTCAACCCCAGCCATTTCGAGGCTGAACTTGCGAGGCGTAGGTCTCACTTGCACCACCACCAGTTTGCAGTCGGTCTGACAGTGGCAGTTGCTAACGACGCGACGTCGCCACTTTATAGTCACAACTCGTGAAGAGAAAAAACCATGGTACCGACAGCTCAGCTCACTGTCGCCGTACCGACGCCAATTCGGCCTCGCGCGTTCCTCAGTCGACCTGGGTCACCACTCGGGCAAAAACAACTCTCACCACGATGCGGTTCCATCTCCGCACCAGATCCCTTCGCGACGCGCTCGACTTCCTCTGCGAGGGGTCAGCTCAGTCGGCTTACCATTGTGCGCGTGCCACAGACGAAAACCGTAGCAGACGCAGCTAGAGGAGGTGGGATGAAAAGCAGTAGACCGAGCTTGAAGTTGAGAACCACGTCGAGTCCGACGCGCCTCTCATTTGCTTCCGCATCGTTTTCTGCACCCAATTCACCTGTGCAAATGCCGCGTCCTATAAGCCCGAGGCCAGGTAGTCCTTCCCAGCTATCTTCAGCCGCGCCATATTCTCAGGCTCCAGGGCGACCACTGTCACCAGTGCTCAGCGCAAAACTTGCCAGGTCGAATTCTAATACTTTGCACTATTCTTCCGGTGCTGCCGTACAACTCTCGCCAAAGCAGGTATACGACTTGGCTAAGGTTGCCACTCGTACAAGTATGAACCAGTCTCCAGTCGGCTACGCCCTGCCAGAATCATTTACGGAACTCACGGATGACGTATTCCTCCCATTCCTCGACCGACCCTCTGAAGTGCGCGCCCTCATCTCAAGCGCATCAAACGCGAGAATGATGATGCATTTCGCACATATTCTTCCTCCTTCCAACGAGGAGTATTACGAGCGCACGTCATGCGAATTGGCCGCGACGATCGGATCGTGGTGTTTTGAGGACTTTGTAACGTGGTTGACGGAGGTCTCGCGTGAGGAGATTGAGGATGAGGTGTGGGTGCGCGCGTTGCGCACTTTTGTCTTGCCGAAAAGTGAGGTGCTTTGGGAGAAGTTGAAGAGTGTGCTTGGTATCCCGCCTGAACTTGACGTCGACCCGCATGATGATTTCACGTCTCATGACGTTGGGACCACTGTCACTCGACCAAAGGAACCTGCTCTCAACATTATTCCGATTCGCCCTAGCTCCGTCTCTGCAAATCATCATCTCGTTGGTATAGCGGAAGACAAGGCGGCTGACGGTATAGACGAGATTCTTGGTTTGCGAATAACGACACCAATTGCCTTCCCGCCTTCAGCAGTGAAGAATGTCACATCTGCACCTTGCACACGTGCACGAACACCGTACCAAAGCACGATTCCTGTCCACTCCTCGCCACTTGCACCGAAAACCCGCAGTCCGCCGAAGTTGGACTCCACTCCCGCCTCTCGTATGGTGGTAAAAAATAAAACCAAACCTGCTACGAATGGTGGATCGGTCCCCGTTGTGAAGGCGCATTCAAAAGAAGCTGCACGACCTCTGTTCCCCACGAGTTTCGACAAGTTGGGATGTACACCGGCGTTATTGAGCGTCAGGTAACCCACCTGAAAACTCTGGCTCCCTGATCTTTTTTCCACTATTTTTATGTTGTCTTCGGCTGGATCTGGAACATTGAAACCCCCTCTCTTGATTATGCACTTGTTATACGTACATGCACGCATTTGTAATTATCTTCAATCAATCTCATTGTTGTTGGTTTGCTCTCAGCAGACTCAGACTTCAGCTGTGGTATTTTGTGTGGAGCGTGAGAATGAAATTGGTGAGCAACAACCACTCGGGTAATGAACGCGAATCCGACGCGTCTTGTTTGCACTCGGCCTTTACCTCTCGACTTGACAAACCTCTTCCTATATACTCTAATCTCGCAACATGTCAGCGTATGTTATTATTTATACAATACATATATGTACGGCGAGCTAAATGCCATTTTGCACAGACCGCAACTCAAGTCCGAACCGACGGAAACCACAAACACAAGCTCAGACGAGTCACTTATACAGAATAACGTCGAGCAAGCGAAGCGAGCAGTTGCTCTACGGAAATACGAACAAGCCGTAGAATTTTATGCCACTGCACTAGAGCTCACGTATGCATCAACTATACTATTCTATTACGAGGAACGCATGTTCTAGCGTTGGGACTGACTTTTGTGTATTTGTATGTAGGGTAAAGAAATACGGTGACGAATCCCCAGAAGCTGCGGATTTATACTTCATATATGGGAAGGCGCTGCTGGAGAATGCGATTAGCCAGACTGCCGTGTTGGGGAAGGAACAAGCTGAGGAGGCGTTGTTAAAGGATGAAGACGCCGAAGGTGGTATGTAAATGTCGTGTACTGGGGTGTATGAGCCACATAGACGTGACTAACGCGTCCCTTTCTTTCATAAAGGTGCATCTGGAGCAAACCCGTTCATATCCTTCTCTGGTGACGCGGAAGAGGAAGAGGAGGAAGATACCGGGGGTGAGGACACAGCAGTTGACTTGTTCGCAGAAGCGAATGCCGCTGTGGAAGCGGAAGAGAAGGAGAATGCAGAAGAAGCTCAGGATGGGGACGACGAGGATGGTGAACCTGAGGATGACTTCAACGCTGCGTGGGAGTGTCTTGACCTTGCACGCGCTTTATTCGAGAAAAGAAAGGACGAAGACGATACAGTTAAGCTTAAGCTTGCGGATACGTATATTGCTTTGGGTGATGTGTCTTTGGAGACAGGTGTGTCCTTCGTTCGAATTATCTTGGGCAATCTCATTAATCATCATGTCTGGGTCTTGGCAGAGAAATTTGAGCTCGCGATACCTGACTACGAAGCAGGCCTAGCTCTCAAAACCTCCCTCCTCCCCACTTCCTCCCGACAAATAGCAGAAGCACACTACAAACTCAGCATGGTACTCGACCTCACATCCGGTCGGCTTGCACAAGCGATCTCACACGCGGAAAAAGCACTTGAGAGCGTCGAGAGTCGCCTCGCGGAAATGCGTACGGGACTTAGTGGACAACTTCCTCCTTTGCCTGAACCTCCGAAGGCGAATGCGGCGGTGGACGTGAAGGGGAAAGGGAAAGCTGTGGCGGCTCCCTCTCTCTTAGCACAGGAGGAGCTTGTACAGAATATGAGCAAGTCGCAAATCGAGAAGGAGATTAAGGAGTTGGAGGGATTACGTGAGGATCTGGGACTAAAGGTTGGTTGTTATGCTTGCTTTTTTTAGTGAAGTATCAAGTGGCTAATGCACGGGTTTCGATGCCTAATAGGTGGAAGAGCTAAAGACGAACCCAGGTAGCGGAGGACTGACTAACGCACCCGAACTCGCTGCGAAAGCTCTAGATCTTGAGCTTAACTCGAGCACAACAACAGTAAAAGCTGAGTCGTCTCAATCAGCTGTGGTGAACGACCTCAACCAGATGGTACGAAAGAAGAAGAAAACGGCTCAGCCTAATGGAGATGCAGAGATGAACGGAAAGCGCAAGGCGGAAGAGAGCGAGGGTGAAGTCCCAGCTGAGTCGAAGAAAGCGAAAGTAGAAGATGCTCCTGCATCCCCTTAGATTCTGTCTATGACGCTTGATGGCTTGTACGCTCGATGCTCATCATGATGCTCTACTCTGCGATGTTTTTCTTTATGTCCTGTGGATATTTACCTATTTTTATTATTAGGATGTCATTACACATGTTTATGTCTGCGTCCTTTTCCCTCCTTTCAAACAGACGATAATAAATTGTTCAAAATAAAATCAAAAATCAAAATCAAATTTTAGAAGGACAGTCTGGATGTTGAGATCTTTTCATGCTTGAACTTCTTTTTACCCTCCCCAGTACCAAACTCACCAACGATATGTCCTTTATCGCCTTTACTGCGCATAACGTACTTGTACGTGACGAGACCCTCAAGACCAACAGGTCCACGTGCGTGTATGCGCCCTGTGCTAATGCCGACTTCCGTACCGAATCCGTAGCGGAACCCGTCGGCGAACCGTGTGCTGGCGTTCACGTATGTCCCTGCTGAGTCGACGCCCCGACAGAATTGAGTTGCGTTTGTAGGGTTCTCGGTGATGATTGAGTCCGTGTGGTGTGAGGAGTGTGCGTTGATGTGTGCGATTGCTGAGGAGAGGGAGGGAACGGTGAGGATGGAGAGGGTGAGTGAGAGATGTTCTGTGTCGTAGTCTTCTGGTTTTGAGGGTTTGATGTTTTGTTGTGAGACAAGGTTGGGAGGGATGGAGGGGTGGTTTTGGTTTTGGAGAGCGGAGAGGGATTGGGGGTCGCAGAGGAGTTCGACGCCTGCTTCTAAGAGGGCTTTTGCGACGGTTGGCCATAAGGTGTGGAGGAGTGCTTCGTGTACTATGAGTGTCTCGGCGGCGTTGCAAGCAGCTGGATAGTCGGTCTAAAGGACAGAAATTTTTTAACACATGAGCTTCTTCTCCTCGAGAACCAACTCTAGAACATCAAGTTGAGGACCACCAACCTTAGAATCAACAACCACCCTAACCGCCTTCTCCTCATCAGCACTCTCATCCAAAAACACCGAACACAACCCATCTGCATGGCCCATAACAGGTATCCGTGTATTATTCTGAATATGTCGAACGAGGCTATTACTCCCCCTCGGTATCACCAAATCGATATACCGATCTAACGCAAGTAAGGAGGAGACTTCTTCTCGAGTTTGGATTGCTTGGATGTAGTCTTGTGGGAGTTGGGTTTTCGCTAGTGCGTTTCGGATGGCTTGGGAGAGGAGTGAGGTTGTGAGGGTGGATTCCTTTCCGCCTTTGAGGATTGCTGCGTTGCCTGGTGCATATAGTCAGTACGGATTCTTTGATTTAGATGTATATATATGTATGCAACACTCACCAGATTTGATTGCCAATGCAGCAATGTTCACCACGACCTCCGGACGAGCCTCAAATATGACGAGCAATACGCCAATCGGGCAAGAAACGCGATACAACTCAAGTCCTTCATCGAGTTCGGAGGCGTACGACACAGAGCCGGTTGGATCGGGTAGAGCAGCTACGTCCAGAACACCTTGTAGCATACCATCCCATTTGTCACCTTTGAATAGGTCCAGACGTTTCACGAGAGACGCTGATAGGCGTCCCGCCTCGACTTCAACTTGTGCAGCCTATATGCGGGTGGGTCCACGTTCACCAAGGTAGACATCAAATATTTTTAGGTAGAAATGATAAATAAATTCGACGACGATGATAATTTGTAGAACGTCTTTCATACCTCCAAATCAGCCTTGTTTGCCTCTTGAATCTCATTCCGCAAGGCTTCAAGCTCGCTCTTGATCAGATGTAGCGCCTTTACGCGTTCCGACGTGTCCACGAGTTGGGAAGCTTCGAATGCTGCTTTGGCAGCTTTTGCGATTTCGATCGCGTTCGATTTTTGAGACATATGGTAGTATTGACGTATTTTGTGGGTTTATTTTCCGTCTGGATCAGAGTGAAAGGATAAAGAAAACCGATGTCGGGCAGAGCGATAGATGTTGGTCAAGAGTAAGGGACAAATTTATAGGATTTGCTTCGACATATAAAGCAAAATATTAGAAGTCATGGTTCGGAATTCATTTCCGAGCAAACCTTACGCAACACAGGGTATAATTTAGTATAAAACTGCTCATCCGCAAAATAATTGGGTATCTTATAAAAATAGTCGCCTGGCGAGCAAACTCCGACCAACAAGATTAGAAGAAAAATTTGATTTGGAAAGCGGATGAAATCGTATGAGAACCTTCCTCAGGTCCGCGGTAAGTATCAACGAAAGGGCGTGTTTGAGAGACGACTGAATGGTAAGGACTTCAGAGAGAGTGAGAAAGAGAAACTTGTGAATGCCGTATCAAATACAGAATGGAAGTAAAGAGCGCGCGTAACCTAAGAATAAAAGCGAGGAACTAAAGACTGAGTGCATCTCGACTCGAAGTAATATGGATAGAAAGAGGATCATAAAAGAATGTCAAGTAGTGAGCGCAAAGGAGTGTCAGATCAAGGATGCAACACCATTCTGCTGCTTCGATGCATCTCCGGATGGGCTCTGAACCGGGTCAAGGAACCCGTTCGGCATCCCTCAGCAAGAACCGCCGCCGGTGCCAAAAGCGCCTACGCTCCAAGAACTGGCGTCAGGTGCATTCGGGAAAGGATCATTCATGGGTTCGCAACAGGCTACCCAGTCTCCCTCGACACAGCGGGGTCCGCAGTCTTCGACTGGCCCTCTATCGCAAGCACCTTCGACCTCTACAGATACTTCGGCAATGTCTAACGTCGCCTCGTCATTCAGCTTCAACAATAACTGGTCTCTTGATTCGAACAAACCAGGTTCCGATACAACCAGCTCACCTTCAGTCGCGTCACAGTTCACAGCAGCTTCTGCGTTTTCTAGCCAGCCAACTGGCACCACGATCACAACTTCTGCGTTTTCGAGTCAACCAACTGGCACCACGAACGCAACCTCCGCACTGTCAAGCTCACCTCCGTTGCGGCCCCAGACCACTGGTTTCACGGGTCTCAAGGCCTTCAAACCGACTTCTTCATTTGGCGCGTCTTTGCTTGAATCGTTGCCGCCCATCCCCCAGTCGGGACCTACGACGCCTTCTGCATCGACGCAGCCTACGGGCTTTAACGTTGGTGGTCTAGGATCCCCGTCATCCCCAACGCAGTCCACCTCGCCACCTACAGGCGGTCCTTCATTTGGTGGATTTGCTTCGTCGACTACGTCGAACCCAAGTTCAACGGGTATGCCTTCTTTCAAAGGACTATCCTCCAATCCGACGGGGTTCAACTCGACTTCTGGACTTGGCGCGCTCAATGCTCAACCGACCGGGTTAACAGGTCTTGGTGGAAGTGGTTCGACATTCGGATCTACGTTAGGTGTAGGTCTTCGCCCACAAATGACCGGCGGAGGTACAGCCAATCCATTCCGAGCATCCATGTTCGGTGCTCCTGGTAGTGCACCCAATGGCAATGCTCCTCCATTACCAACGTCGCAATTCGGTTCGAGCTTGGGTATGACAGTGACAGGCGCACCATCGTTTGGTCAAAATCTGTTCTGATGTGAAACCACAGGCTTCGCAACTTGGCCAAACGCATTATTCGTACCCGTCAACGGGGTAGAGGCAGGTCTCTGAGGTAATTGCTGACCGTTTGCCCCAGTCATCATGCTTGGTGGACTGCTTGTTGCGCTCGCAATCGGTATGGGATCAAAGGTTACAGCCTGAGCACTCTGCGGTTGGCCCGTTGGTTGCGGTACTGAAAACGGAGCGCCAGTTGACTGGAACGTATTGACGTTTGATGCAGGTCCACCGCTAAGGCCGAATGCGGGAAAACCAGTCGATTGCGGCATCAACATGCTTTGGCGGAAGGGGTTAGCGCCAGTCGCTTGCGGTTGCAAGAAGCCCGTAGGCTGGGCCGTTTGCGGGCGGAGGAATGAAGAGAACGAGGGATGTTGAGACTGAGGAAGCCCAGTCGGTTGAGGCTGTTGGAAAGCTCCAGGGAATGCGGTCTGCTGCGGTTGGACGAAGCCAGTTGGTTGGGGCATCTGTGGCTGGCCAAACGGCTGTTGCTGAGGGAAAGCCCCTGTGATCATCATTGACTGCCGTAAAGCGAAAGGATTGTGTGTCGCCTGCTGTTGCATTTGTTGTTGCTGTTGCTGAAGTTGGCTGTACCAGTCTATGAGAAACGGCTTGGGAACAACTATAATTGGCCATACCTATTGGATGGAGAGAACATGGAAGTCTGTTCTCCCTCAATTGATGAGAAGAAGTCGACCAAAGCCTTATTTTCGGGATCCGAAGGCTTCGTCAATGAACTCGGATGCGCATTTGTCGAAGATGTCGGTGCCGCACTTGATGAGCTTGCTGCGGTCGTCGATACGTTAGTAGGCATGTAATGGACCAAAGTAATTATGACTAACGTTTCCCGTGATCAACACCATTCGGTGCTGTGTTGCCCTCCCGCGCGTTCTTATCTGCTAGAGATCTGGTAGTCTTGTACTCGATGCGATTCTGCTCAAAGTTCGGATCGTTCAAATACTCTTCAAGAGCTGACACAAGTGACACGGGTGCCTGGAATATGTCAAATGCGCATAAAAATGGTTTTACACACAGTAATATTTGAGTACTCACGTGTTTGAGGTTTGGAATCGGGACATTGAGCATATTCTGGAGTTTTCTTGCGACGCCGAGATACTCGACTACCTTTTCTGTCTGCTTGCAGAAGTTCCGATAAATTCCAAGAGCCGTCTCCGCATCAACATGCGACATCTCGAAGTAATGCTCCAGCACATTAATCACGCCTTCATTCAAAGCTTGGAAGAGAACCAGCAGGTCCTTTACAAGCATGCGGAGAGCCGTGACATTTAACTCATCATCCAAGTTATCAAAATAGAACTGCGTGGGACATGTAAGATGGTTGCAGAAACGCCAGCAAGCCAGGGCGTACCTTGCATTCCAGTAACGCATTGATCGTCCGCTGGACAGCCTTTGTCTCTCGTAATAAACCCTTTTCAACCGTCATCGAGCGTAACTTGCGTCCCATGATTGTCTTGCTTCTCTGGGGTCCATTAGAAGCTCTAGCTGTGCTAGATCTTTCGAAAGTGCTTTCAACCCTCGCATCCCGATTTGAGTCGCTCTGCACTCGTACTGGATCATGCTTGAGATCCTTGTAAGTACGTATCCTTGCATCCAGATAAAGAGCGTAATTCTGCAAGTTTCGGGGTGTGTCATAGCCTTAATGCGTCATTTAGAATAATATGCTCAAGAAAACGAGAGAAGTGGGGAGCGCACCATCCCAATGACCAGCCGAAACACTTTTCAGCCGTAGGACGTCGTCTGAAGAGAGATAGGAAAGGACATTGTCGGTAGCACCATTGCGAATCATAGTGTGCAGAACTATGAGAGCCTTATATACAATCTACGGTCGAAATATGTGAGCAAAGGACAAAAAATGCATTTGTAGAGATGAGCATACAATAACGTTTGGCTCTCTAAGTCTTGGGGAGAGTGCTTTGCATACATCATGTACTGCGCCGTCCTCGGAGTACGTAGCAGCGATGATCGGGTCGATGTACTGAAATGATTTGTGAGCAGCTGCACTACACAGCGTCTGATGGACTTACTTTGGCCTTTGGAGGAGCAGCCTTTGGCTTGCATGCGAGCTTGACGGTCTTGTCGAAGCTCGACATGGCGATGTGGAGGAGCCTGGTGAGCCGTGAACAGAGAGAGGACAGAGCGCTGAGGTGAAGTGCGGGATGTAAGCGGTAAACAGAACCAAATCGGGATGGTCACGTTTTCATTTCTGATTAGACTTTCGTAGCCTACAATTCATTCACTACCTTTTATCCTTAGCCAATGATTCAGATGGATGAATGAAAAAGCATCTTCTGGACTTAAAAAAAATCATTCCCTGCCCATTCCCTGCACACGCACTTCATTTACGAATATTTTCAATCTATCCAGTCTCATAGTTCAAACACACGTTGCACGTTATGCAATACACAGCATCAAGTATAATTAGCATTCAGACAAATCGACAGCAAGTAAGCAAGACCATAGAACAAAATAAGCTGCTTGATACATTGGCAACGTAAATAGCAAAACAGACAGCACAGCACGTAAGACAATAAACAGTATATCTACATGGTTTGCATGGCAGCATCCCAACAAAGGAGGTAAATGATTTTGTTAAAGATTGTTTGTCCCCTCATCGTCAGACCTTGGAGCTGCCTGTGCACGTGAAAGTTGAAACAAATCAGCCGAGTTGAAGGCAGTAATACAAGCAGACATTACCTTCAGCAAATCCGATGTCACTGATAGTCCTCAATGTGTAACTGGTTCCTCCGTTTACTCCTCTCTCAGCCGCCTTCTTTAGATTAACGAGAAGATGGCTTCCGAGAACAGAGAGAAATGTTGGGTCTCCGATTGCGTTTAGAAGGGTGGAAACAAAAATACTGGCACTGAAAACTCGTATATCCACTATCTTCAATATGCAGCAAAATATTACACTACAACAAGTTCAGTTGGATAACTGTGCATAAGAGCTCCATGTACAAGATATAGTATAGAACCTGGTCTTTAATGAGGACTCTGACAAGGTGGAAGCCTTTGAAACCGAATGATATTCTCCAGTACTCTGCTGCCTTGAAGACAGCTAGGCAGAATAAGATCATTCTGTATGCTAGAGGAACAACCCTACACTATGTCAGAGCAGATATGGTTGTATAAATATAATACTCACTATGAGATGGTTGTTAGAGACTGTAGAGGAATCCTCATGGGTGAACAGATCTCGAAACTTGGTGAAAGATGGTCAACAACAACTGTAGCATGATGTGTCTTGGTTTACTTTCAAGTTCTACATCAAGGCAGAGGCTGATTGATTGTCTCACTATCTTCAAATAAAACACTATAAATGAGTATGCTAAGACCAAAGCCTGATTCTATAGCAAGAAGTGCTAAAAGAATAACTGAGAGCTGTCTATCTGTTAAATCTAAGTTCAGAACTTTGTGTAGAAGGACAGTATGCCTACTGTAATAGAAGAGTGCTAATACACAGATTTGGAGGATGTCTATAAACAATTACTTGTATGTAGTTTTTCCTTATACATTAGAAATATTACTTACAGTCAATAAGTACAATTCTGATCATGGCTGGGGTTGGGTTTATATTGGAAATACAGTAAAAAGAAATAGACTACTCACTGTACAGACTATTAATCCATATAGTTACTTGGCCTAATGTTGAGTCAATAGACTCAATATAAAGTTTGGACAGTAAGAAATATAAACATAATATAAACATACAGCTGAAAGTGGGTGTTTTCAGATAAAATATTAGTACCTATGTATATTAATTATATTTGCTTTTACCTTAAAAGACTTTGATTAAATCCATTGTCTAGAGAAAGGCACTAGCATCAATTGTATAACATAAGGTAGTGAAGCTTTTGAATGCTTGCTTACTAATTATAGAACAAATTATCCTAAGGAGTCCAACAAAGCAATTCTGAACCCAAGATTAGAATATGCTAGGACTACTGTATAATCTGACAGTATTACTGTAAAATAAATCAGACTGATAAAGCTACATGGCTTAAACTTTATTTCTGCCAATAAGACAGGATCTGCTTAAGTGATTATATCTCACCCAAAAACATTTCATCTAAGGAGACACACTTTAGTGAGTGTTTGAGAGATAGATACACAATCATATCCTACCTCTGTATCCAATGTTGTCACTTGAATTGTGTTTTCTGTCAGATAGAATTCATGTTAAGAAATCAATTTACAAACATGTGTGGTAAACTAAGATAGTTAACAGTGCCACTCTGAAGTATTTTGAGATGACAGATTCAGAGACAACCAATTGAGCCACACTCGGATCAATAGGTTCAGCATCTGAGCAGATATATAGGATGAGTTTTGGTTTGACATTGGAGGAGGGACTGCAAGAGAGCACAAGATAGGCTCATGATACGCCCCAGACTAATAGCCTTTTTATAAGAATTGTGAGCCTGACAGATGGTACAGAAGGCGCTACTACTGTAGCCAAGGTTTAGCATAAGTGAAGACTACTTTTATAGGATCAAGCGCTTGCACCAAGGCAAAATCAGGTACTACTGAGACAATCTAGTTAAGGAACAAATGAACATGATTGTCGTACTGTGATGGGTCTGAAAAGACAAGGACATCCATAAGTTGCACACAGTTATCATGAGCAACTCTCTCACCTGTGATTAGACTTTCTAAAACTAGTAGTCTGCTTTGCAGTATGATTGTTGTCTAATAGCGGACTGTCGTCAATCCCAAGATCAGGGTGTTAAAAGGTGGAGACGTGGTGCTTGCTCCTGTGTTGAAGCGCCAGGCTTGTAGTAGTCTATTACATCATCATAACTATGTAAGATGCCACGGGATCGACGCGTCGATGATCCGCGCGATCAACCTGAGTATGTGCGCTGATCCGAAATAAACTTAAAATTTATAAAATTCCCAGTTTTCTATCGTACGACTTGCTTCCGTCACTCACTCCCAGCTCTTCTGTAACAGGGATAATGGAAGGCCAGGCAACAGAAAATGAGCTCCGCCAACGCAGGCCTGCGGCGGCAAACAGCACCTTCACTCCGAGCGAGGAGGGTAGGAAACGGGATGAACAACTCGACAAACATGAACAGTATGTTTATAATACTCATTTAGCCAACACATACTTTTTACGCGTCTGACGCGTTATTTTAAAAGTTATGAATTTGGCGGACCTGCTGGTGTTGTCACCATGATGGTTGGATTCCCAATCCTTATGTACTATCTTTGGATTTGCCTGGTATTCTATGATGGCAAGTTGGTTTCCCCCACATCTTTGGATGACGTGCAGCCTTTCTTGGCCAGGATGTGGGAGCATGTCCGTGTAGTGAGTATATATGACTTATTTTCTATAGTCGTTGCTTAATCTTATTTAATAGGATGCAAGCCCGAACGCGTATGCATGGAAAGTCTACTCTGGATTTTTCTTTTTCCAGCTCTTCATTGCCTTCATTCTTCCTGGCTACCAACAAGAGGGTCTCCCTGTACCATCGCTCGGATACAAAACACTCATGTACAACTGCAACGCTCTCTCCTGCCTCTACGTCACCATGGCCACTGCAGCCGCTCTCCATCTTACTGATACCTTCCGCCTCACATCGATCATTGATAACTACGGACACTTAATGACTGTAGCCATTATCTACGGATTCGCTGTGAGCTTCGGGATGTACTTCTTAACAGTAGCCCAGGGCAAGCAGATCCGTATGTCAGGCAACTTCTTCTACGACGTGTTCATGGGTGCTGTTCTCAATCCTCGCATTGGAAGCGTGGACTTGAAGATGTGGGCGGAAGTACGCATTCCGTGGAACATTGTTTTCTTCCTCGCGGTGTCGGGAGCGTGCAAACAATATGAAAAGTACGGATATGTTACTCCTGTGAGTGTTCTCGCCGTATAATGCGAATAGTTTGTTTTGACCGAAATTATGTAGAATATGGCATTCATGTGCCTCGCGACCTGGCTATATGTTAATGCTTGGTGAGTGATGCCAGTGGTCTCTGTCCACATGTAACTGATAATTACCTAGCGGGAAGGGCGAGGAATGCATCCCTCAGACTTGGGATATGTTCCACGAAAAATGGGGCTTCATGGTTATCTTCTGGAACTTTGCTGGTGTACCATTTGTAAGTCACTCGACCAAAGATTCAGCAGCAATTCTTAACTCCCTCTTTCCTAGACCTATGTATACTCCGTCGTATATATGGCCTCACACGACCCTTCCGAATACAAGTTCTCAACACCTGCTTATGTTGCGCTCTACGTCACCTTGCTAACGGCTTACTATATGTATGTATATTTAATCTGTCAACTTGTAACATTAACTTACCAGTGATTGTAGATTCGATACGTCCATGTCGCAGAAGAGCAGGTTCAAGATGCAAACACAAGGCACTTTCAAGTGGCGGAAAGCCTTCCCACAACTTCCTTGGGGTACATGCGAGAACCCAACGTACATCCAAACATCACACGGGTACGCTCATCTTACCTATTCCCTCATCATTTAATTCATCCCCGCTCACCACACGTACTCTAAACAACAGCAACCGCCTCCTAACATCCGGCTGGTGGGCATACGCCCGCAAACCAAACTACACCGCTGACTGGGTCCAATCCCTCACATGGGGCCTCTGTATCGGCAGCGCGTCCATAATCCCATACTTCTACTCCGTCTTCTTCATCACTGCCCTCATCCACCGCTGTGGTCGGGACTTTGAGCGCTGTGCGATGAAGTATGGGAAGGATTGGGATCGGTATTGTGAGGTTGTGAAGTATAAGTTCATTCCTTACATTTATTAGAGATGTGGTGTGGTGTGGTGTGGGATTTATTATGATTAGTAGTTGACCTTCGGAGTAAGTTGCATGACGGCTCAATCTTAATTGGATAGGATGGAAAATAAACATAGCATTACGAGGGACACTGAAGACATTGCAAGAGGTAGCATATGAAGGGAAAAGTGCTGAGCAAGACAAAAATAACGACGTGTGTAGCCAATATGAAGGGTGCATCGCCTGAAAGGGAGTGAGTGGTATAACGTGAAAGCATGAAACAAGAATGCGAAAAGGACTTGTTGAAGAGAGTAGAGACTCTTATTCGTAAGGCATGTTCTCAACTGCGTCAACTAGGGAATTCCAGTTGTTATTGACGACTTCGGAAAAGGCGCTTTCCTCGCGCGCGAAGTCTCGTACGGCTTGCGTAATTAGTGTATTTTCGCGGTTGTGCAGGACTACACGGAGTTCATGCCACATCCTAAAATAAATGCAAGAATAAGACAACCAGTTACAGCAATAACTAATAGGTAGAGGTAAACTCACGAATACCGAATGAAAATCCGTCTGTTAAGTAGCGAAACGATCGTTACCTGGTCTCGCTCGACCAAGCTCGTCAAACGCTCCACTTCTTGCTCCCAACCGTCTTTCTTCGCAATACGGGCACCTTCGAGCTTAGACTGCGTTACCTCAATGCGCTTCTTCAGTCTTTCGACATTGTCACCCGATAGACGGTCATGGCGTAAGAAAAGGTCACGCATTGCAATATAAAGATCGCGTTGACTCTAACAACGAAAATGAGTTCTCGGATGTGCAGATTAACGAAGAGTGGACCGACCTTCAATACGTCGAGTGTTGACACTGACATAGCTCGAGCCTACCGTGGAGTGTATCAGCTAGACCCTAAAAAAAGCTCTGATGACGAGTTACTCGTACCCTCTGGTCCAGCTCATCCGACTGCTTAGCTATATGACTGGACACCTGCTCCAATCCCGAACGCACGCCAGAGCAGAGTTCGCACACATCTCCATGCCAGCAATGTGCATTCACTTCGTTAAGCGCATTCAACGTAATATTCAAACGCGATAGATCCGCCTGCGAGTCCTCCCAGTAAGATGTATAAAAACCGCCATCAGCCAAGCCATCCGGACGAGCAGAGCCAACGAGCGGTGCAGCAGCCAGAGAACCAAAAACGGACGTAGATGGAAGAACAGGCAGGACGGAAGACGCCATTGAGATAGGCGACGTAGGAGGGGACGATGTAATTGACGCAGCGGATGACAGAGAACCAACAGAGGGAGTGAGAACGGACGATAAGAACGAGCGCTTGAAAAGTGCATGAGGGTTCCGTACCGCTGCCGCTTCGCGTCGCTTGACGATACGTTCCGCCAATATGCAAATCTTCTGCCATTGTTCAATGACTAGGGGTAATTTATTGCGAACAATTCTACAAAAGACATTAGACAAGTATGTGACAGGATATGTGGAGTCTTACTTGAGTTTGTCCTCGAGATCACTGGGTATTGACATCTCTTCAACCTTGTCAATTCGCTTGCTAGCTGATTCCTCTTCCAAAGAAATGGTGTTGTGCTTGCGCCATTGTTCAAGCGAAGGCTCGGTCAAGAATACTGCCAGAAGACCATCTTCTTTGATTATCGGATGATTGCTGGGAAGAAATCGACATTAGTCTGACAATACTAAGTAATAAATCTGTGCTCACACGACGAAATTCAAGAACCGCTGTAGTCCCCTCCTGTTTTGCTTTATTGGTAAACCTGATCACACGACATTAAGAAAAAGCGTACCTTCTCTGTTCAATGAAAGATTCATCAGCTAGTGCAATTCAAATTATTCAGGGATTTGATTTATACACGGAAGAAGGCGAAGACCTACGTCCAATCCGTTTGGGAGGCAACTGAGACAAAATGCGAAATGGATATCGGCGGACGAGACGGTCCCAAAGGAACACGAATTCCGAGTATCTACGCGATACTGGTGTTCCTCGCTGGAAGCTCACATAAAAAATCATGTTACCATTTGAGAGATGATCTCAGCTCACGTCGGATGCTACTGCATAAAGCATATATCTGTTCAAGACAAATCCTTGCATTCCTATGAGTTGTACCTGGATGCGCTCCTGCCGTCTCCACCAGTCTCTGGGTAGACCAGTCCCACTCACGCTTGACGGGGCACCATTTGTCAAGCTGGCATTCGCACCGTTGACTTCAGATCCACGTTGCCAGGGATCATCTGACGAATAAGAAGGATTTGCCATGGCGCGTGCTGGAGTTGGAGCTACAATGGTGTCGCTCTGATATGGAGTAGAAGAGAACGAAGATTGTGTCGGGGCGATCGCGTCGAGGTCAAGCGACGGTGTAGGGAGTGCATCTTGTGCAGCCAGCGATGCGACTTGCTCAATGGACAGATCTAATTACATTATTTCAACACGGTAATGATGTTAGACTTTAAAAACACGTACCTTCGCCTGATTGTGCCAAGGCTACGAGCGCAAGAGCGACGAAGAACTCAAGCTTCGACACCCTCGGGCGCGAGCTAACGAGGTTCACGATCTGGCATAGTCATGAGATAACTACCTGAAAAATCAAGCATACAAATAAATAATTACCCTCTGGATTATCGATGCAGAGACACCCGAAGTAAGAAGAACGCGTGAGAGTGAGTTGATGGATGTTTCTCCTGAACCAGATGGGTTCACAGCTCTGAATGCCTTGTGATACAATGGAGGTGCAGTCGCATCCGCTTGAACGAGTGGTAAGTACAATAGTCTCACTTTCGGTCAAATTACAGGCGTACCAATTACGGAAGCAACGGGGGAAGTAGGTGCTACGGTCGGAGGGGGAGGTAAATCTGGAGAGGGAGCCGAACTCCATGGGTCTAAGCCATCATACGTCGAGTTCGCGAGAGGATTCTCTGAGGTGAAACTGGCACTTCCAAAATTATTGGCCGTGAAGGAGCCCGATGTGCTGAAACGCTGGGTCGGACGGGGTGCGTTGAACATAGTCGACGGTGGTCAACAGACAGCAGCAATCGTGCTAACGGGAATAGGAGAACGTGACCTTGCTCGCTACAACGCGTGAAGGCAGCGCGTCATTCGGGTCCCTGCTTCACTCTGTCCCGACTACCGTGCTTCTCTGAAGGCTGCCCGGGCTGCTGTGGACGTCGTTACAATGAGCGAGGAGGCCTTGAGCGAACTTCATCCTCTCCTCCAGGATGACGACTTCGACTCCATACCAGTCTATCCGATAATTCATATGATACGCCAGGTTAGTCCTCCGTTTCGCCCTATCGTCTTTCTCCAAGCTGAACATCTCTTAGGACATGGTAGTGAGTCTCCTCTGCATTATCGGAGTGACCGCAGACTCTCATGTACTCCCCTCCCGTAGCATTTCATAGGTTTGTTCAATCTGTCATTAATATAGTTTCTTTACTTACTGTACAACTACTCATGAAGATACTCCGCTCTCGTATGATGCCTTGTGCGCACCCGACCTCACTTACACCTTAATCAAGCCCTTGGAAGACAAGTATGCAAATATTCAGCGCAAAGGAAACTACTCGGTCGTTTTCTGCTTCCTCCTGAACCGCGTCAATTTCCTCCGCGACCAAAATCTTGTTACCTCTTCCCTTTCACGTTCTCGAGCCGCTCTGTGCGAGCTAATGGCTAATAGACTTCTCCGACTATATGGTGATAACACACTTGAACTTGCATTCGTCACTACTACTAGCTGGCGAGTTTATTCTGGTGCAGACGAAACACTCTTGAAACAGTTGCTCGAAGACCTTGAAATTGACGACGTTGAGGAACGTGTTGGTAATGCCATTGAAATGGCTATTATCGGAAAGGCAAAACGATTTATCAAAAGCACGGCATGCCAGAGAGTAATCGATAGTATCTGGACGTGAGTTCATATTTCTTTATCCAAGGTTAATTGGTATGAAGAAATAATCACGGTTCGTTCCAGTGGCAAATGCGTATATCAGGCTCAAAGCAGCCACTCTATTCTGTCCGATGTAAGACTCCATATAAAGCTTTACTCGAGGATCTCACCCCAACTATATCCCGAAAGACATACAAACAAACCCCAATTCATTTCTATGATCCACATAAGGCACCCTTGCTGGATCATTATCGGTGAGAGGTGGTCTGCTCACTTTGTTGCCACTCTGCTAATATATCTGCATCTGCACAGCTTAAAAGTACCTGCTATACGATCCGTTCTGGAATATGTCAAGTTAGTCGATGATTATCTACTGTATCTATCGACTACCTAGTAATCTCACGCGCTCGCCAGTTTCTTGACACTCTTTATCCTTTTCGTTCTTGTCTTGGAGTTCAACGAGCGTGACCATTTGAACTGGATAGAAATCGTTTTCATGATTTACGCTTTGGGTACTGGATGAGATCGCTTCGTTCTGTTTGAGCTATACCTCTGATCCGCTAGCCAGGTTTCACGTTGGAGAAGGTCGCTGCCATGCAAGAACACGGCCTGAAAGTTTATTTCACTGGGACGTGGGTACGTACTGGACATGTATATGCGTGGCTCGCTTGACTAAATCGTGCAGTAGAACGGCTTTGATCTTTGTCTAATCACAATATTCGTAAGCTACGCATCCCTGCGGCTCACAGGCTTTCGATATGGAAGTTAGTTGTTATCCTATATGCGACATGCGAACTCATTAAATTTGACGTTGAAGATGCATGGGCAAAGTCAAGTGGCATAGACTGCCTAGCTCTTGCTGCGTGCCTTCTCTTTCCGAGGTATGTTGAACGGATCACATTCCTTGACCTTGATGGAGTAATCATGTGTCTTTGATATAAGGCTGGCATTCGTAACACTTAAGAACAATCTAGTGAGTATTACCGGTACCGATAGCAAGTATCTGGATTGATATCTCTTACTAGATGGTTCTGTCGTTACGGGCAATGATCATGCAATTTGTGGTCCTCATGTTCATTGCCGCCTTCTGCTTCGCGGGTTTCCTATACGCCTTGTGGACGTAAGTTGCATGTCGGCAATATTTGTTTGCAGGAGCCCTTCTAATATTAGTTCAGACTTGCGAGAAACGATGCAAGGTGAGTCTGGCTGGAATTTCTGGCATTTATTGCATACCGACGTTTCATGCAGCTATACTGCGGGTGACATATTCTGGTGGATGGCTGACCTATGGTTTGGCCTCGACGCGACGGGCTTCGCATTATCATGTGAGTTACGAAGCGAGCTTGCACCCTTCTTTGTCTCATTCATTCTCTTCCCTGGAATTAAAGCAACGTTCCATCCATACTTTGGACCAGTCTTGATGATCTCATACGCTTGCTTGAGCAACACGCTGCTTCTGACAGGTGCGTCAATACACCCCTCTTGTAAATTGTTCATCCATCTAACATGACCTCATATTAGTGCTGGTATCTGTACGTTTGCAGGCCTTTCTTTTTACGTAGGCATATGATCTTAACGACTCATAGATTCTATCGCATACATTCGCGAGTATTAGCGAAGATGCTGTTGCTGAGGTATGCTGTCGAAATAAACCTCGGTAGGATGCATCTAAGCGTACTATTTAGGCAATGTTTCGCCGAGCGGTCCTTACAATTGAAGGGTCCGTTGCCCAAATTCGGCGTCATCAACTTATTTTTTCGCTCACTTCTTTCAAAGCGTAAAAGCAGACTACCTTTTCTCATATCAGCCACCAGTAAATGTCATCGCTCTTTGCATCATGCTTCCAGCAAGTTATGTGCTATCGCCAAGGTGGTTCCATAAAGTGCGTCAATCAGCCGTTTCTCCTGAGAAGTGGTTTTCACTCCATATGAACAGGTCAATGTGTTCATGATAAGGTAGAATGCCCTTGACAGTGCCAGACGAAGAATTAATGCCTTTTATTGTTATTGTCAGGCTTACGAGCTTCCCACTTTTGTTGGTTATAGCGTACTATGAGCGCCAGGCAAAACAGGTCCAGGCTGCGAATTTCTCCGAAGCTGTCTCTGCGACTGCAGAAAGGGTGATGGAAACTCTACCGCGAAGTATCAAGAGAATGTGTAAGTGCAATCTAGCGATTTATCCGCCGGAAGTCTACTAATCATTTACGTTTCAAGCATTCTTTGAGGGATTCTTTGCAGGAAAAGCTTCAGATATTGACGTCGTGCGTAAACTCCCTCTTACTCGTTTGGGCATTAAAGTTTACAAATATTTAGATTTTTGATATTGAGGAGGAGATGATGCAAGCAAACAACGAGATAGCTCTGGATACACAAGAAGCCGAGAGTGCGACTTCATCAAAGCGTAATGGAGCACTATCACAACGGCGCGGTTCGACAGCATCACGCAGGGTGTCTGCACAAAGCGCACGACCAATGAAAATAATCCCCTCAAATTCATCTGCTTTATCAAATGCTAGCCAAGATGGACAGGAAGCAGGGTCACCGCCAACTCCTACGAAGGGATTCCGAAAACGTCTAGCTTCTGCGATGCAACGAGGGACAGAAGCAGTGAATACCTTCACGAGCCCACTCGCCCAGATTTATCAGCCGTTGGTAGTGGATGACGACATCGTGGAAGAAGAGATGGCATCCTCACCGTCACAGCCAGCTGCACCTCCTATGATGAGTTTCGCCCCAGGCGTACGACGGCGTCTCTCTTCTATGCATAGGTTTCCACCGGTGGCCCCTATGGACGCACAAAGGCGCATGAATAGCTCGAGAGGCCAAAATCGGGACGGGCATCTCTTAGACGATGTGATGTCAGAAGAGAGTCCAAGTTCCATGGAGAACCTCGTCCGCGAACAAGAAGAGCGTGCAAAGGAGGAGGAAGGCATCACTCCTCCGGAACCAGCTAGTCAAGTCCTTGAAGGTGGTGGTGAAGCAACGCCAGGAGGATTGGTCCCGCAATTCGCTGATCGACTGGCTAAAATCGAAGAACGACAGATGCGATTAGAGGAATTGATTTTACAGTTATCCGAGCACCTTCGTTCGGCGAAGTAACGAGAGTGAAAATGGTGATTCTTTTTTTATGGTTATATTTCCGCTGTCTTGTCCGTTGCATCTGCATCTGTATCGTACTATCGTACCTCATCATACATCACACTTCACAAAATGTGATCATCTTCTTGATAATCATACACGTATAGACACTGTCATTAGGTAGAACAAGCCTCTGCATAGTAATACATGATTGAACGAACGAAAAAGAAAAAAAGTTTAAGAGAAAGCTACCAGATTACTAACGAAATGTACTCTTCCAAACCAAACTAACAAAACAACCCGCAGTAAAATCCTTCATCTAACTACCTTGGTCCACCGCCTCGTCCTCGACCACCCCAACCCCGATCAGCCGGAGGCGTTCGCCCATTCTTATCGTCATAGTGCCGTTTTCCGCGTCCCCTCCCACCTCGTCTTCCTCGGTCGCCACTCCATCCTCGCCCTCCGCGTCCAGAATGACCGTCCCGCCCGAAATCCCGGTGTCGGTCTTCTCGCTCGTCACTGTGATAATCTCCATACTGACCCGGAGGATGTGGGGGCGAATATTGGCGTGGAGGGGAGTGCTGTCCCGAGGGTGGTTGTGGGGACTGTTGGTGCGCTGGTGGGAAAGTAGGAGGGAAGGGGGGCATGCCAGGAATAGGATACGTAGAAGGCAGTACAGGCGGAGCAGGTACGGATGTTACACCCGGTACTGATGTCCCAACGGGATTCTGTCCAGCAATACCCATCGAAGCAGCTAAAGGCACACTCTGCGACAAATGCCGTATCATGAGAGAGATTTGCTCCTGTGTCAACGACGCCACTTCTGCTGCTAGGGCTGCCTGATCAATATTCACAGGCTGTGCGTGAGGATTGGGGGAATGAGATGCAGGGACTGTGGGTGGAATAGGAATATTGGGCATCTGAAAAGGTATATTTGGTATCGAAGGAAACGGTGTCGGTACTGATCCGGGTGCTGGTACTGGGGGGACTGATGCAGGAGGAGGGGTAGCGGCGACTAGTTTCCCCTTGTTCAATACAAAAGCTCCGAGGAGTGCATTTGATGTCCTTTCCTTCGGGAGGCAATGGTCGTCCAGTAACTCGATGAACTCTGGAAGTGGTTGGTCTTTTAGAAGTGGGATGATGTACAACTCTCGTCCAGGCGCCTGTGGTTTCGGCTGAGTACCCCACGGAAAAACTAAGGCGTGTCGGCTGTGGAATGCATACAAAATCGTGAATATGATGAATGCAAATAGCAACAAATAATACGTACTCTTTTCCAATCAAAAAGTCAATCAATTCGTTAAAACTTGCCAAGGCCTGATCGGTCCTCGGTAAGAAATTCACTACAATAAGCTCCTTTGATGAATTCATCCGTATTGAAACAAGATATTGAACTGCCTGTGCAGTAGGGACACGACCGTCGATGCGGGCTTGAGGAGACGTGAATAAAGTTTGCCAATATCCTGACATAGGTTCGAGCGTTCGCCCGCCCACTTGTTTACAGGTAACATCTATCGTCAACGTGTCAAAGCTCTCTCTTGGCATAGAAACCTATTAAAGATGAGAGTTAGGATCAATCTTTATTAAAATCATGATAATTAACGTACTTGTCCAGACCAAACGTCTGGTAAGCTTTCGACTGCCGGAGCGGGTTGCGGAGCCGGAGGTTCATCACTTTGAGGGACGGGTGCACTTTGCTGCAGTATCGCATCCAGTGCTTCTTCGTCGTCTTCGTTGTTACTATCGATCTCCATAGCGTCACCTTGTTCTTCTATCGCACTTTCCGGCGGTGCTGAACTACCAACAGCAAGTCCTGGACTGTTACTTTCTGTCTCGCCAGTCTGCTCCTCTTCCCTGGCTGCACCAGTCCAGAGGGAATTCAGGTCAAAGGCGGAACGGTTCGGAGACTGGGCTGGTTTTGAGGGTGCAAATGGAGACGGCCCAGAGGGACTTGTTATAATCGGCGAAGAGCTAGGTCCTGCTTCTGCATTGGCTTGAGCACTCATTCGCAGTTGTGGATTCGATTGAGAGGTATCCTGCGCAGAGACGTCGTCATCAATGTTGATGATGTCTGCGAGACTGAGGCCCTGGTCTGTCGATGCGTAGTCGCTGCTCATGGATGGTACGAAGAGCGGCCGAACGGATGGCCTGCTAGAGGAAGGAGATTCCGGCGGTACGTCTCCCTGCTGAGGTTGGTGAGGAGGCGGAGGTGGAGCACCCCATGGCACTTGCGAGCGCGGGGCGTTCGAAACGGCCGGCGAACTCGCTTTCGGAAAGGTAGCAGACAGAGGTGACTGTTCTACCATAGGAGATCCTTCGGCTTGCGAGAGGGAGCGTAGACGAGCCAACTTTTCACGCTCCAGCTTTTCCATTTCCATTCGTTGCTCTTCTTCCTCCTTCGCTAGATCACTGGCACGCTGGCCAGATACATCCTCGATGGTTTCGTAACCTTTATGAGTTATCTTCGCTCGAGGTGCGATGACCCTCTGCAGAATAGAGTGTTCGAGAGCTTCCTTCTCCGCAAGCTCGATCTCATGCTTAGTCTGTTCGTCGGCAAGATCGGTGGAAGACATGACATTGAGCTGTGCGGGTGTTATTCGACCCGAGGCAATGCCCTGCCGGAGCGCAACTCGGTCTGGCTTTGGCAAATTAAACTGTAACATGCGGAAGCGTTCCCTATAAATTTGTTAGGTTCGTGCTTGGGCAACCATTGACGACAAACAACTTACTTGTAGTTTCTGCCTGCACTGGGCTTTCCTGTCTTGTCTGGCTCTGCATATGTTTCCATCATGCAGCGTTCTAGTTCGTATACAAAGGCTTTCACTTTCTGATCGATGTCATCCTTAACCTTGTCTATAGAGTCGGAAGTAGAAGGCTCCTCGTCTTTGTTTTCCTCGGTCTTCACTTGTTCTTCAACTTTCTCGCCTTGCGGATCAACCTGCGTGCGGTACTCTTCAAACATCGGTCGTATAATCTCGTCTAGCTTTGTCAAACAGTACTTGCGGATAGCATCGTCGTGTGGAGACTCGGCAGTCTTTGACCTTTTAGCTGCGGGTTGCTGTGCTGTAGAACCTCGTCGTTTCAACGCTGAGCTTGACTCTGGAGCAGGTGACGCCGATGCCTTCTTGAGTCGTTTCAGTGCCCCGCCGCTTCTCGTACCACGTCGGCGACGCCCTCCGTCTGCATCATCATCTTCCTCGTCATCAGACTCAGACTTGTCAGACTCGAAAGACGTGTGGCGTGCCGGTCGCTATAGTCACAGAAATTCAAGAATGAGTTACCCCCATCCATAACGGATTAAGTTGAACAAATTACTTACTTTACCTGACCTATTCCGCTTACCTACTGGTTCAGCTACATAATCATCTTCCGAGCCGGCGCCGTCACTTTCTTCGGGACTTTCAACAACTTCTTCACCTTGTTCTACCGGAGTCTTGCTACGCGCCTTCTTCGTGACTGGAGGAGAAGGGTTGGGTTCAACAAAGGCATCTGGCCCTTCGAAGTCCACTATAAAAAACGAAAAGTCAGTGTCAGTGTCCCGTGTTGAGTCACAAAATGCCAATAAAGATTAAAATAAAATAAAATATAATAAAATAAAATAAATAACTGGGGTTGCCACTGCAGTGTAAAGTACGTCAATCGACAGCACTGTCTGTTTTCCCATCCTCAACCGTCTGGCCCATGTACACTTTTCTACATGTCAAATGCAGATATTAATGCGGTACAAATCTACGTGCATCATGTATTCTTTTGATAGACGTTGTGCTACTAGCGGCTATGCCGTATCGTACCACAACTTTGTCGAAGTTGCTGGCTATAGATACTGCAATGGTCATGTAATATACGTGAAACGGACTTGAAGAGGCTCAGGGACGATACTGCAGGGACTTCAACAACTGCGATCGCTCAGACGGACAGTGCATGTCGTACAGAGATATAGTGGGAAAAGCAAAATGTTGAGGTACATACGAATGACGAAATACATGATGGAGGCCCATTGAGAGTACAACAAAAAACTTAAACTTACTAACTGTCTTAAGACCAGTGCTTGCTTCACAGTCACGGCAATAATACTTTTCTGTAAACGAACAGTATGAGAACCATGGATATCCAGGGCTGGAAAGACATCAACGTACCAATCTCTCCTGCAGTCTCCTCGTCTAACTCAACGCATTTAAAGTGATACCTGGAGTGGATGGGATGAGCCACCTGCTACAGTATCATACTCCAATATGTTTACGTACCACTTCTGACATGGGCCTTCACATTTGACCATCGGTGAGCCATCGTCCTCCCCGTCACAGTTGCAGTACGTCTCATTACCACCCTTCTTCTTTCCCTTCGAGACAGACTTTGCAGCTGAGCTTACAGTCGAAGGAGGGGGCTTAGAGGGGATAGGCTTAGCCACCGACTTCTTCGGTGCAGCCTTCTTCGGTGCAGATTTGGTTTCCTGTTGTTCAATCATTGAAACATCTGGCGGAGCAGGCCCAACGCCACTCGCCGCAGCGGATCGCGTCGTCCGCCTGTTTGCTGCGGCTTCTGCTGCAGACTTGCTGCGCGAGCTGACCATGATTGCGCAACGAGAGTCCCTCCTAATAATAAAATGTTCAAAAGCTTGATGATTGCAGCTTTTGTGTTTCGTGACGACAGCAGTAACGGAGGTGTACTTGGATGTGCTATGAGTCAACGCTTTTGTCCGATTCAGCAAAACTTTCTCAGACTCCGTCGTCACGTGCAGCATGCCCTAACCAAGCGAAATTCCATTTTAAGCAAGCGAGAATTGACCCCGTTCATTTCTGTCTTGCTGCGGGAAGTGGCATCTGCGTCGAACAAGCGGAAGCCAAAGAAAGCCGCACAAGGAAGCTTTGTTTCGTGATACAAAACAATCCGCTTTACGGATCTGCGCTCTGCTTGCTGGTCAAATTTAACCAAGTCCAGGCTTTACGCGATGGCCAGACTTGCCATTGACTTGCCGTTTCTTCCGCAATTCCGCATACTTAAAGTGCAAATACGCGATTATGCTGCGCACCCTGGGCATATTTGTAAAGTTATGTCAAACTCGTGAAAGGAAGATCATCTCTCACAGATGCATCTTCTGAGCCCCTATTCCTTTGAATAGCCGTGCCCGGAGGTATGCTTCTCAGCGCTCGGATACCTACTAATTGATACAATCGCTCACAAGTGGGCTATGCAGATGAAGCAGATTTGAGTGGTTGGATGTACTGCGGTCTGTTGGTCCCTGGAAAAATGTCGGATTGTAAAGACCGTCTTCGGTGACCGCAATACTGCACAATCCAGGTCTTTCTTTTTTCATGTTTCTGCGGGAAGGCAAGCACGCATTAGAAAGAAGGCATTGACACATTATTCTTTATCTAGAAGTGGATTCTTCGACGAACGTGAAATGCTATCATTCTCAGATATTCGACTCGACCTTCCTCTACCGCAGATATCAGCAAACGTGTCAAAGTATTCCAAAAGCAGCATAAGGCTTCTTCCACCAGGAAGACGTCTGACTCCCGTACATAGTTCTCATAATGACAAGCAGTACGCCAGCTATAATCCGACATCCCGGGTCAGTTTCTTTGTCTTTGCGAACTTAATTTGAACAGGTACCCCGATGGCAAAGGGGAGAAGTGGAAGAAGTTTTACTTGGGGTCTTCTCTCGTGTCCTCGTCCCTTCTCTTAGCCCCTATAGTCGGAAGGATGAATTTCAAAATCGCGCCCCGGCGGACTTTCTGAAGTACGTACTTCTGGATCATTTGGTTGGTATTCCGACGTTCAGTGGCTTGAGATATAACTGAATGTGGTATCTTATAGTTATACAAAAGGGGAACTTTCAGCATCTCTTCTGACCTTCTTGTAAGTATAATTACGAGACGGACGGCACCACTGAGTCACGAATTGTGTGTTTTCAGGCGGATATCTCGGAATCACCCTCTCCTCTCGCAATCTATAATGAAGAAGCTTCTTATCCACTTCCGCACATCCCCACAATTGTGAATGTGAGACTCGTGATAGCAAGTTCCAACGCACGAAACCACCATGCATGGCACAAGAAGCATGGTAATTCCCGAGACACCCTTAAAGTGCTATGAAGTCAATCTAGTAAGTATTGTTCTGATAAGTAATAGAAACTCCACACGTAGTCTGGATGACTGACGATCCATCACAGCTACAGGCGCAACATGTGTCCAATAGTTCCCAGTTTGGTGATCTGTGATCACTTCAAGGATCTGGGACAAGGATGTGCGTTGCCTTTACTAATCTTCTCATTATATATTCACTAACGAATGGGGCACAGATGATCCATCCGCCGGTGTCAATTTGCGTTGCAAACCACACAATGCGAATGAACGCTACTCTCTTAAGGAACCACGAAGAAAATACTAGCGCTAAGTACACCAAGCAAGGGTACTTTCTTTTGACTCCTATTATGAGCCGTATAACTCGCGAGCTCGCTGATGTGACTTGATAGGCGAAAAGGCAACGGAGTACTAGTGGAGAAGAAGCTGCCAAGCAGACACCTGTACTCCGAGCATACACCCAACACCCAACACCCAACACCCAACACCCAAAGCCCCTAAACATCAAAGTTCTGCCTCTTCCATTGTTTTGTGCTTCACTTCTTATACCATAGTTTGGATTCCGCTAAGCTCTAGATTAAGCATATGTGCGGCAACCGAGGGGTTAATGTTTCGGCAGGCAGGATTGCTCTGCTCTGAATCTTGAGAAACGGACGTCCCCTTCCCCTTTCCCGCGAGCGGTTGACTCCTGTGAAGAAGAAGCAATGATAGTACCAGGTCCGAGAAGTTATCAGTTCTGTATACTAGCTGGACACATCCAATCCTTATCCAATCCTTGTATAATTACTCAGCCTATTTGAATCCGCTTTCGGCAGCGTGGACCCACAAAGACTGTATTACATAAGATACGTGATCACATGAGCACGACGCGTCTGACGCGACTCGTGTGAACCACAACTTCAACTTGAACAATCACATCGCTGATCAACGTCGATCGCTCCTACTCTTGCAATAGTCACATTCAACACACTGAGAGCCGTAATCAGTCGTGATGCCACCTCGGCCACGCCTTCGAGTGCCTGATAGGACAGTCCGGGTTGCGACGAAGCGACATGATGAAGACGCGCCTACGGTGAAAGGGGAGGTAGCAAGTGTCGAAGGATTCGTACCCGTCGCAACTATACCTGCTCGACCCAGACCTGTCCGCAAACCGATTCGGCGTGCAGCGTTGTCTTCTCTCCCGCCTTCATCACCTCCACTTCTAACTTCATCTCATGAACAAGTACCTCCGGGAAATATGGAGCCTGCCGTGGCAGCTGTGGATGATCCTTTTGGGTTCTTCGCTGCGGAGAAAAGACTTAAGGAGCGCTCGAAGGAACAGATGGTGAATAGGGGCATTGCTGACGGGAAGGAGAGGAGGGTACTCCAACCTCGCCAGCTGCTCGACGAGAACCGACCCGAGTCTGTGTTAGCTGCTATGGGCATTCGGACTGGTAAACGTCTCGAACTGCAGCAGTCGCCAGAAAAAGAAGACAAAGAGGTTGGGGAAGCAAGCGACGTCGACGACGGCAGACCCGCATTTGCAACACCACCAAAGGCCGACAGAACAGACTCCGACCTCGAGTTCGACATGAGCAAATACGTTTCAGGCACAGAGACGCCTGCAGGGCATACTCCCGATCCACGTGCGGCCACACCTCGTCAACGACGGAAGAAAAAGAGGAAGCTCTCCTTAACACCGAATTCTTCGTCCAAGTCACCAATTCGTGGACATGACGAATTAAGTTCTGCTCTACAGTCACCTTCGCCGCTAAAACGTCCTCGCGTGACGAGGCGGCCCTTTGCTGACATGCAGCCTCGGGATAATACGCCAGTGAAGGCTACATCGAAACAGACGAAAGGAGGAAAGCCAGTTTATAAGACTCACAAGACGGACGAGACACTGGCAGAGGAACACTTCGATGGTATGACGGAAGCACTGAAGGAGTTACTTCCTCGGAGACCAACTCGTAAGGCAACACAACGGAGGAGTACTGTTGCAACAAGAGCCGTTGCACCAAAGAAGACGAGGAAGAATGCACGACAAACCAAGCCCCGGTCAAAGAAGCCTGTCATGGAGCGCGTTGAAGATGGTGAAGACTTCCAAGAGAAGGAAGGAGAGTCATTTGTTCTAAGTGGAGAGGAACGCGAGGTACGTCTAGCCGCAACAATTATTGTACGATCTGCCAAGAAACTAATTACATGTTTGTTTTATTGAATAGAAATTTGAAGTTGCACGAGAAGCACGCAAGGAATACTTCAAAGAGGTTGACGACTATGTTATGGATGAAGAGAGCATTTTCATTATTTGACGAGCTTGACGGAGGATCCTTGTACAGTAACTTGCGCAGTTCCGGAAGTGTATATTGTATTTTGTAATCCAGACTAGAAGCATGCATGGTGTAGCACTTGACTCTATTCACCAAAGCCGAACGAGTAATACTGTATTAGTAGACACGTATTGTATGATGTGCCGTGTTAAGAATCTGATTGCTTGTGTGTTGATGAGAAATATGAAGCTACACGCGAACAACGAGCGGAATGCTTCAAACAAGTTGACGACTACGTTATGGATGAAGAGACCGTGTATATATATTTGACGGACTTGACGGAGTTCTCTTGTGCAGTAACTTGCGCTGTCCCGGAAGTGTATATTGAATTTTGTAATCCAGACTAGAAGCACGCGTAGTGTAGTCCTCGACTGTATATATCTGTATTCACTGACGCCGAACACATGAAGTTGTATTAGCAGGCATAAACACATGACTGGAGCATAATGAATAGTGGATACGTCAGATCTGATGGGCCTGCACAGCAAGTGATGAGCCAGACTATTCCTGTTCCTGACATCTGCGTCCGCATGACGCTGACGCGCTTTTGGCGTTTGAGATTAATCAAGTGTCGCTATGCAGATACGTGGAACTGATGCGCTCTTTGTTTCATTATTTCATATTATATTTCTGGCTAACTAGCTGCTTTGGAGGAGGAAGAGCTGGAAAGCGTATGATTACTAGTCTAGCATAATAATGAAGTGAGCACATTGGCAACTGATCGTAAAGCAGGGGGAAGATGGAGACGGGCAGCCGAAGAGCCAACTGATGGGGTCAACGTGGAGCAGGAATGGCAATGGCATATCCAATATTCATAAATCAATGCCGTGCCATTTCATCTCGAAACGCCACAAGTAATAAGAACACCAAATTAACAAGAATCATATGCTTTCTACCCACCCCGTCCACACATCCACCCTGCTCCTCATTAGCACCATCAAAGCCTAAGTCCAAACGCTGAGAAGTCCATACTAAGCTTACACTTACGCCAAGGACGGAGCCGGCTCGAGAAGCATAGGGAAAGGATATATGATACCGGCTTGATTGTGCTGCACGAGGCAGAAGTTCCTTCGGCTTGATCTCCCTCTCTTTGTGTCTGTCCTCCCTTTTGAAGTTTTTTTTTCTCCCTTTCTTTGCTTTTACGTCCTCCGCTATCACCTTGCCGTACGGGATTTAGTAAACTTAGTCTACCTCGGCCACTACTTAATTTTTTTCTTCTTGCCTTTCTCCTTCCTCCCTTTCACTCTTCTTCCCTTTCTGCATCCACGATCATCTCATCGTTCCTCACATTAAGCTAAGCATGGGCTCGGACGCACAGCAGCACCAAGAGCCTCCAGACTCAACGCTCCCCTCAACAACAAACTCCTCTTCCTTCTCGTCCTCCTCAAAGACGGGAATGACGACGACAATGGCGGTGCGTACGGCCGAAGCGAATCGGTGAGTGTGCTTTTATTCTCTTTGTTTTATCCGTTGTCCGTGGGTGTTGTTGTCATTGTCAATTGTGCGTTGCGTTCCGTTGTCGACGCGGAAGCAAATTTGGGATGTGGATGGACAACCGATGATGGATGAACGGCCCGCGCGTCGGCCTTAAAAAGCCGATCCCTGGTCTCACGTCGTTAACCGCGCATACACATCTCGTGCTCCTTTCTTTACTCTTTCATCTCGCCACACCCGCTCTGTCTCCTGCAATCCGTAAATTTTGACAAACTAATTATCCATCTCTTATTTCTTTCATCTGATCGACTAAATTCTCGATCCCAAATTTGAAATTTCCGTAAAATTTACATCCGGAACTCGGGGATAACGAACAGCAAACTGGAGTCGACAGCGCAGGCAGCTGTGAACTGGGGTGTTCAGCATGAGTGTCAGATCCGGGATTTCGAGGTACGTCTTCCCGGTCGTTTAATCTTGTCTGTCTAAAGATATATTTTTTAATTTATGCCATTTATTTGATACGTTTGATAGGCTGAACTGGCGAGTGCGCTAAGTAACTCTCGAGCGGTGCATCATTTGCTAGTCGAGGCGTTGGGCAGCATAGAGGTATGTTCCATCCCATACCTTTCCGTTCATTCATTCACAGAAATGTTAACCACTAACCACTCCCTTCGACAGTCAAACCGCCAACGCGTCGACCGAGCCCTAACACAACACATCCCCCACATCTACACCGAACTCAACAACTCCATGCTCTCCCTCCAAACTCTCCAATCCCGTCTCCCCGAACTCCGTTCCCAAATCCACGCCATCCGCTCCGCCTACGACTCCGGTCGTTCCAAAGCCCAGACATTACAACACGAACTCGAGTGGAAGAGGGCACCTATACAGGAGAAACTTTTGAGAGTCGCCTTGGCAAGACCTGGTGACGAGGAGGGTATGAAGAAAATCCCTGTTAAGAGGAGTGAAGTGGTGCTTGTGCGGATTGTGCTTGTGATTTGTATGCTTGTGATTTGTTGGCAGCTTGGTGGTGCCTTGGATGGAGCGTATAGAGCGTACAGACATCGACTTGTCTGGGGTGATAAACTCATTTCTTAACTTCCTCACCCTTCCCTCCTCCCTCCCCCTTTTTTCTTTTACCTTTTTGTTCTGGAATTCGTTGCATGGGCTTTTTGTAATGATGCCGTGCGTTGGGGACATGGTAATAAATGTAACGTATCGGGTTTCTTATTGTATTCTTATGCTCTCTCTTTTATTCTTGTACAGCTTACAGCTTACGTTCCTCCTTTCTTCACGTCTCTTTCTCGTCCATACCCAAGCAAAACTCTTCATCTCCTTCATCTTGTACCACAACATTCAAACTCATAGACATCCTCTTTTCACTCCACTGATCTTGATATCCAGTCATCTCACTCCGTACACATTGTACAAATACATAACTTCATGTCTTCTTCCATTCTTCCTTACAAAGTTCAAAAATCAAAACATACACACGCCTATACACACGGTGAAAGTTCGTTCTCAATAACTCAAACTGCGATAAGACCAGAAATATTAAGGACAAACCGAGTGCGATGTCTGTATGTCTTTATGTACATATATACATTGGGGGTTTGAGTTAAGAATGCAGCTTCTGAGCTTGTATTTGAAGGGGGGGGGGGGAAGAAATCCGCAGTCGCCAAATCCAGAATGAGTGAGTGGATGTAAAGAAAAGAAAGGAAGAAATAAAGGGATGCATATACGAAGCCGAATACCTACTTGAAAACGAAAACGAAATTGTGATGTTAAGTCCAATTGATTCGATGACTGACATTGCAAAATTGCTAACGAATGGATGATTGAATGAATGGGCGAAATTGAGACCGAGACCGAAATCGAACTTGAGACCGAGACAAAATCCATCAAGAAACGAAGAACAAAGTAGTACATCGAGGGGTAGAAGTAGAGACAGAGACAAAGAGAAACTCTGATAAAAGAAAATATATCATACTGGAGACACGAAGTCAGAAAGACTGAGAAACTGGGTTTGAGAAATGGCAACCACAGAAGATGATAAACATTAGGTTGTCACAAAGAAATGCAAAAAGAAAGTAGTAGTAAAACCAGTAGAGATGTCTGCGTTTATGGGATGCCGTGCATTGTCCGTGCTCGACGAGCAAATGGGTGGCTGAGTGGTGATACAACTGGGGGGGTATGTTACGATGCAGGGGGAAGTAGTCGAGGGAATATAATACAGTACGAGAAGATAAAAGAAAGGGGGAGATAGTTTTGAGCTCGCATCAGAACAAAGTTCAACAGAGACAACCAAGTCGATCAAATCAATAGTCTGACCGTAAGAAGATGTAAAGGGATAGGGAAGAAGATTCACTGCAACACGCAGCCTTTCTCCTTTCCAGTAGGCGTATCTTGACGGCGTGTCCTGAGGTGCCACGCGCGCTGCGCCGCCACATGCCGTTCAAGCTCGTCGTCCTCGTGGTCATCGTAATAACCTCCAACGCTCGGTGCAGCAAGTACAGACGCACGACGTGGATCATTTGAATCTGCCACGGATACTGCCATAGAGAACCGGCTAGGAGCGTATCGTGTGGCTCCATCTGCTTCCGTTTCCGTCTCGCCATCCGTCTGTAGACCCAATGGCGTCGTGGCACCGCTAGCACCACCATGTCCTCGAGAGCGAGACCGACCTGGTGGAGGCAGCGGGGCTCCCAAAGCAGATTGACTGCGCGAATACGTGTACTGAGTCGAGTGTGAATGAGCCTGAGAATGTGCATGCGACTTTGAGTACGAATCATCCGAAAGGTCGATCGTCTCAGCACTCCGTTGACTACCACGGTTAGGCGTCGTGTTCTCGCTTGATGTCGAAATAGGCCGAGCATGTGGAGGTTTGATGAGGACTGCAGGCCGAGTCGGACGTGGACTGCTCTTTCCTGCGACATGCGAAGTAAGAATAGACTCGCTTGAGCCTTCACCGGACGTTTGCGACATCGAGACTTTGCGCTTGCGATTCTGGTTCTGATCATTTGACAAGGACGATCGAGAGCGGCGGAATGCGTTAAACATTTTAAATGCTGTCGGTGGCGCAACCTCCTGAGTAGGAGTAGACGAGTGCTGAGACGTCAGAACGGAATCCGCAAGAGGGCTACTGGAGGGCGTAAATTGCCTAAAGATGTCCAACGCATGTGCCGAGTCCGGGGATGGGGGAACGTTTGCGAATTGCAGTAGCTGAGCACGGATACCACAAGTGGGTGGTGCAGCATTAGCACAACTAGCATGTGCAATTAGACTACATTCTTCGCACACGACGGCATGCCTTTTGACAGACTGCATGCAGACTCGGCAGAGCAACGCTATACAGGAAACAATTAGTGTAATTAGAAAGAAAGCTAATCGATTTTCTAAACATAACTCACGTTTTCCGAACGCAGTTTTGACAAAGGAATGTTCGCGGGTAAGCGGCGCTTCGCTGTCCGGACTCTTTGGCGTCGCGGGTCCTGTCGACAGTCTCGTCTTGGGCGGAGATGCCGGAAGGCCAAGACTAATGGGCGACGCCGATCTTTCCTCTGAAAGACGAGGTGGAGGATCCAATGATGTCCGCGAGTCTGACCGCAGTCCATCACCTACACCCAAGAAACGCACCGCATCCGGCCGCTGCTGCAAGTCCTGGCTAACTCGCCGCAGGAATGGGATACTGTCCTTTGGTCGAATCACTTTGTGCACTTCACAGTGCTCCTTCAACCAATCGTGCTCGCTAAGGACCTCTGCGGTGGGTCTGTCCGCAGGATCACGCCGGAAGCACTGCAGCAAGAAGTCCTTCAACTTGGGGTTCCAGTCTTCAGGGATCGGAGGCATTTCGTCGTCCACGATGCGGTACATAACTGTGGGACACGTGTTAGTATTTAAATACCACATGAATCTTCCGATGTGAAGTGATCCTCACCGGACATGCCATTAGGGATATCCGCGTAGGGTGGTCGGCCAGTCAGGAGCTCAATGACAGTGCACCCGAGAGACCATATGTCACTAGCACGAGATGCGCCCTTGAGTTCAATGACTTCAGGGGCCACTGAGGATGAACAAAATTAGCATCATGCAGTAGCTTAATTCAAACAAACGTGAACTTACTCCAGTTCGGGGTGCCAGTGACATCTGCTTTATGATCACGGCCAACCTTGCGCAGGTTGAGAGAGACACCAAAATCGGAGAGTTTCACGTTGCCGGTCTTCGTGGTCAATATATTCGCGGCCTTGAGGTCACAGTGCACGACATCATTCCGATGCAGGTAGTCCAAACCTTCCAAGATCTTGATCACATATGTCGCAACCAACTTCTCATTAAGCTTTCCGAAGGCCTTCAGGGTCTGTCCAAGCGATCCATTTTCCGCGTATCTAATTTACAAAATTAACGTTAATTTAGTTACAACGGAATGGAACGTGAAACAATAGTAGAAGCTAGCTTATAATATTGAACCGCACTTACTCAAGAACGATGTTTAGCGTGTCGCTATCCCTGGACATGCCCTCATATTTAACAATGCTGGGATGAGACAGACTCTTGACTACATCAACCTCCCGCATGAGCTGCTTCACATCTTCCTCCGAAAGTCCCTCCAAGCGAACTCTCTTGACAGCTACCATCTGTCCAGTAGTAAGGTTCAAAGCGCGATACACGGAACCAAATTGACCCCGTCCAATACAATTTCCAAGTTGCTAAAGACCCGACAATCAATTATTACAATTCAAAAAAAGCAGGAATGAAAATCAATATAAAAATGAACTTACGAAATGCGTGGACGGCTTCCCTTCGTCACGAATGATTAGCGTCTTCCGCATGGCGCTTCCGTCCATTGAACTCCGGATGTCGCTTGCGCTGAAATTGCTGCTTGATGCACCCCCAAGGCTTACCATACTCTCAATACGTGACCGACGTGGCTTAGCACCGAGCTCATCATAAGAAGTCGGACGTGGTCGACGACGAGAACCCGCATCGACATCCGACTGGAAGCGTCCACGCGAGAACCGACTTTGCTGTGCTGCAGATGCAGCCGCGGTCGTTGCTGACATTTCCGCGCCGCTTGCACTTGGGACAGGGGCTGGAGCAGCAGGATGCTCTCCGGAGACGCAACGCGGGAAGGGAATACGCACTCCGGCAGATGTAGCATCTGGGGAAGGACTTGGGGAGTTACTGTCGCTGCGCGGGATGTATACTCCATGGCGGTTCGTCGAGCTGTTCCGCCTCGGGATAATACGCGGAGCCGCGCCATTCTCTGGAACAGGACTCGCGTCGCGATCTCGTGGAGAAGCCGGTTCTTTTGGGCGGAGCACGGGCACATCAAGACTATGTCGCGGACGATGCATGGGACGGCGCGGTGTACGTGGCGGAAGCGATTCAGTACTATCATCGCCTTGCACATTCTCAAGCAAGTGCGAAGGACGACGAGGCGGGGAAGATGCAAGTGGGCTAGAGGACAGCGTACGTTCGGCTTCTGCACGATGGTACGCGATACCTCGTGTCGGTGAGCTCGACTTGAATGCGTGCTCGAAGTCATCTGGCCACTTTCCCTTGCCAAGCTGGATTGCCTGCGGCCGTCGCTTCGGTCCCGATGCGTCATTGCCAACACCAGTACCGCTGTGCAAAGTCCCGTCTTCTGCTTCCTCTGCTACCCGCGAGAGGTCATTGACCGCAGCTTCGCTCGGCCGGCGATCTCGTAGCTGTTGCTTCTTCAGCAACGACGGTGGTACAGCGAAGGTCGGCGATTGAGCGCTACCAGAAGAAAGATCGTCCCAATGCGACAATGACACGGATGCGTCCGACGTCGAACCACGCGCACTGACATCCGCGCGATAATTGTCAGAAACGGCGACAGAGGTTGCGACTGTTGTTGCAGTGCGTATCGTACCAAACTGCTGGGAGCCACGGTCGCCACCTAATGAATCTCTTGGACGGCCCGCCGCGAGCAGAGATGAAGGGGCAGTGCTTTGCGTTGTCTGCGTTGTTTCGCTTGCAAGAGATACTCGTCCAGGAATCGGTACGGGCAAAGACGCGGTCGGCTTCGGAGGTGGAGAAGGAGGCCTACTGGACGAAGGGCGCTGCTTGAGAAGCTCTTGGCTGCTAGCAACATCATAAAACGTTTCGTCTGCATCATCCACGTCCGACTCAGGTTCGGAATCAGTCGCAAGAGCCGACTCATTTGCAGATTTTGGCAACGGCGGCGACTTCGCTCTCGCCTTTTGTACTTGTGTGTCCGCCGACTCTCCAGAACCCGACCCTGAACGTTCTTCCGCGCTTTTAGTTTGAAGTTCCTTGTCCTTCGCTTTAGACCGCTTCCCTGAAATGCTTCCGGCTTTACTCGAATTGGCTCGCTCAGGAGAGACAGTCCCAGATCCAGTATCCTCGGCAGCGACAGTCGACAGTGCAGGACTCGGTGGGCTCCAACGTTTCTTAGCTCTCCTGGGGCTTGGACTCTTACTCAACATGGGCGGTGAAGCAGAACGCTGCAACGTCGAGAGATTCGGTGTCGAAGAAGAGGCACCCTTCGATCGCGTGCTATATGGGCTGTTATTAGCTTGCTTCTGTTCCTTCGATTGACCGCCACCGCCCAAGAGAATCTTCCGCGCGACACGCTCTGCCTCTGCATCCTCCCCTGCACGCGCCACGATAGTGACAACAGTACGCGCTACACGAAACAACGCGTCCGGCGTTGACTTGATCAAGTCATCTCTTTGAAAGAGCTCCGAGGAAGGGATACCAAAGGACCCGGCAGCAGCTGCAAGAAACTTGGTTGCATTCGAGGATGACTTGAACCCGTCCTCGAATGCGTCTACACGTGCAATCGTCCCAGGACGGAGTTTGTTTATGAGCCTGCGGAATGAATTTGCTAAACAATCAATCAAGTTCGGACACAAAAAACACACGCACTGGCAGAGGACATAACCATCTCTGACTGCCTCAGCGAATATACGCCTCTCACGTTCCTCTCCCGCAGCACTTACGCTTCCCACCATAGCGCCCGAGCCGGTTAAGCTGACGGAGCTCCCACTAAGCGGCCCACCAAGTCGCACACGCTCCGCACGTGCGAGTAACCTCAGCCGAGCCTCACACTGGTCCCATACCTCTGGCGTCCATGTCTCCTGAGCCAGTATAGGAGCAGATGTACCGCTGGGGAACAGCGCCTGCAAGGCTGAGCTCGGTTGCGAACTCGTTGGCGAGGAGGATGAGCGAGAAATCGCACGCGGACGCGGACCATTGAGCTCGCGCAAGAGAAGCGATGCTGCATGCCGAATAATATCGCGATAGCCAGCTGGTAGCGCCGAGGCAGGCGATGACGCTCGCCGCGCGGAGCCGGCAGTGGGACTGGTACCGGATTGGGTGGGCGACCGCGAGCGGTCCGCTTCAGCACGTGAAGGCACGAGAGACGATGTGGAAGCCGAAGCGCGGGAGCGTGTCTGCAATTGTTGCTGAAGTTGTCTCTCCCTCTCGCGTTCGAGTGACCGTTCACGTGTTGAAGCCGTCCGTGCTCGCGAGCTGCTCGTTGGCGCAGCATGAGAGGGCGTCCCAGTGGGTGTAGAGCGGCCCGTCCCATTTCCATCGTTGATGTGCGTGCTTCCCACAGACGGACGCCTTCTTTCTGGTCTCTCAGGAGGACCATCCCTCTCATTCTTTTCAGGCAGAGTTGACGAAGAGGACAGCGAGGATGGCTCCATGGGTAAGCTTGTTGTGCTTGCGCTACGTATACCTGATTTTGTCGGCGGTGCTACTGCATTGCGTAGTCGGAGTCGACTAGCAGCATTGGCACCCGCGCTTGGACTTAGCGGTGGACGGGATATGCGAGGAGGCACTGGAGAAACATTTCTCGGAGCCTGTATCTGTGTACTTAACTTTGTAGGTGTGGTAGGTGAAGGCGGGATGGAGCGTGTAGGGACAGGCGTGGTGTTTGAACGGCTGAGTGTATGCGGGGAGGATGAGGTGCTAGAGCTTGCTCCAACGGAAGAAGAAGTCGCCTGCAATGGTGCAGGACGATGCCGCGCACGGGGAGTAAGGGGTGGTGCGAGGACGGGAGCTGGTGCAGGGGCGGAAGCTAAACCAGGCGATGGTGTTGTCGCTGGGGTGGAAGCTGCATTTGAGGCACTAGGAGAAGTGGCAGACAGCGTGGGCGAAGAAAGTGATGGCGAAGAAAGCTTCACAGGAGAACGTGATGTAGAAGGTGATACGCGAGCAGGCGGTGTGGGCGACGGTGGAGAACGTGAGCGGGAAGGCGGACGCGGCGGAGACGTCGACTGTCGGACTGTTTCCTTTTCTTTTTCTTGCTTGCGGTCCCGTTCTCGCGTGCGCTGTACGTGCTCTGTAGAAGACGTCGAGGTTGAGACGTCAAGCGCAGAGGCAGAGGCGGAAGGGTGCGAAGAGAGCGAGGGAGCGAGGAAGGACCACGCGGACCTCGAGCGCGTGCGCGATTCCTCCTTGTCCCTGTCCTTCTCTCTATCTTTGACCGTCCTGTCACGATCCTTGCGCAGTTTCGTCGGGCCAGATATCGAGCTTGATAACGGCGGAGAGGCTGCGCGGGGTGTAGGCGAGGATGCATCTGCCCGAGCAACCTCACGACTGGAATGTCTCCGTAAACCCACCTTGCTCTCAAGCTTCCGGAGTCCGCCACCGACATCGACGCTGAAGCGCGAGGTATGCGACGTCTTGCGTTGACGTTCACCTGTAGCAGCAACGATCCGCTCCCGTTCCCTTTCACGCTCCTTCTCCAACGAGAGGCGCTCGCGTTCTCGCTCTCGCTCACGGTCCCGACTGCGCTCCACGCCAACAAAGTCGACCGAGGCTCGGTGCTTACCCTTCGGGTTCGGTGCCGGAGCCGGAGTAGCAGCCGCGGCTACAGCAGGCTTCATAGTGGGTTGTTGTGGTTGAGAAAGAGGGGAAGCAGGAGGAGGGCGCACGGCGGCAGCGTCGCTGGAGCTATGCTTATGTTTGAGGGTGCGATCGAGGATGCGCGCAGCTGAGTTTGGTGCAGGTGCAGGCGGGTGTGCCGACGATGCCGGCACGTCTGTATGGGGCTCTCTGCGGGTTCTTGCACTGGCTGCAGCACGGATTGTGTGCTCGAGCGAAGTACGAAGTCGACGGAAGGTCTTGTGTTGAGCGTGGGCGTGCTCAGTAGTTGGAGCTGCAACAGGAGCGGACTGGGAGCTCGGACCGGCGCCTGGGGAGGAAGGCGGAAGAGAATGGGAGAGGGATATAGAGACGGGTGGCGGGGAGACTGCCATGCGTAAGTCTCTGGCTGAGGTGGCAGAAGCAAGTGCAGGAGGAGCAGGAGCAAGTGCAGGAGGTCAGAGAAGAAGAAAGCGATGGATGAGATAAGCGCAGTAGTAGGACAGCAGTAGTGGCAGTGGCACAAGGCGACGAGATGTGGAAGAGAGGCATCTAACAAGTGATATAGGCAGGGCCAGAGAGGGAGCGGAGGTGTGCTTAGACGTGCGCAGGACGCGGGGCGCGACGCGCGTGAAGTCAGCGTGAGCACTTTATATTCCTTTTCTCAGGGATAAGTTTGTGAATGTGCCTCCGCCCGTTGACGACCGTTCTCGCTCGATAGCTGGCGGGGAGCGCGCTGGACGCTATACACTAGCAGCCGAGGGGCGGGGCGATGGAGATGGTTGGAGAGAGAGAGATTATGTGTTGTCGGTGATATGTTCTGATGATCGCATTCCACACTGACGCGGATCGGTGCTCTAACATGACGCATAGCCATAGCATTTGACTACAATAATAATATCTACATCTACAATACTATCTTGTTCCTCTGCATTACAACTTATACAGCGTTGTACCTCCGCCCCGACAATGTCCATTCTCCGGCGGCGCCGCCCCTTGCCTTGCCCTTGTCCGCTGTTCGACGTTCGACATGCCCGACCATGTGCCTAGCACACTAGTGCACAAGAGACGTCGGTCAGTGATGGCGATCCAAGGAGAGTGTCTATTATGGGCTGTTCAGCACTAGTGGGGCCATACCGTGTATGTGCTAGCGGCGAGCCGGGGTCTGTCGGGATTGGTTGCTCGCGCACGCGGGCATATGGACGACTGCCCTAGCAGACCCTCTCCAAAGCACTGCTTGCAAGCTCAACGACGGAGAGAGAAGATCATTTGTACCCCACACGTTCCCCGGCCAGTCTCTCAAATTTCTCTCATTGCCGCGGCCTTAGCACTTTCTGTCTCGCTTTGCACACGCATGCCGAATTGAAAGCCGTTCTTCTGCATTCAGATCCCGGACACACAGCTCAGAAGAAAGAAGCACACACAGAACACACCTCTCTCCCATCTCTCTGCATCTCCCATCCCACGTGTCTCCTTTTCGCTGTCCCTTCCCAGCCCTTTAGTTCTGTTTCACTTTCACCCTTCCCGTCCTGGCGCTAATCTACATCCATCCACTACACACCGGACTCACAATTTCCGTCCGTCACTGCATCGGTACTTTGCTTTCAAATGCGGTATCTTTCATCTGTTGATGATCCCTCCTTTGGTCCTGCTGACGGCAAATCCCCCCACATTCACGGAGAGATCCAGTAAGTCAGATGCCCACATCGGCTGCTCCGGCGGGATGACGCAGCACCCCACACAACCCGATGCATCACGGCATACCCATATCCATATCCTAACCGCAATTCAATCTACACCTTACTTTACACCATCTCAAGATCGTCATCTATCCTCAGAAAGGACATTTCTCCCTCTACTCTGCAAACGGTCCGCAACGGCGACGGCAACAAACGAAACAGTAAACGCAAAAGTCCAAAGTGCCGCTGCGGAACGAAACGACGGATATCCAGAAACGGCTTGCTTTCCTTCCGAAGCGCTGCTTGCCGTCTCTCTCCTACAGTCTATCTATCCCAATCTCTAACCTTACTTATTTCCTTGGCTTGTCTTCCCTCTGGCAGTGGTTCTTCTTCCTTCCTTCCGTCCCACGTGCGTCATCGCACGAGGTTGTCGACTGACTCACTGAGTCTATGTGCATCAGAGTGAACTTCCTTTTCTTCAAGTAGTTCTTCTGAACTCTGAACTCTGAACCTCGGCGGATTCATGCATACATATGACAAATGGAGATGACGACAACGCCACCGACACTTTTACAGCAGACTGTCAGCAGTGCATAGTGCACAGAACACTCTCTAGATGGCAGATCCCCTGCTTGTGACCTGGTGCAGAACTTCATCTTCATCTTCATCTTCATCTTCACCTTCAGCAGTAAATCAAATACCCATTTCATATCTGCACAAAATGATAAGTGCAGATCCGAATTTTCGAAATCAATACTGACTTTCGCTACTTGACTCCCGTTTCCTCGCTCAGAACGCCAGAACGAAGCACAAGATTCTAACATTAGCCATTAGCCATTTGGAAAAACTCGTACCGGTCCGATTTCGAGAGGCAATTTGTATACAGCTCTGTTCTTGTCAGCAACGGAAAGAAGTAAGGAAGTTAGTCCACGTCCGAGTGTGTTGTTCTTTCTGGTATGGTCGGCGCCCGAATATACTGTTTGTCTTCCTAAGTTCCTTCTTCCTTTTCTCCGTGGCGTCTGCGCAAATTATCTATCTACCGGATAGGCCACTATCTACTTACATTTTCTCATACTTATTATGAATTGAATAGCATTACTGCTTACTTCTATTCTTCCGTTCGGAAAGAAGACCGTCGTATTATTTTACTCATGCTGCAACACAGGCAAGGTCGTTAAGGTCGGAAGAATGGAAAATGATTGTTAGGCACATGGAGAAAAAGAAATCCGGATGGACAGACGAATGCATGGGATAAACAAGATGCCTGAACCTGAGGAAATTTACAAAACGAATGTCAGAACAAGTAATATGCATACGATGCAATCTTGAGAATCATCAAGTTAACCGACGAACGAACTTCAGGACAGACAGTAGGTGTGTTGGTGGCGTACCGTACCTTACGTCTCAAAGCACAAGGCAACGAGGACGGTTGTCTGTCCTTTAATGTTAACCAGACTAACAAGGTGCCTATCTTGTGAAGAGAAACGCCATTCAGATGGCGCAGAAGACATCAATCAATCAACGTTCCGACAGACATATCACCGATTGAGACCGTCACCTCTTCCATACCAAACGTCCGGATAATACCATCACTAGGATACAAGGCGAGGAAAGACACTCTACTTACTTTACATGACAATGAATTTGCAAAAGTGATATGACAAAGGGAAGACTGGCAGTATGTAGTACTCTTGAGATCATTCACTAATCACTATCAAAAAACGAGAATGCATGTGATTCCATACAGAGCAAGTGTATACATATGGTGAGATAGGATGGGGACTGGATACGTGATGATTGATCTGTCAAACAAGCAAACGTTTTTTCATATCACTCACAATGACAATGCTGAACAGCTACCATGAGCATATGCTTCTTTCCCATGTATGGTGGAACGACGAACACTGTCACTGACAGGCTCAAGCTCTACACTTCTCAAGGTTTGTCAATACAGGTCCCAACCACTGACATGGGTCCGGATCTGATCCCAATAAGCCAAACCGAATCATGACCCGAACTCAGTTAAAGGACTAAATCATATCCACCATCTCCTTTACCACGTTGAAGAGAAAGCAAAGTGTGGCGCGTAGAAATCTTCTGTATAGAGTCGAGACGGCAAGAAAGTACGCATCTCTGGTACTAAAAATAGATTTCATGTAGATGCGTAAATGCACACAGATCGGAATCTTCCGATGATGCCCACTTTATCGCAGAAAGAAACGCACGGTGCACAGGATTTCAGAAGCCCAAGACTCAAATCGGCGCCCCGAAAGAAGTATTGATATTCCCGACGGATACGATTCTTGAGTTCAAACTGACCGAGAATAGTCCTGCGCCTGGGATATCAGATATGAGTACCATTGCAGTACCAATACAGTTCCAAATCACGCCCACGGTCAATCGTTGGGACTATTTGGAAATTGCAGCCGCAATCGCGTCTACTGCGCTTTATGATAATATAATCCTCTTCACCATTGAGTTTCCGAAGTCCTACACGCCGTATCTTCTCCCGCCTTCCGCGTCTTGGCTTCACCTTCCAAATTCAATCGAGTTCGAATTTGGCATTTTGAATAAGCACAGGAATAGCACCACGAATGCCAATGCCGTCCTTGTTCGGCGTCCTGAGAGTCCTGCGCGCTATTGTGCTTCTCGGGAGCTTCGTACCGCACCGGGTGAACTTGCGAGTTGAAGTTGACCCAGATATGAACTCGGGGATTGACATCTTCCCATGCCCATTGAAAATATCGAATGCTCTCGAATCGCCGCTTTGTCTCGTGTCATTCAATTCTATTTGTTCGGGTCTGCGAGGCTGGGGGGACCTATTCGCACATCTGCAATAACACCCGACTGGATTCTAATGTATTCCGAGTCTGTATGCCTGGATAAATTTGGATTGGCGCCTGGAATATGAATTCGCGATAGGCAACCTGTTGCCGGAGACAATCAGCCAAGAACGTTAACGAGCGAGTGCAGAACCATAAGAACGTGCGGTGGATGTAGATATCTGTGGCACTTAGGGGCATTCGGCTTCCTCCTTATGGGTGTCCTTCTAGCACTACCGTCTCCCGGATTACTCTCGTGCAAACACGCATACGTGCATGCTTGGTTTCGTGTACATGTTCCAAATACATGCACAAATGTATGTGTCTTGTGATGGATCTGGAACTTCTTTGTTCCTGGGCACTATCTCGTCTAAGAATAAAAATCGGGTTGTCCGATAAAGGCATACGAGTATCTTAATAGATGCTAGTATCGAGAGAGAGAAAGATTCGGAGTTGTATGCATAGCGTATCGCCGAAACAGGAGAGAAACCGTCGAATGGTGGCGCTTATGTGCTAGCGGATCCCGGAGCGGTGCGTTCATCTTGATGATGAACGTGTAGCGACATCCGAATCCGAATCAAATAGAAGTTGTATCTTGAGTGGAGTTCGCCACCAATGCAATACTATGCGTATGGTCAATGCAATTTTTTGGACAAGACCCTTATTGTGTCTCCGAGTGTTGGGGTACCTTTGAATGTCGTCCGGCTGCCGACGAATAGCACCACCATCGAACGTTCATTTGCGATGAGCCACGTAAACAAGACGTTCATTCTCCTTGAACTGGGCCATACTTTCATCTTCAACTTTCCTCCTGTGATCCGATATGAATTGGAAGAAGAGCCAGCCGGAGGAGGTCCGATGAAACATATCGCCGCGCCTTATCGTAAGTTTTCGTGGTATGCGAATTGTGCAGCGCTCCTTCGGTATCACGAGGCAATTCATCCTACTCGATGGAAGTATAGAAGAGTGGAGGGCATTCTCTTTGATGAGTCACGCGTGGGTTGTATCGGCGCCACGAGATGGGCGGAACGAATCATCGCCTCGACACGTAGACCATCATATCGTCACAGTTGGGAATTACATGATAAGTACCATTGTATACCGATTGGTTGCAAATGTAAGGCGCACAATCTTCCATGCAGACCTAATTTGAGATGATCAAAGACATTGAAGCAGAATCCTTTCATTCAAAGCCCATCGGCGGGGAGTGAATGAGAAAATTACCCGCAAGTACCAAAAAGAAATAACCATGTTTCGAGCCTATCCACCTACATCTTGAAATGATGCTTCTCAGGATAGGGGTCAGGTCCCAGACAAACGAAGACTTACGAGAACGGAGAAAATGCCCAAGGGCCAAGATAGCAAACCCAGCGCATCAAGCGGCTGCCGGACCTATGTCCTGCTGGATGTCGGACGGAAATAGAGTTCCAGACACCACAACCAAATGATCGGAGCCCATCATATAGGCTGGCAACCATTATTATCGGAGTAGTATGAGAATAAAGAGGAACAGGGCAGTTAGCGTAGGTAGAGCGGCGCGAATTGATCTCCACCGGATTTACCCACGTCGGCCCGAGCGAAGGTCTTGGGTGCTTTGGTCTCCACGAGCTTTGATATTTGAATACGTTTTGGCTGAAGAAGCGGCTTTTGCTCAACAACATACTACGCAGAATGGTCAAATGGAACAAGCAAGCTTGATAGCCTTTGTGAGTACGTTGCGAAGGGGTTAAACAGACTCGGACGATCGCGAATATTCTCGTAGAAAGTGCCTGTGAGCTGGCCAGACTCGCTCTAGGAACGAAAGTGCTGCATTGCCGGAGAAGAAAGGAAGTGAGAAACACGCGAGGAAATCTTCGAGCTGCCCTTGAGTCCTGAAGGAAAATAATGTGGATAAAAGGCATGATCTGCGCTTGACATATTACGCAGTGCTGTCATCGCAGGCGCGAGGCGATCGCTCTACCATTTCTCGGGGTGCTAATATATGTGTATAACTCATCCATGCCGAGTCGGATGTAACGTACTTCGAAAATCCAGAAAGTGATTTTGTTCACAGGACAGGAATCACGCGCAACGCCATTGCAGTGTGAGAAGCTGCAGTAGAGAGGTGCTTATGAACGCGAGAAATTTCACGTTTAATAGAAGTTGGCTCTGAGGAAATGGTGCGAGAGACCGTACCAGTGGGAAAGCACGAACAAAACAGTGACGCTATGGGCCAGATCTAGCCCAACGGACTTCTGCGGGACGTCTTGCAGTCGTCTAGGAAATAAGACCAAAGCTGCAGATATCTTCTATGCATGCGAGTGTGACGATGGGTGTAGTTACTGTAGTAGGTGCGATCGATATCTGGATGATACTAGATAGAGACCGAGGCTTGAGCTGGGGAGCAGATCTGCCTCGGACTTAATCTAATATTATGTCCGCTTACATGAACAGAGTCCTGTGCGAAATTATTGAGCCACGATATCCAAAAGTAGCATATTTATGCATACAAGGCCGAGATCGAAAGCAGCATTGAGTTAGTGAACATATGTCCCCTCAGTCACGCCAACAGATAAATTAAAGACGTATGTATGACATGGTAGCCAAATACGTTACTCGTCTTTGTCGAATTATTCATAGTAGGCCCTCAACGATACCGTCGTTAGTTTCGTTACAGCAAAACATTGCTCGTGAAGTGAAGTCCATCACGATTTTAAAAGTATATCGGGTTCATTGTCTTTCAAGGGATGGATAAGCTGCACTGCTGTGGGCCGAGATTCTTCGATTCGACAGAAATCCCTGCCCAGAACAAACTCTTATGCTATGATTCAATCATGTCCAGTTACTTGCGTTAATCTTGTTTATTTCATGGACCTGAATAATCAATGGCCCATCCGTAAAACTCGGCGTCTGAATTAGGGTGTGAGTGCACTTACTGGCGCTTAGATTTTCCAAAGCAGGCACTCTCGTCGAAGCAACGGTATCCTGTTATCATGAGATTGATCCGTTCGAGGACTACCATGAACTGCCACTCATGATAGCAGGGTCAAAGCGAGTAATTCTCGTGCGTGAGATCGAGATGAAACCATCTAGTCGCGTCTGACTGATGGTCTTCCCTTTCGACCCCATCAAGATACCTGTGACGAGACAAGAAGATCGCGTTATTTCCAAGTTCGGACCGGATGTTTGCGTATTGTTTGCTCCTCACGCGTCGTTTGACCAGCGCTCGTCCTACTCGCAGCTCAGGCTCCTCGTCCATCCTCTCCGTTGTTCACAGCCCGCCCTGCCAGCGCGCCATGCAGAATAATAATCCCCGACCACCGAATCAACCGACGTCCGTTAAGATATATAATGCGGTGTATTCATCGGTCCAGGTGAGTTTCTCCAAACGCGTGTGCATCACATCAGACACGGTCGCGTCTCCACGCTGACATGCTCATTCCCCTCACCAGGTCTATGAGTGCATGGTGCGCGGTATTGCCGTAATGCGTCGTCGTGCAGACTCCTATGTGAATGCAACTCAAATACTCAAAGTCGCTGGAGTAGACAAAGGCCGTCGCACGAAAATCTTAGAAAAGGAGGTCCTGCCGGGCAAGCATGAGATTGTGCAGGGAGGTTACGGAAAATATCAAGGAACTTGGTTAGTATTCCTTCTGTTTTTCCTTCGTCTGGAGACAATACGGCAACACGAAGTTGCCGTACAAATGACCTCTCGATCCGATTGTAATCTCGGGGGAACATATGACCCAATCAATTGTCTCTTAGATCTGAGGTCATAGGCTATCGATTTTAAAGATGCTTCGAAACATTTCTCTTTTTACCACCATACACTGCATCCGTGTCGTCGTAAATGCTGACGTATACGCAGGATTCCTCTTGAGCGCGGTCGAGAGCTCGCGTTGCAGTACGGAATCGCGCCGCTCTTATCGCCGCTCTTTGATTTCACGCCAACCCAGCAGGGCATGGGAGGCCTTCCAACATCATTACCTGGTCTCCCTGGACTAACCGGTGGACGTCCGTTATCCGCTTCTTCCTCGTATCCAAATCTCAGTACGTCCAACTCGCATGCCTTCTCAAAATCTCCTAGTCAAATTGGTCCAGCTCCCATTATGCCGGGTTCCGCCTTACGGCTTCTGAACCAAGGTCGTGCCCAGGGCTTGTTCACTCCCTCCACCTCATCCTTACTGGCTCGGTCAGGTCTTACGGGTAACTCGAATAACAGCTATTTACCAGGTCTCATACCGGGGTATCCGCCCTCTCAACCTATGTCGGCCAACAATACGCCAAAACCTGATACATCACTGAAGCGAACTCGGACCGACAGCGATATTGATATTTATGCGTCCGGGGACGCACAGGCTAGGGACAAAGCAACATCCTCTGACTCGCAGATACAAGTGCTCGATTTTACCTTGGAAGACATACCTCGACCTTCGACTTCTGCGCCTCCCGACGTAAGAACCAATGGAAACGACGATCCATCTCCCTCAAAACGAGCTCGAACAGATCCGCCGCCGCCAAGTACACAACTGGAACTCAATTCGCAAATACAGGCCGCAATTCAGTCTATGAGCCAGTCGAGAGCCTTTTCATCGACCCCTCAGCCACATACGAATGGCCTTTTGCGCGCCGATAGTAGTCCCTCGGTTATGTCTGTATCTCGGGCAATCAATGGAGCCACCGCAAGCAACACCATTCGTCTCTCTACAAGGCCCCCTTATCCCCGAAATGTAGACAAGACAGAACCATTGAAAAACCCAAGGCGGAGCGCAATCATGACCGCAATCTGCCAAGGAGATAATTCGAGTAATGTATTGGATCTGATTAAAGACGCTTCAGCTGGTCCGCAAGAACAAGTGGTTGGGCAAGCAATCGATGTAGATTTAATCATTGACGATTTAGGCCATACCCCACTTCACCTTGCTGCTTCTCTCGCTCATCTTGAAACAGTTCGATCTTTAGTAACGAATGGAGCGGACATTCATCGCGGTAACTACCAAGGCGAAACTCCTCTTATGCGGGCTGTTTTATCAACCCATAATTACGACACTCAAACTTTCCCTAGCCTCCTCGAAATTCTGCATCCTTCAATACGGACTATTGATACCGCAAAGCGCACTGTCCTTCATCATGCCGTCTTGACAGCAGGAGTTAAAGGACGGGCTCCACTTGCACGATATTACCTTGAAGGAACTCTGAGTTGGATCGCAGAGCATGAGAATGCGGACTTCCGAAGTGTCGTTGATCTTCAAGACGAACATGGCGATACGGCATTGAATATTGCTGCTCGTGTAGGTAACAAAGGACTTGTGCGAACTCTCTTGGATGTTGGTGCAAATCGATTATTGCCTAACAAACTTGGTTTGCGACCCGGTGATTTCGGTGTGGAACCCGAAGTGAGTAAATCTTGAAATACATGTGACATGTACTAAACAACTATGCAGCTGTCATCCGGTCCCAAAGCCGAGGATTTAATATCCGCTTTACGAACAAGCCCTTCAGCGCCTGTGCAGAAAAGCCAAGATGTCATTGCTGGTGAGTCCTTTGCATTTCTTCTGACCTACCGAGCTGTACTAATTGTATTAATTGTCCAGATCTTACGGCTATGATCCAAAGCCTGAGTACAGAGTTCTCGGCCGAGATCAAATCAAAACAAGATGCTTTCGACGTTACAAATGCTCATGTTCGCGCCGCCACTCGAGAACTCGCTGAACAACGAAAACAAATTGATTTCTGGAACCAAAGACGAGCCGAACTCGATCAGGTGATGCAGCGTGTACGAAATATAGAAAAGGCTTTGAAAGTCGAAGATAACGTGGATTGGACTGGGCGAACGGAGGCTGATGGATCGCCGACTGTCCCTGGAACACATCCTGCATTTGTCTTTAGAGGACCTCAGTCGATCATGACGCACATCGGTGCCGTCGACTTACCGCCTGGTGCAGAAGTGGACCCGCTTTTACCTGCGTCGGATTCTCTAACAAGCCTTATCAAATTACGGCGGATGAAGATGTACCAGGATCGGATAGGTAAACTCATGAAGGATCGGTTACAGAGTATGCAGGGTGCTAGTGCTGAGAAGGAATACCAGAGCAAGAGGATAGTTGCCTTATGTACAGGGATTCCAATCGACAAAGTTGAAGATGTAAGCACGACATTTTCTTCCATCGACCTCTGACATGTTGCTGAATATATTCTTGCAGATGCTTGACGACTTGCTTCTTGCGGTTGAGAGTGAATCACAAATAATTGATATTGGACGCGTTTCTGGCTTCATGCAGAAGGTGAATGAGACACGATAGTCGACTTCCCCTGATTGTTGTGCAGTTTTGACGGATATGCCTCTGTATTCATTAACCTCTCTGCTTTGCTCTTCCCTTGCTTTCCCATATCTGGCGTCCTATTTCATTCAGTGTCGACCATTAGTGCACTCAAGAACTCTCTGTATTACCAGTCATTTGTGCTTTTTATAACTGTTATGCACTGCCTTCAGGCGCGTACAATTGGAAGTTACGGTTATATGTGCCAGAGACGAGGTATTTGCCGTCGTTTGAAAGGTCGACGGACATGACTTTTCCGGCATCCGTGGTTAGTGTGCGTAATAGCTGCCAGTCGTCTGCGCTCCAGAGTTTTACGAGTCCATCGTACCCAGCAGTGGCGAAGTACAATCCACATCGGTATCGTTCTTCGTGCTCCTTCGATACGCCTGACTTGTCCGCGGAAACATCTGCATCGTCAATATCGTCGCCTTCATCTTTCATCTTGACATCTTGCACCCGGTCGACTGGGAGGTTGTTACCCCGGAAGAAACGGATATCAGAGACGTTTGATCGGTGTGCGGGGATGGTGTAGAGTGGTCTGAGTGAACGCATATCCCAGATTCGGACTGTGTCGTCGCCTGCTCCTGTAGCTATCTGATAGCCGTTTGGTGAGAATGCGATGGAGTAGATTCCTTGTACGTGTCCGTCAAGAACCATTGCTGTTCGACCTGTTCTGAGGTCCCATACTCTTCCAATTGCATCAAGTCCTCTATTGAGTAGACGAACGTTATCAGTGAAACTATTAGGGATACGAAGAGAAGATACGCTAACCCTGAAGCGATTAATGCACCGTCGTCTTGAAATTCAACTGAGTAAACTTCCTTGGAGTGTCCTTCCTGAAGTAGTAGTTCGATTTGCGTTGATACGTCCCATAATCTCCACGACGTATCGAAACTTGCACTTGCGACATAGTTTCCTGAAGGGTGGAAGGCTGTACGACAGACTCGACCTTCGTGTCCTTTTAGTATTGCTAAAGGTGCATCACTAGCGAGATTAAGGATTTATAATTGCTGCGACAGTGGAGTAAGATTTCACATACCTCGAAAGTGACCATAAATGTATGTTAAAGTCACCTGCACCAGTAACGAGGTTCACCGCATCAGCACTCTGCGAGAGGGTCGCTTGGGGATGCCAGGCCAATCCTCCAACTCTGTCTCCGTGGCCTAAGAGCATTTATTAGCCGGAATTCACAGTAAGTAGTGCTGCCTATACATGCCTCGTAATGTGCGAATAGTAGTACATTGCGGAATATTCCAGAGTTTTACACCTCCTGACCAACTACCAGTTGCAAGTATCTGGCTATCGGGAGAGAAGCGAACCATAGAAATCGGACGCTCATCACCAATTTGTGAGCCCATATTTGCAAACGTCTGGTAAAATTTGAACTCGACTGAGCAGCATATTGAAAGCAGCTACTCACTTTAATCTCGCCGAAGACTGTTTTGCGAATATCAATAAGCTGTCTCAAAGGCATCCTACTTTCAATGCGCTGCTGGGCGACTCGCTTTTGAGCTCTGCAACATGAACACAGAAATCAAAGAAACGTAAGCACCTCGTCCACTCAAGCCTATTGTAAGCGAAATTATGACCTAGGTATTGAGAACTCTGCTATTCGCCGTCGTGCTTCTAAAAGCTCAAATGATCCTGGGGTGTAGAACTCCTCGACCTGACATATGTTCTGTCACTCAATATCCGCATAACAACATTAATACTACGCACTGTCTCTTCTTCGTCTGATTCAGACTCGCTTTCAAGGTCTGGCAAGTCACCCCCACGGGCAACGCTTATTTGAGAAAGGACATATTTAAGTCGGTCTCGACGGTCGGCTGGCTATGCACGATAAGGAAACGTGTACACTTTCAAGATGCAATTAGAAGAGACATACTCGCTCGCCGAAGAGGGTTATTGGCTCTCCTATTTCTCGTAAACGCGCTCTAACACGCGCATCGTCCGTCGGGACGGCCATGCTCCTGGCCTTCTTTTTTCGTTCCAGTTCTTCAAGCAAGACCTGGTTTTCCATTCGAGCGCGGTCCCCATAGCCGCCCTCGTCGATAAGCGTTTCAAGTGTAAGGTCAGCCATGGTGCTACGCAGAGCTAGATACCAATTTCTTGAGGTAGAGCACGAAATTCAGCAGATGGCTGTATGAAAGATAGGCGCGTGATCCATATTTGGACGCGTTGAAACTGGCTCTCAAGTTCTGTGCGTGACACGTCAACTTCTCTCACAAACTCCCAACAACCCCGCCCAAAGGACCTTTTCCCCTCCTCGATGGAGACGCCCGTGGGCACTCGTCGGCGCAACGTCGCGTCGGGCGCGCACACCAATAGTTCCCGTTCCTCTCAAACCGACCCGGATGACCACTACGTCACAACTTACAGTCCAGTACGTTCGTTCCGAATTTGTCGGTTTCGCCAAGCTAACGTCTTTTCAAACAGCGTGGCAGCTTCCAACAGGCCACAGAATCAAAGAGAACAAATCTCCTGGTCAGCGGTGCACTGACATTAATCGCTTTCGCCACACGTTTCTACAAAATCAATAATCCAGATCAAGTTGTGTGAGTTGACACATTACTTAACCTGCTCATCTATTTGCTTACAGTCCGTTAGTTTCGATGAGGTCCATTTCGGCAAGTTCGCTGCTTACTACATTCGTGGCGAATACTACTTCGATGTGCACCCGCCATTTGCGAAGATGTTGCTAGGTGCCGCCGGATGGTTTGCTGGTTTTGACGGAAACTTCAACTTCGAAAATATTGGTGATAGCTACACGGAAAACTTCGTTCCTTACATTGGTCTGCGTGCTCTCCCTGCGACGCTGGGCGCTCTCACCGTTCCCCTTGTCTATGCAATCATGAAAGAGAGCGGATACTCTACCATCATCTCAGCTTTCTCTGCTATCCTTGTTTTGCTTGGTGCGTAGTATTATCTTTGCCTAGCTCATGCACTTACTCGTGACATGCTTGTTGCAGACAATGCGCATATTGCACAAGATCGTCTTATTCTCCTAGATGCTCAATTGATTTTCTTCTCCGTGCTGTCAATCTATACTTACATTCGTTTCCGGAAACTGCGTTATCAGTGAGTCGTTATTTCTGATGCATTGGGGTCGTATTGACCTTTTCATTCAGTGAATTTTCCGCAGAATGGTGGACATGGTTGGTAGCGACTGGTGTCAGCCTTGCATGTTGCTTGGGAAGCAAGATCAACGGTATTTTGATTTTCTTTACGATTGGCGCGGCGGTCCTTGTCGATCTTTGGGACCTTCTTGACATTAAGAAAGGTTACACCATGGTATGCGCTTTTCCTTCTAGCCAAGATAACTTTCATCACCTGCCTTAGGAACATTTCGCTCGCCACTTCATCGCACGAGCCATTGGTCTAATAGTCGTTCCCATCATCGTATATCTATCCTTCTTCTGGGCGCATTTCGCATTTCTACCCAAGTCTGGTCCCGGTGACACCTTCATGAGTCCCTCTTTCCAAGAGACCCTTATTGGCAACGAAATGTTATTGAATGCTCAAGGTGAGTACAGAGCTGAATATTCATTTCCAGCTGACCAAAGAATCATCTAGACATTCGCTACTACGACGTAGTCACAATGAAGCACAAAGATACGAAAGTATTCTTGCACTCGCACAAGGAGAGATATCCTCTCAAATATGATGATGGTCGCATCAGCTCGCAAGGTGGGTGCCGAAGTAAGCAGAGGATAAAGTCGGTTAGCTTATAGAAACCTCAGGTCAGCAGGTTACTGGTTATGCGCACAATGACACAAACAACCACTGGCAAATCATCCCAACGAAGGCGTTACCTGCAAGTGGACCTGGACGTAATGTACAGAATGGCGACGTTTTCCAACTTCTCCACGTCAATACGAACTCCCTACTTCTTACCCACGACGTTGCTTCTCCTCACATGCCCACAAATCAGGAGTTCACGACTTGGCCGGTCGACGACAATACCAGATACAATGATACGCTGTTTCAGCTGAGCATCATCGACGCAGGAGATGACGCGACGTGGAAGACCAAGTCAGGTTACTTTAGGCTAATCCACGTTCCGACACGCGTCTCAATGTGGACGCATAAGAAGCCTCTGCCGGACTGGGCGTTCAAGCAGCAGGAAATTAACGGCAACAAGAACGCCGTTGAGAAGACCGCGACGTGGTATGTAGACTCCTTAGTGGACGCCGAGGACGAAGAGGACTTTAAGGCCCGAACTGTCAAAGTCGAGGCTAAGCCACCGAAGAAACGGAATTTTTTCAAGAAATACGTTGAATTGCAACTCCTCATGCTTCAACACAATGCTGGCCTTACTGCGTCTCATCCCTATGCCAGCAACCCGATCAACTGGCCATTCCTTATCAGTGGAATTAGCTTCTGGACGGATAACAAGGACCAACGTCAAATCTATTTGATCGGAAATATCATCTCCTGGTGGATATGCACAATCTCGCTGTCGATATTCGTTGGTATTCTTGGCGCTGACTTATTAGCGAGGAGGAGGGGTATTGAGCCCATCCCAGAACGTAAGTCGATTTGATCTTTATATCCTGCTTATTCCCACTAATCTTCATTCACAGCCGTTCGTAACCGTCTCTGGAACAATGTCGGCCTGTTCTTCCTTGGCTGGATAACCCATTACTTCCCCTTCTTCCTGATGAATCGTCAATTATTCATTCATCACTACCTCCCGGCGCATGTCTTCTCGGCTCTCATTGCTGGTGCCGTTCTCAACTTCGTGATGTCTGAGTCGATCAACTATCCGGTCTCAGCGCCCGGACGTAAAACGCGTATGAGGCCGACTCAGTATTCTGACATTGGGCCGAAGGCACTTGTCGTCGTTGCTGCCGTCACCGTTGCAATGTCGTTAATGTTGGTTTTCCTCGCCCCTCTCACGTACGGTACACCAGGGTAAGTCCAATTATTGTCGTATCCTCCACATTGCCATACTCAATCGGATACACTTTTAAGACTTACGGGCGAGCAAGTCAACGCTAGAAGACTTCTCAGCACTTGGACGTTGCACTTTGCAGCGAAAAAGACAGATTTCAGCGTCTAGAAGAGGTTGGAGAACTAGTCGATACATGGCTTTATTATTTGCGATTAACGTAGCGATACCTCGAGCTTTAGTAACTTTATTGAATTCACCATTAAAGTGGATTCTCTCCAAAATACAGCATTTCTGCGACCTCATGCTTTAACCGTATTCGAGAGCCTGAGAAATGAGTGGCCGTATTTGGTATATGATTACATACGTAATGTGATGACAAGGGTTTGTCAATAAGTGTCTGTTGGTGTCACTGTCAGCTCGCTTCACTCTTCCCTTGCCTTGCCACTGTGCCCTATTGAACCGCCTATAGTCCAACATGTCAAGTCAGTCTGAAGAAGCTCTTAAGGAAGAGATTGCACGTTTATCAGGTAGTTCTTTTACACAATTCGGCGACCAAGTACTGCTAACAGTCGTCCAATATCAGGAGCAATCCAACGTCATAAGACAGGCAATCCCAGCGCTTCCTCGAGTCGAGGCAATGCCTATGTGAACCCGAATTACAAGCCACCATCAAGATCTGCATTCACATTCCGCCCAAATTTTGCAAGCCAAAATTCCACAGCTCCTGCAACACAAGTTCCTGTCCAACCACGGGAAGTGCTTATTAATGGAGTAGCATTTCAATCCTCAAATCGTAGCCTCGTCAGAAAAGATCGTGCGTAGCTGACAATTTGCATTGCACAGAGCGCTGGAGTCCCCTGTATCTCCTTAATAACATTCGTGGAATTTTTATAGTTGTCAAGCCACCTTCAGCTCCTAAACCACCCTCCAGACAGGGACGGCCACCTCGTCAAGCTTATGCAAGGAAGTACCCCGGAAGTCGCGCTCCGCAGCGCCCGTATAAGTCAAAAGCTTCACGCCGATTCCCGCAGAACAACAACATGACATTGGAGAATGGAAGGAAGCCTGTTCGGTCTGTCATTTGCTATTTTTATCTAGCCTACGGAATTTGATGGTTTTATAGAGTGGGACGAAAGACCAAGTCCATGAAGTATATCGACAAACAGTGTCCTCGGTTTTCTACTACTGGTGCGTGCTATTAGTTCATATAGTCATTGACGTCTTGTCGTTGTCTCTTCCCGAGCTAGTTAATCTAACTAATTCTAGGCGTATGTACGAAGGGCCGGACGTGTTCATACAAACACGATCCGTCCAAGATCGCTGTCTGTTGGCCTTTCTTGTCTGGAAGCTGTCCCAACACCACCGAATCCTGCCCACTGTCTCATGACCCAATTCCAGAACGGACACCACTCTGCGTCCATTTTGCAAATAATGGACGATGCAAGAATGGCGCTGACTGCCTCTTCCCCCATGTACGCGTTGGTCCTCGATCAGGCGTTTGCCGCGATTTCGCGGTACTCGGTTATTGTGACAAGGGTATCGACTGTGAACATCAACATGTTAGGGAATGTCCTGACTTTGCGGAGAAGGGCGAATGTCCTAATCCGCGCTGCAAGCTGCCACATGTTATTCGAGCGAATAGGCGAAGGGCGGATGCTGCAGTAACTGTAGCTCCTTCCGTCCCAGTAGAAAAGGTTTCCGAGCAATCGGAAACTGTTTATGGGGATAATGCTAACATTGGAGATGAGTACATTTCCTTAACTTTTCATGAAAGTGAAGAGAGCGAAGGGAACCATGATGATGATGATGACTCGGAGGAAGGTGAATCAGGCGAAGACGAAGATGCCGATGCCGATGCCGACGGCGATGAGGATGAAGAGAATGAGAATGATGCTGGCGATGAAGAGGACGTCGTGCAGGTGCACGTCTGACCTGTTATTTCCAGATTCGACTCCATTGTGTGAATACGACGTATATCTGACTGTGTATATAAATTATGGTCATGTCAATAAATCATCATTCCATTGATGCAATTTTCAATTTTTTGCTATATCCAGTGTGACCACAGCATATGGCGAGACGTATCCAAAATTCTCGCAAAATATATACATACATCACTGGTCTCCACAGATTCTTTCCTTCTACTTACCCAAGCATGATAATCCTTTTATATACTTTCCAAGATTGTCTTGACTCCCCAAGCACCCGGATCAGCTACTTTCTCTTTCTTCAAGAATTCGCTTCCGACATACGCACTCCGACCAGCCTTCGCCTCAAGGTCCTTCGTCGCTTCCGCAGCATCAGCAGCTTCCTTCACCGCCTTTGAAAAGTCATTAGAAGTCGAGAACGTCTGGACGAACGCCGCGAGTGGGTCAACGAGGGTACGCGAAGGCGGACGAGCGCGTGTGTAAGAGTAAAGGCGATTCAATGCGTAGTCGAGTGCTGAGGACCAGACGTTTGGTGTAACGCTAGAGACTTGAGATGTTGTAGCTGCTGCTGAGACGAGCCCCTGTGCGAGGGATGAGAAGAAGATGGAATATAGAGCGCCTGACGTCCCGCCCATTTGCTCTTCGGCTTGTTTTGCAATTGTGAGGATGGCGCCGATGGTGTCTGACCCAGTGATGGTTCCGTTATCGATTTCCTTGAGCACTCCTGTTCAACCGGAGAGGAGTAGGGCAGGGAAGGGTTATTTAGACATTTGATCCGAACTCGAAGCTAAGATTTAGAAGTATTGGATATTACTGACCTTCTGCACCCGCTTTGAGTGTCAATCCACAATCCCCATCTCCGGCAATGTTATCCATTTGAGTGATTTCCGGCTCTGCGGCTATAAGCGCCTTGCAAGCCTTGGAAATCGCGTTGACAAAGCCTTGCGAGTCTGCAGCACTGATCCTAGGGTAGCTTTTTGTTGCTTCACTTTGCTGGACAGGAGAAGGAGGTTGCTGTGATGACCACCTCCATCCTGGTACATCAGGTCTTTCGTCTAGGAGGGAAAGTATATCTGCCTTTGGTGGAGCGTTGGAGTCCGAGGCTGTAGGCAATAGAAGAAGTGTTAGCGAGAAGCCCGGCATGTTCAGGCTTGTCTAGAAGTCCGTTAGATAGCCCATTTTAACCAAACCAAGAAGAAAATCCTTACCATGAAGCTTCCAACCAATACCCGTTCAATCTTCGCCCTTCCGCCCAGGACTTGCACCGCTTCATTCGCAATACCAGACATCTCAAGCTCACTCAGTCCGCCTAGGTTGTTAACCATGAGTACGACTTCATCCGATCCGTCATTCCTGAATGGTAAGAATGAACGTTCGTTGTCCGAGGTCGACATGATGAGATCGAGTAACTGGACAATTAGTTTGTTCAAAGGCGGGACAGGGGATAGTCGAGTATGCCCAGGCTCGTTGTGGATGCCCATACCGATTTCGACTTCTGTTGCCGATAGATGTGACTTTGCGGCTTCTGTTCCTGGGACCTGGTAAGAATTTGAGATTATGGTCCACGTAAGTACCTACAAAATTGGATGGCAAAAGAGGACGACAGACATGACAGTGCTCGAGCCCAACGCCGACAGTACCTAACCTTGGAGCAAGCCAAGTCGCCATCTTATAGACCTCTTCGATACTCGCGCCACGGTGAGCAAGTGCACCAGCAATCTTGTAGACAATGACAGTCCCGGCGAGACCTCTGCACCCAAGCCCATGAGAATCTGCAAATAACTGACGTTACTAAATATAACGCACCTACGTCCTACGATTTTCCCCTGCGATCTCCCAACAGCAACATCATCTCCTACATTAACGAACTTAACATTATCGATCTTCTCTGGATGCGAAGCCGCATAATTCTCCTTCGCCAACCCGAAGTTCAGAACGTCACCCGTATAATTCCTTCACAGCACACAGCAAAATAGGGTGGTTATATGCGCTATGTTTCAGCTTCGATGAACTTGTATGAAATATGCGATTACGCGTACTTGACAATGATGAGGGTGCTGGTATGGTATGGTATGGTAATAGGAAGTTAGTGTTGGAGCTTAGAGTTGCTGAGACGTAATTAAATGCGCACCCTCGTTTATTGTCGACTAGCTCGATAGCCCGGCGGACTTGGTTTGCATTTGGGGATGCGAAGATGTTCCCGCAGACGGCGGCTTGTGTCCAAGGCTCGTGAATGCATTCACGAGTTCTTCCTAGCTCAGATATACTTACCTGTTAACATACCCTCGCCTGGCGGTGTACATGCATCAGATTCACGAGAAATATTAGCATATGTTAGTCGAACACGCACCCACGAAACCAGCATGTGAAGGTTCATGTCCCGAGCCTCCTCCACAAATCAAAGCGACCTTGCTATCATCTCGTTCAGCCTGGTAGACGACTTAAACACGGATTGCCCTCAGTGTGAGAGTTCAAATCTAATTAATTGATGACCGCGAACCTTTGTTCGCCGTATCCAACCTTACTTTCGGATTCGTCGCACACAGACCCTTGAGCGAGTCAACAACGAGCGTCGCAGGGGAGTTAAGAAGGTGCTTGTCAGACCCATTCATTGTGGTCTCGGTACAAGAAAGGGTGAGATGGATTGGCAGCCAGGGTTGAGCAGATGACTGTGCTTAAATATATATAAATATATATATGGCTTTTCCTTTGACCTTCATGTCGTGGATTTTTCCCACGGTATGAAGTAGGGGGGCTTTCATCCCGCAATGTGTCGGTCAACACAGTCCCAGCAATGCCTAGTCATAGGCAGCACACCCACAGGCTGTACTGACTTTCGGTACTAGTCTACCCCTTTGACAGACGCCCGATCGACTTCGATCGTGGCCGATGTCTCTTAACGTCCGACATGCACCCTTCTTTTTTCTCTTCAAGGGTTTGCATATTCTTTTTGTTTCGGCCTTTCTCTAGGAAGGAGGATTGTCTTGTGTACAGTTAGGTGCTTATAGGCTAGAGCTTTGAGATGTACCCTCAGGTCAGGCTGGGAGTTGGTGGGTAAGAAAGCGGGACTCGATTCCGTACCAGACTGGCTGTACCCCTTTCCTGGGCTGGGTTCTCTTAGACTTGATGTGATACGAGTTACCTCTCTTGCACATTTCCCTCTATACCCCTGTTTCTCTTTGTTTATTTTACTAGCTGTGCTCTCGGCGGTAATTGCGGTTTGTAGTAGCTGTAGGTGCGCATTACCAATATGACATATATGAATGGTTTACTTTACCCGCGTCGCGAATCGGGTAACTGTTTCCGATTTCGTCACTCTACTCTAGCATAGATCCTCGGGCCGTAATACAGAACGTCTATTTCCTAGTTGCACTCAGTGAACCTCCGTAATACTCCAGTTATTTCACTATCCACATCCACCAAGCTCGCCTCCTTGCGACCGATCTCCATGTACACCTCTCCTCGTATACCTGGCCCAGGCATGCGTTTTGCCAAATGCCAATCCTGTGGGCTTTGTCCCCTAGAATAAATTTCGTGTAAATCTGAATCTCTGGAGTGTGTAGTGAATAAGGGATATTTCATCGGAAGTAAACTTTAACGAACAGTAACAGTAGCTTCCTTCCTTCATGAAGATGCCATGACGTCGTAGTGAACGACGAACTCGTAGAAGTCAACTGATCGCTCGTTGCTATGACGTGCTGCGATTTTTGAAGCACACTCTGAACAGGCGATGATGAAAACGCGCTGGTACTAGAAATAGGTCAAGTTCTAGACACTACAAAGAAAAGACATTTCACTGTCACATACATCTTCTCCTGTTCGACTTCGACGATCTCCTTCAAGCGGTCCATGAGTTCTGCACACCTCTCAGACAAGTCTTGGCAGGTCACTTCGTCCAAAGTATCGTCTACCTTCTCCGGTGAAGGAACCAATGCTAACAGTATGTTGCCCCTCTGATTTTAAGGGTCAGATTGAGGTGTAACGATAGCGTTCTATTACTCACACAAAGGTATCTAACAAGTCTACGATGGGTATCCAAAGGATTTGAAACTGATAGATGAAGGTAGATCTCAGAGAAAACCTGAGGAGCGGCCTGATCCACGTCCGGCATTGAGTCATTTACAGCAGGCATCGCTTCTAGAGGCTCGTCATCTCGAGCGGGGATACTTGAAGTATGGTTGATAGAAGGTTCAAGGCCTGTGGAGTCCACATTCTGTGCAGTTGCATTCTTCACGTCCTCTGGAGGTGACTCAGCTGCTACCGAACTGCTTCCTTCAGGAGCTTCAGCAACCTGAGAGGTCGCCTCTGAAGATAAAGCATCTTCCAACGCCTGAGCATCAACGGGTGTCTCTGGCTGAGCTTGCAATGTGTCTGACATATCCAAGCTTTGGTCCTGACCACCCGACTGTCCATGGGTCTTCCCATCCTCAGTTTCGGCAGGAGTATTCTGAGACTTTGACCCAGAAGGTGATCCTTTAATGCCAAATGTCAAATAGCCTGGCCAGTTCCATTTCCGAACATCCATGTTCACGTTCATGTTAATCCCAGGCACACCCAGAAAAGCTTTACTGGGAGTCCGCGAATGGGTACGATTATTCACTTCAGGCTCTGTCGACAATTCCGGAGCCTGTGATGAGGAATCATCATTCGTGTCCTTACCTGGAGTCGTGGTCTGTTGACGAAGGGCGGAACGGTTTTCTAAGATCCGTAATAGATATCGAATCAATGCAGGGGGACATCGCAGTGGTGTTGACTTTGAAGTAACGATGCATGAGGAGATGAGTACGAGAGGAAAATAGTGTGGTGGTAATTTGTCCTCTAGAATATCCACTAGAGATGTTACTTGGTTGCTAAGTGGATGAATTCGGATACCTGCGATGAGTATGATTATTATAAACACGAGCCGAGAAAGAGATACCGCAGTGAGACGAGCTAACCAAGATAGTCCGGGAAAGAAATCGGTTTGCTGAGGTCCCAACTCCAGGCCCAAACTGTAAAGAAACGTTCCAATTGAATTTCTAGACCTTCTCTTCCTAAGTCGTTGAGGATCGACGTGAAGGTGCCGTGGGTAACCTTGCGACGATTAGGGTCAAAACTGACAGTGGAAATGCACAAAGATGCATATATGCTACCTTAAATGCTTCATATCCCAAAAGAAGCTGAGCATGCAGTGCAGCGTCATGAAGAGAAGCCTCGTTGTGGTCGTAGGACGGCTCCTTCTGCTTGCCCTTGCCCTTCTCGTCCTTTCGAGATATACGAGGGACCCTTTCGAGTTCAAACGACTGAATTTCCAGTTGGAAACAACATACAAGGGCAATAAAGTATCATACTAACGGCATTTATCCAGAAGTTGGGCTCGGGAGAGAGCATGACCATCTTCCTAGTCTGCGAGTGCACCGAATCACAGACAACCTGTGGCCCAAATATTCTGATGCATGTGCATTGTTATACGATGCGCAGGGAAAAGAAGAGCGCTGCTTACGTAGTGAAGTTTGCCAGTGCTTTGGCCAGGCCTACTTGACGCAAGACTTTGTCTTTAGACACGGCATGATTGTCGGCGGTGTAGAAGAGGACATGAGCGCGTTCCTCCGCGTCTTCGTCGTCTTGGTCTGGGTGGGAATCTTCAGGCGGTCTGAGAGACGGGTTGTAGATGACGAGATAAAGCAATCTAGGCGGGACTTTGTCCATGAAAGACACTGCAAGAGAGCAGTGTGGGTATGAAAGCAATGATGTGCAGAGTCACTGTAGTACGTAGCACGGGTCAAGTGTGGCGCGTGGGCCGAAAGCGGCAGGGGCCCTTTCTTACGCGTCAAGTCAAAACACCTGCATGCCCTTCTTCCCCGCTTGCATCCATCTCCTCCACTCAATGGACTCTTTACCCTCTCCCGCTCTCTCTGCTGGTAACTCCCCAGTCGCTTCCCCATCGACACCCGTCAATCTGGGGAGGAAACGCGCTCGCTCGAGTGACTCACAGGCGTCCTCTTCAAAACGCGCCTTGTCTGAGGATCCCTGCCTTTCTTCGACGCCGGACCCGCCTCCTCAGAGCAGCGCCTCCACACCTGCAATGATGGACGATGAAAGTGACTCAATCGATACATATATGCGTGAACAGGGAGAGCAGGACCTCCAGCGCATCTCGCTAGAAACTGTATCTGCCGCTCAACAACCACATTCGCCGTCTCCTTCCGAGAAGTTACAGTTCATTGAAAGAGTAAAGAACAGACCTATGATTATGGGAGAGACATGGTATATTGTCTCGCGTGCGTGGTATCGCAGGTGGGAGAGGGCCTGCAGGGGAGAAGTGACAAAGCAAGGCGCAATATTAGAAAATCAGATTGGTCCTGTGGATAACTCCAAGTTTTTCGAGGACGGCAAGTTCGACGCTTCTCAATCCATGATGGAAGGGATCGACTTCGAATTCGTTCCCTCAGAGGCGTGGAATGCTTTTGTTCAATGGTGCGTTGAGGCCTCCGTTTATGATATGCCGTACTGATACTGTCCCAGGTATGGCGAAACGCCCGATGTAATAGCACGGCAAGTTGTAACGAGGGGTCAAAACAATGAACCTTGTATCGAACTACGCCCTTTATGTGTACCTGTCTCTCGCTTAGTCTCAGACACTACTTCATCTTCGCACAATCCGCCACGGGAATTAACAATCTCAAGTCTTGCCAAGTTGTCAGATCTTTACACAAAGCTTCTTGATATCCTCGACCTCCCTCGCCAGACTCAGTTCCGAACCTGGGCCGTTTTTAATTTGACACTCAATGAAGTTTTTGTTACACTGCCCAACTTCTTAAAGGGCAATGCACTTCTACTACCGAACGATGAGGATCATATTAGCCAGACTATAGAGGAAGCCATTGTCGAACAATGCGACGGCTTCGTTGTGGAGCTTCTTGAGGACGGGAGGTGGCTTGTAGACGAGGTGAAGGTTCGGCAGCCAGGCGCTGTCACTCCAAACCCAGCCGAGGACACCGCACCAAGTTTCTCTTCAGGCCCGGATTTCTTCTCCAAATTCGAATCTGGTTCCTCGAAAAAGGCAGGAGGGACTGCTCTCGGCCCATCTCCCCCAATTTCAACGTCTTCCTACGGGAAAGGAAGAGCCGACAGGAAAGGAATCGTTCCCGGTACTATTGGCTTTTCGAACATGGGAAACACGTGTTTTATGAATTCGGCGCTTCAATGTCTTGTTCATACGCAAGAATTGGTCGAATACTTCCTCAGTAAGCTACATATTAGTTCAGTACTAGACAATTGCTGACAGACTATTAGCTCGCGTATACCAGGGTGAACTGAATCCCGATAACCCATTAGGAATGCAGGGTGCCATAGCAGAAGCCTTCGGTGTAGTTATGGATCGCGTTTGGCTACCCCAGAGCACAGTTTATGCACCACGAGAATTTAAAATGCAGCTCCAGCGCTTCGCACCGCAATTCTCAGGATATCAACAACATGATTCACAGGAGCTGGTTGCTTTTCTTCTTGACGGTCTACATGAGGATCTTAATCGAGTGCTAAAGAAGCCTTATGTGGAGAAGCCCGACTGGAACGGTGGAGGCGACAAAGAGTTGGTTGCATTGGCAAAAGAAAGTTGGGAAGGCTACAAGAAGCGTAACGATAGCGTGATTGTCGACTTGTTCCAAGGTCAATACCGGAGCACGCTTGTGTGTCCCGAGTGTAAAAGGGTAAGATAATCAATTTCATGCATTGTCCATTCTCTAATGTACTCGTTATCTGTCCAGGTGTCAATTACGTTTGATCCGTTCATGTACCTTACGCTGCCTTTGCCGGTGCAAAAGAAATGGACCCATCCTATTCTATACATACCGTGGGACGTTAGCAAGCCACATGTGAAGGTACCAGTGGAACTCAACCGAAACGCGTCCTTCAGAGAAGTGCGCCAGTTATTAAGCCGTTGGATGAATGCCGAACCTGATAACGTCAGTCTCTCGCGATTTAAATATGAATACTTGCCGCTGACCGTTTTATAGCTCTTGACATTAGAAACTTTCAGCAATCGATTCTATAAGTACCTAGATGACACTGTTCCCGTTGGAGACATGTCAGATGCCGATCATATCGTCTGTTTCGAATTGCCGTGCCACGCCCAGCAATCAAGAAACTGGAGTCCAAGCGCTGATCCAACAGAGGATCCAGTAATATTACCAGTTCATCTCTGTAAAGAGATTCCTTCTACATACAGCAGCTTCCAGCGACCTTCCAGTGGCTTTGCACATCCATTCATCGTCGTGCTGGATAAAGAACAAAATCGCGATCGTAAAAAGATCTACTCTGCTATCATAGAGCGCTTAGAGCGTTGGACAAAACATGCAAGAGATTTGTACCAATGGGAAGAAGTCGCTGCGACGGAAGTCAAAATCCTGGAGACACACTCAGAATGCTCGATTTCTGAAGTCAAGGAGAATGGGGACGTTGTCAGAATGGATGAGACAGAAGAGGACATCAGCGATGAAAAGTCGCGCATGTTCGTAGACGAATCGATTGAAGTAGCCACTGTCGAAAAGTCCATTGACCGTCTGGGTCCAAAGCCCGATCTATTCGAGATCCATATCCAGTCTGGCCATGATAAGCTGGGTGCAGGGAACGCATGGAGCTCAGGCAAATGGGAACAGTGGGAAGCTCGGAAAAATGCTGGCAAGGGCGACGATAACCCTCCTCTTCTTCGTCGAGGTGATGCATTGTATTGCGAATGGGATGACAATTTCCGTTCGTATTTCTTCGGTGACGATCCTCATCACGAGCATGCGCTTTGGCAAGATCGCCATTGGGGAGAGTTCATTCATCCAGAATTCAAAGAAATGCAGGAAGCCTCTGCCGCTCGAAGCAAGAAGTGTATCACGCTGAACGATTGCTTGGACGAGTTTACGAGGGAAGAGGAGCTCGGTGAGGAGGATCTCTGGTATTGTTCGAAATGCAAAAAGCACCAACCGGCAACGAAGAAATTCGACTTGTGGACGATCCCAGACATTCTCGTTGTACACCTCAAGCGCTTCAGCAATAGTCGCATTCTGCGTGACAAAATCGATGCCTTTGTTGACTTCCCCGTTGAAGGACTCGACCTTGAGGCGTTCAGCGGGGAGCGAGAAGTGGCCAAGCGACTCGCTCAAGAGGGGCACGACGTCAAAGCGCTGGGGGTATCGGACGCGGAGGAACCTTTACTTTACGACCTTTATGCCGTTGACGAACACATGGGTGGACTTGGTGGAGGCCATTATCGAGCTTATGCAAAAAATCACGAAACAGATAAGTGGTATCATTTTGACGATACACATGTCTCGGTAGCAGACCCGGCTGATGCTGTGGTGAGTAAACTCGTTTGACCTTCGGGACTAAAATACTGAATTTCTTCGCTCCATCCTAGAACCGGAGTGCCTATTTATTGTTTTACAAAAGACGTACCAGCCGCGCTATCGGGGGTGTCTCATACGAAAAAGTTGAAGCGGCTCGTCAAAAACTGTTATCTGCCGAAGAAGATGTCAAGGAGGATGTTCAATTACCAACACCCCCAGACGAGGAAGAAGGGCCGCACCTGAAGAATACACTGACGGGACTTCTCTCCCGTTCGGCTAACTACGGACGCGGGAGCTGGAACGAACCATTAGATGGCTACGAAAATTCACCATTTTCTTCTAGGGATGAGAACTCAGCGGAGGTCGAAAGCGATCTGGAAAATGGATCAGGATCGCCTTTTGAATATCAGTCGGATCCCCTTGCGCAAGCTACTCGTTCGTATGACTTCCCGAATCCAGGAAGTGCGACATCCTCCCCTACTTCTTCAAATGCAGCAGATGCAGGCGATGAGGGGACGCCGGATATGGACTTTACGGACCTGGACGAAGAACTTGCACAGGAGCAAGAGCAGGAACGACGAGGGCAAAAGTCAAATGACTCTGAAATACCCGTGAGCGGGAGCTCGCTTCATGACATTGACTATTAGAGTCTGTAATTACTCGTTGTCGCATCCAAAAGACTTTTCTCTAGATGCATCAAGAAGCCTGTATTTATATAACCTTCTGCTCTTTTGCAGTGTATTACATAATATTAATCACGTATGATAAATATGCATGATGTGATCAAATTTGTGGGAAACTAGCTATACAGCACTACCGTTTTCGTACAGCACTCACGAGATCGACTTCAACTCAACATCTACGGGCGGGCAGGTAACGCGGATAGCGACAAAGACCCATTCACAAACAAAAATGGTGCGTTGCAACACTATATCCCGTGCATTATAGCTTTTTAACTCCTTTACAGACGAAACGTACTCGCAAGGTCGGTGTTACTGGAAAGTACGGCACGGTCAGTAATCGACTCCATAATTTCTTCAGCAAATTGAAGAGGATATACTGAACTTTGCTGGATGAACGACGTCCATATAGCGTTACGGTGCCTCTCTGCGAAAGCAGGTTAAAAAGATGGAGATCACGCAGCATGCACGATACACATGCACGTTCTGTGGCAAGGTGCGTCGTCTCTGTTTCGCATGTTTTCTCTCGTTGGAGTGTACGATTTATTGACGTGTTGGCCGGTTTACAGGACTCTGTGAAGCGTACTGCTGTAGGAATCTGGGAGTGCCGTGCGTGCAGGAAAGTCATTGCTGGTGGTGCTTGGACTGTATCGACGACTGCAGCTGCAACTGTCAGAAGGTGCGATCAATAACTATTTTCAGACGAGAAATGTTCGTATTAACGGTTGTTTTGTTCTTACAGTACGATCCGTCGTCTGCGCGAGATTACAGAAGCTTAGAAGGTTATGGGTTACCTCTCCTTTATGTCCTGCAAGCTTTGTCACTTCCATAATTGTACAACTTATGTTGCTCTATGCCACGCCGCATGCACACCAAAATCAGATACGCAAGCTTCTTCTGAGTCGGACGTGACTGAAGTCTGCCACTATCAAGTCCAAGGGTTGCCACACGCAAGTTCAAGTAACTGAGATGTATACGTACTTCTTGGGTTTCACAGTGGTGATTTTATTGATTTTTTGCCTATGCACCCTGATCGTCTTGTATATGTCCATATATTAAAAAACGTTACAATATGCAAGTGCAGTCCTATCAACAAGCTATATATTCCTCCAATCTGGCGGTTTACTCCAAAGATCCAACTCAATCCCATGTCTGCTACAAGCCTCCTGCGCATCTGGACAAGGATGACTAACTGGCTCTCCATCCTCCTCAACAGGTGCTCGATAAAACGGTACCTCATAATTATAAACGACAATCCTTTTGAGGTTGTTCATCCGTTCGGTTCGTACGAGTTCAGGCAAATGTCTCTCCACAAGGTTCCACGGGCTCATCCACATATCAAACCAGCTGAAACACAGCTCTTCTGTTGTCGATGGAAGGATATCCAAGAACTCGGTAATCGGTGCTGTCTGTCCTTGAATGTGGAGTTTTCGTACAGATGAACAGGCTTGGAGAAGTGTTCGTGCTTGAGCTAGGTTGAACTCGACGAACCCGCCCTTGTTGATGAGGTGTAATGTGTGTAGAGTGGCTAGTGCCTCTTGTGCACCGGGATATGTCCTGAAGACCTCCGCCATGGTGAGAGTGCCGATTAAGGTTATATCGAGTGTCAGTTTTGTCGGCGCATCGACTTTGAGGGCCTGAAGTAGCCAGCCGACTCGGTTCAATTGCATGTCACCTGGTGATATGCATATTCTCAATTCATTGAGCTGTCGTCGGAGAGGTGGTCCGCCTGTTATGCCAGACGCAGCATGAAAGCTCCAGCCGCTGATCTCCAACGCCGTAAGGTTAGGCAGACGACGAAGAGCATCAGCAAGGTACGCAAAGTCGCAGCTCGGGTACCCATGCGCACAGTGCCACGAGAGACTTTCAAGGGTCTTGATATCGGAAATCACGGGTAACAGCAAGTCTTCACGTAGCCCGCTCTCCTTTAGTGTTAAAGACCTTAATCTCGGTAGACGTTTTAGTAGACTGCATAGATCCGTCTCCACGTCGCCGGGCCGAACAGGGCTTTCCGTACCTTCGAAACGGTAGCTATTATTCCATACATCGCCGAGTGCCACAACAAGTTCCCGAGTATGCGTCCCCGGAAGCGGGCTCCGGAGAAGTCGCAGAAGTGCAGATGGGGATCTTGCTACCATGCGTGCTGCGAGGCGTTGTTGACTTGGGATAGTCCATGAACGATGCACGAGCGCCATGTTGCGTAAACAGTCTCCTCTTTGACGCTCCATAGCGTCTACGAGAGGGATCTGGTATTGTAGCGGTTCGTCTACTAGGTCTGTATCCGTGGAGATAGCATCCAAGATTCGTTCCAGAACAGGGTATGGAACGTCAAAGCCAGGTTTTTCGTCTTCAGAGCCGCGTCCGATAGTGGACGTTATTGTCGACGGTGGGATGGTCTGTTCCCGTAATCTTCGCACATTACTCCGGTGCTTAGCAACCTCAAGGTCAATATCAGATGTATCCGTCACCGTCAGTTCGTCTAACTTGAATTCCGGATGATGCAAGATATCAAGGAATAAGTTAACCGTTGGTACTCCAAGCCCAGACTCGAGTCGTAAACGAGCGATGAGCGCATCAGCAGCGGTCGGGAATGGCGTGTACGTCCCAGAGCTAGGCTCATACGCAGAGAACAGATCTCTTGACTGGACTTGACTTTGAGAGCTCGACGAGCAAGAGGACCCTGAGTGTGCGCCGGAATGAGTATGAGAGGGCCTTCCGCTTCGGTACATCGTGCGAAGAGACCGTTACATGGTACGGAAACCACTGCAGATGTTGCCTATAAGTGAGGACTTCACGATACTTCCGGTCGGGGAAAACACAGCTATGTATTCCATTTGGCTGAGTGCCACCGGTCGTTGCACGCCACGCTATAGCTATGCTTCGGTGTAACGGGTAGGTATTACTTGAAAAGTACGCGAGTGTGGCGAGTTCAGCCGGCATCAAGACTATTTTCATGCTTAAAGAGGTCAAGTAGCGACAAGAAAAAGCCTAAGACGACTTGCGTGTCCGAAGCGCTGTATAATAGCAACATTGACGATGACATGCATATGGTGGATAAAGCGTGAGGACCGAAAGCGCGCTTCAACTTTGACTTTGAGTAAACAAGTCAATACAAGAGCAAGCACAGCAAAAATAAAAATAACAGAAGACAGCACTTTTACTTTTCATTGGGTTCGCATAAATACAACACTCTGCACATTAGCGTCTTTACTACTAAATGTCCAGGTTGATTTGACTTCTCCATGTTCTGAATCGCCGTGAGTTAAAACGTGGGAAATGTTATAGAATACAGCTGCTGTGGGTGGTATAAGGAGAGGACGAACACGAACTAACTGCAAGTCTACTCGGTTCAAATGCACTTGTCGTGTCTAACAAATATGAACAAGAAACGAAAACCAAAGGTAACCAAAGGGTTAACAGGTACTATGCCGCGCTATAAAGGAAAAGATTGTTCGTCGCAGCAATCTAAACATTCAATAATTCAGAATGTAATCCTTGACAGAAAGGAAAATGCGCTTACGGCGATCGTGTTTTCTCTAGGATGCCAGCTTCCATGCAGTATCTTTTTGTTGAAGTCAAGCGTCTCCAGATTCATCTGCTCCTTTAATCCGGGGCGTACCCCATTCTTCTGGGGCCCTCCCTTACCTAACCCCTGGACTCCCATCTTTTTCGCTTTGAAGGCCGATTTGTCCGCCTGTAAGACAATGTCGTTCGTCGTCTCCACATCAAATATCCGGAAGTAATTATGGTAAGAACCCGTCATCACGCTGCTGTCAAATGAAGTTCAAGGTGTTATCAAAAACACATGATGGTTGCGACTCACGAGCCATCCCCGCTGAACATGCATTCAAACTTGTCAAATATGCAGTCGTTTTCGTATAGATCGCAGAGCTTCCCTCGCAGATGGTCATGAATTTGGATCGTCTTCAAAGGTCGTGACTCCATGTTGACGTCCCAGATTTTCAATGAAAGATAGTCGCGGGAAAGGATGTACCGCCCATCGTGACTAAACTTGACGTCTGAGATAGAAGAAATGATTTCTGAAAAGAAAGATCGTGTTGACGGATCTTCTTCCTCTTCAAACACTAGCCGAATCTTTAGACAGAGTTTTTAATCGCACTGAGACAATACATACACTTGACATGTCGATCACAGAGTGCCGACTCTCGCATATCCGCCAGTTTTATGGTTCCCTTTGAGCTAGAGTACATGAACAAATTGCATTGAACCGGATGAAATTCCGCCGCAGTAATGACTTCTGTCAACTCCTCCATGTTTACTGGCTTGATATCCACGATGTCTAGAAGTAAAGACTGCCGTCACTTTACCTGAAAGAAGGACGAGGCTATATGCACGTACTGAAGCTTTGATCGCTGATGTTCAAGTTCCATAAATTGACTCGCAAGTCGTCAGCAGAGATGTATGTCTCTCCATCCGAATTTATGGATATTGAGTTGATATGGTATGCGTGCGCATTTGAGTACACTTTGCGAGGTACGGCTGTTACGATGTTGTCTTGTGCAGCCATACGAGGGAGTTTGAGGGCTGCGGGATTTAGAGGTGGCGCAACTTGTCGTTGCCCATCATGGTGGTTTGATTCAGCGACAACTTTCAGCGATCGCTCAAACACCTTCCAAAGCTTTATTGTCTTATCTAGGGGACAGTCAGTAAGATCCGAAGCGAAAGTGTTTTGAGAATACTAACCGTTCGTCGATAATAAGAAATGTGCAGAGTTTTGCCGCTTGCACCACTTGATCTTGTTTATCTTTTCTTCGATTTCGAGTGATTTTAGATAGTCGAACTCTGGCTCGTGCGATTGGAATTCGGTGTAAAATTTGTATTCACAGCCCTTTTTCTGTCGATGGGAAAGGTCGAGCGACAATCAGTCAGTCAACATGCCAAAGATGGCTTGCCACTAGCGTGGGGCCAGAAAGGGCTGAACTCACTGCCTCGTTGCGCTCAAAGAGAACGACTCGGCCACCCTTGTCGCCAGTTGCGAGATAATTCCCGGTTGAGTCAAACTCGACGGTGGAGATAATATCGGCTGGTAGAAATATTGCGAGTTAGATAAGGCGCATTAAAGGACAATTACGATATGAATGGTTCGCACCTTCAGTGATATCCTCAACTTCGCCCTTGTCGCCGAAGCATTGGGCAAACCTCCAGCCTCCTGAGCTAGATGCGTCGCCTTCCATCATGAGGGAATTCGGGAGTGAGAGATGAGAGACAGAATGCGACTTGAATACGGCGCTCGGAGTGAAGGGCGAAGGGCGTCAGAGAGGAATAAAGGGAAAAGCTGCCAGTGGACTCGGTGTGGGTGGATGGCAGCAGCACGTTCGTGGGACGGAAGTGGTCGCCCTACGAGAATATAAAGGCAGAGAGGGCCTAGGGCAGGGAGAGAGCAAGGGCGATGGCGGCAGCAAGTAAGGATCGTGAATGCAGGCCGGGGCGAGTGACGATTACTTATTTGGACACCTTGTGCCATCCAACTTTGCGTTTCATCATCTACAACCACAACATCCAACCATCCGCCGCCGCAATGCCCGTTGCACCCATCACTGGTACTCTCAGAAAACAATTTTTCACGACGCTTTCCCTTGCCCTCGGCCTGGGAACAGCTGCAGGTTATGGCTTCTGGTAAGCTACGCCTCTCACGTCACTCATATTTATTATTGTTCCTTACAACTTGGCTCAGGTATGGAGTCCACCTTCCGAGCGGTATGCCTCTCTCTAACGTAACTCACCCTACCTACAACTTTGCTTACTTTGATTGCGAATCTAGTCAAGCGCCAAGAGGAGTTCTACCTCAAATTGGAGAAGCAGCGAGCAGAGGATGCATGATGGATTCTGTCTGTTTTGTTTTAAGAAACACATCCTGTAATGGGCATAATAACGCATGTTGCCTGATCGAAGCCAACCAAGCTCTCATTTTCACCCTTGAACTTGTCGTCTTGTGCTCCCTGTTAGATTTATTGTCGACGTGACGCATATCTTCCTGTACGGTGCACCTTCAGTCCGTACACCTGTCGGGATGGATCGGCTTGATTCCGAGCTTACCTCAGCACACCAAACTACCCATTAAAATCATACTTAAATACGAGTGCATAATTACGGGGAAAGCATAAACAAGTGTCTATCCAGATGATTATAAAGAGCACCTCTATCGTCTACCCGTTACCCTGCTGTACTCCTCACAGCTTTCCAGTTTTTCCGCGTTGATGGCGCGTATTGCATCCCAATCCGAGCCCAGTCCCAAAAAGCCCCTGCAAAATCGGTCAAAATGATGTTAGTGTTCGTGCGCAGAAAACGTAAATAAGCAAATACATTTTGGCCTCTTTCCTGCGTTGCTGTCGCTCTTGGTCCCGTTGACAAAGCATATACACTTGATCTATATAATTAGCTTCCACGTTGCGCTCGAATCTATCAAGTAAGCTCGAACGACCATCCGATCTTGTTGATGCATCTTCGAGATCTTTCGCAATAGGATGTGCTGCAAACTCAGCTTGGTTGACGAAATATTTCACGTTCAGCCCTTCAGTTTCGCGCCCAGTGGTGAATCGTGATGACGGTGTGAACGAGTAACGAGGATCCGGCGTACGAGGTGAACTGAATAGGTTCGGAACAGCAGAAAGGAATGTGAAGAGGAATAGGATAATTAAAGGTGCCAGTTGAGCGAGCAACGTCCGAACAGGCATGTCGCCTTCTCGCTGCTGAGGTTGTGCTCTTCGCCCACCCATATGCACCCGAGTCGTTCGAAACCCACCGGGGCCGAAAGAAGCGGTGAAAACTAGATGTATGTGTTAGCGCTTAAGTTGTATATGGTTATTATCGATACACTCACCTCCGGGCCCACCAAATGGACTGCCACCCATCCCGCCACCACCCCCAAAGAACATGTTGAACAAATCTTCCGGACTGAGTTCGCCTTCAAACGAGCCTGCGCCAAAGGGTCCACCAGCAAACCCGGGCGAGCCTCCAGCTGCAGAAGACATGCCACCGAATCGTGACTCTGGATCAGACCCATACCGATCGTACGCTGCACGCTTTTCCTCATCTGATAACTATGTTCAAACCAAGAGACTGTAGACAAGCGAAGACTGGAACGTACCAGAGACGATCTGGAAGGCCTTCGAAACCACTAGGCATGGAGTCAGCACATTGTCACGACGATCAACATGAGATGATATTGCACGTACTTTTAAAGGCCTCATCGGCGCCAGGTGCATTGTTTTTGTCGGGATGTAATTGCAAAGCAAGCTATATATCATGTCAGAGCAAGAAGTGCATGGATATATCTCTGACGGGACCTTTCGATAAGCCTTCTTTACTTCTGTCTCCGTGCAGTCCCTCTTCAGCGACATTATCTCGTAGTATTCTGTGACCTTGCACGTGCGTATCCGTTTGACGATTGCTTCTTGCTCGGGAGTATAGTCCCTCTTCTCCTGTTTGCTCCCACCCACATTCCCATTCGGTATGGATTGAGATGACGAAGTCGATGCATCGGTGTTTGCATTCGCATGCCTGTGTCTCGTGCCAGAGGCGGACGGATGAGTTTCAGCAGAAGTGGTCGAGCCTGAAGGACCAGCCGAAGACGAGGTCTCCGGGGGCGCCTCACTCTCAAGGTCTGCGATGCGCTGCAGAAGCTTGGTTGCTTCAGGAGTCGGAAAGAGACTAGGCGGGTCACACTTTGTCAACGACCTTTGATTGCACAAGGCGTGGAAATGGACGTACCTCAGTGATTTTTCGGCAAACCGACGTGCGGCGGGGTAGTTTCCCGAGTTACAATGACGTTGGGAGATGGCGAGACATTTAAGAGCCTCATCTTTGTTGCTCTCCATTCGTATACAACGGGTACGGGCGTGGACAACGGGGGGGCTGAGCCTCAGACGAAGGCGACGTGGAACAGGAAGGGAATCTGAGCAGTCATGTGACACGGAGATCAGCAACGGGATTGATGACTACATAATCATACAGCATATTCACTCGACTTCCTCGTTCTCAGCTTCCTTCTTCTTACTACAACAAGCGTCCTTTGGGCCGCGCCTGAAGGGTCATTTGGCTCTTGCGCTCTTCCCATAATGGAAGCAGAGCCAGCCGAGCTCATTGAGTTCAGGCAGAAATGGAAGGAAGAGGTCCGACAGAGGACTTCTAATTCCAGTTCACACAAATCCGTCGACAAGTCAGAGCCATGCTCACCAACTCGACCAACATCGAAGACTTCTGAGGAAAGTAAAATCTCTACCAAACCATACGCGAGTCCGTCATCTGCTGTCACCCATCATTCTCATGGTTCAACTCACTTTTCCAAGTCCTTGTCATCGGCAGTGGCGACCTACCGTCTTGCCGTACTACGCGAGCAGGCCGGAGTACTAGACGAAGCTTTACGACTTTACCGTAATGCATTTAGACTCGACTCGAACGTCGATAAAGCCTATCTCAAGGAAGAACAGCGTCTAGAAGCGGCGGCACATTCAAAGGACAGCTCACACTCCTTAAAGCAGCAAGAAGGAGCTTCTCACGTCGATGGTATCGAGGCTGTCCCATTGAAGGAGAGTTCCAAGACTGTGGTAGCGCCACAAAAGCGTCTTGAGACTGAGACGCTGACACGCTTGGTCTCAACGTTTCCACCCGACCTGTCATTTGCGCCAATGGACGAAAGCGGAGACGTTCTGCTCAGACGGGTTCCGGATGAAGTTATTGTTCTCATTCTCATGACAATGGACCCACTCTCCATAGAGAGATTCGCCATGCTTGATCGCAAAGCTAGGGTTCTCTCTTTGGACTCTGCTATTTGGAGGTATGTATGTCTGTGAGCTGAACTCCGTCTACAATCAGTTCTAACCGCGATATGCTTAATCAATGACAAGATTTCTTGTGCAGAGGACATACTTCCCGCCTCAGGTTCCTCCAGATACAACCATATATACCTTGGCGGAGCAATACAAGTTTGATTATCGACGACTTTTCATTGAACACCCGCGTCTCAGGTTAGATGGAGTCTACATAGCTGTCTGTCACTACGTGTAAGTCCACATTTCAGTTGAATTAAACTTGCGAATTCTCATTGGGTACAGACGCCCGGGAGTGAACAGTGACAATGTATGGGTAAATGTGAGTATGTTATCTCTGAACGGTCAAATTACCATCTAAACTTAGAATAGGTTAGCCATCTCATTACGTACCATAGATATCTGTACGTATTCAGCTCATCGCTTTTTGGGTACTCCTCTTCTAAGATCAATATAGCCGATTCCTCGCGGATGGCACTGTGATTTCCCTCCTAGCGAATGAGGATGTGGAACCCCAAACCATTGTACCTTTGCTTAAATCTACTCTTCGTATGAAGGTGCGGACAGGAAAAAATATCATCCTTTGTTGGTCCGCTAATCGTAATTTTATTTAGGGCCTGTTTATCGGTAATTGGACTCTGGAGGGAACCACAATCTGCATTCGTGATCTCATGGATCCAACCGGAGACAATGCACGATACACTTTCCAAATGACGTTGCATCTTCGATCTAGGCCTCTAGGAAGGTACGACAGTCATATTTAGCCAGCGTAGAGATTTGGTCTGATCATAGTTGTAGATGGAATAGACTGGATTTAACTGGATATGAATCCATTAACGTTGAGACTGAGGAAGCGGTACCGTTTGTTCTAAAGCACGAGCGGCCGTTCTGGTTCTCTAAGGTCCGATCATATGCTGTGTAGTTGGTATATGTATACGTGAATGCAGCTATACAGCTGGACATGTCTGTTCGTTATTGTTGAAGTGGGCTATGATTGCGTCTGTTGATACTCTTTCCGTTATGATATTATCAATCCAGGACTTGATGCGACGATTACTTTAACTACCCAGAAGTGCAAATTAATGTAAGAACTATCAAATTCATCTCTCATTATGGCGGCTACATTTACTGCTAAGAAATGAACCTGAAACAAGCTCAACTTTGGTGCAAAGTGCTGTAGATGACTAGATATATGTAGATATGCACTTTCTCCTTTTAAGTACACATTTTTCTTATAGAAGAAGTCATAATAAAATGCATGATATTTTGCAACAGTGAATATATACAAGGAAACTTGACCCTCGTTACACGTTATCTGTGGAAATGCAACTTAAGGCCATCACCGTTATAGTGCATCCCTCCAAATAGTTACAGTATTTTATTTTATTTCTTGTGTGTTTAGAATCGGCTATCAACAAAGATGTCAAATTGCCAATTTCAGAAATGTCGTGACGATCGGCACGTGAGGAACTCGGCACACTCGAATTTAAAGCCAATTAACATTGTTCCGCCATAACGGTTACAGTTGCTGATACTATTTCTTCATGGACGGCTTTGACGACTTGTTATCATCTTCCTCACATGCATTCGGTGATAATCCGTTTGCGAATCCATTTGAGAAGCCACGATCAAGCTCACCCGATCCTTGGGCATCGTTCGGCCAAACGCAGCAGACGCACGAAGAGTATTCTGCACACTTTGAGGAAGACAGGTTTGAGGCCACCAGTGGAGGCGCAGAGCCTTTGGATATTACGAAGGCACATGAAGACGAGGTCAAGGAACATAAAGATGTGCAAGAGGAACACGATGCGGGTCCTCTTACTATAGAGGAGGATGTCCATGACAGTACAAGTTTGCAGAGTCCGGGCTTTCGAGAGAGCATAGCAGTAGATGATGTCCCAACACCAGAGTCGCCCAAATCATCAGCTTCAGATGCACACTCGCCTGTCACCGAAGAACCTACAACAGCTGCGGAGTCGTCGCCTCGCAGTAGAACCCCGACAATTCAATCGCCACCTTCGGCCAGTATCGCAGACCACTCCCAGGAAAACCAATCAACTCCCCCTATCCCTCCCCCTTTAACAAATCGTTTTGTCTCTCCACTGGACTATCCTAGCCTCGAAGCGTCTCACTCGTTCGCAAGCCTCGCCCTTGGGGGAGAGAGCGCTGGGGGTTGGCAAGATTCGGAAGCGGAGTACAGCCGTTCCGTGACGGATACCTCAGAGGATGTAAAGCAGAGTCCAGTTGAGACTGCGAGCTCCTTGAACGAATCTACAGAGGATGAGGTGTGTGTATTTGTAACAGCTTTTTAATTAGTATTGTCGATTAATGAGATTTTTGTGATTTTGCGCATCTATTGAAGCCTCAAGTAAAGAAAGTTCTTGGATCACAGCGGCTCTTCTCTATTAGAGTCGAAGATCCACAGAAAGTAGGGGATCCTATTAGGCCGTATATCTTGTATACTGTTCACACCGAGGTACGTTATTGTAATCCGTCAAAACATACATCCGTCTTAACGAGAAGTGTAACACAGACCACCTCGCCGCTCTTCACCAAACCCTCTTTTTCCGTGTTAAGACGCTATTCTGACTTTCTCTGGTTATACGAAACGCTGTCGTTGAACAACCCCGGGGTAATCGTCCCGCCCGTCCCAGAGAAGAGCTCCTTCGGTAGATTTGCCAATCTCTTCGTCCAACAACGACGATTAGCGCTGGAGATATGTATCCGAAAGATCGCTAACCATCCTGTTTTGGCAAAGGACCCGGACTTGAAGCTATTCTTGGAGAGTGATAATTTCGCGCTTGAGGTAAATTCACCTGATGTAACCTTTCGTATTCGAGGTTGATGACTGGCGCGACAGATCAAACATAGGAAAACCGAGATCGCGCAGGAGCGTGGAGGGATTATGTCTAGCATCGGTCAGACGATATCGGGATCACGATTCGTCGAAACAGATGATGTGAGGTTGCACCATCAACCCTTGTCCAACCTATTAACGTATTCCTTAGTGGTTTGAGAGAAAGAAGGCCTATCTTGACGGCTTAGAATCCCAACTTAGGGGATTGGTGAAATCAATCGATTCCGTTTCAAAGCAGCGTGAAGGTGTGGCATCACCCGAGTGTTCCTTGTCCTTTGGAATTATTCTCACAGTTCTATTCCAACCAGATTTAGCCATTGCCACAGGCGAATTTGCTATCGCCGTCCGAGAGCTATCAGAGTCTGACCTCAGCAAACAGCTTTGCCATTCTCTTTCCGTCTTGTCTGAAGCTGAGAGGAAGGCTCAAGATCTTCAACATGTACAGGCTCAGGAGGATACTATGACTTTCATGACTACAGGTCTGTCTTGATATCTCCAGAGCATTCATAGGATTCATGACCTCATAATATTGTTCAGCCGAAGAGTATGCCCGTGTTATCAATTCAGTACGGGTAGGGACATGTTCAGCATGTTTTGCGTTTCGTATGACTTATGTTCTCACTTATTCAGATGGCCTTCAACTCCCGCGCGCGTTGCCACTCACAATGGCAACATGCGGAAAGCGAGCTGCGTCGAGTCAAACAAGCACACGAGAAGGCGCGTAGTCAAGGTCGTATTCCGCAGGAACGGATGAGCCATGCTCTGGCTCAGGTTGCAGAAGTTCGTCTCATTTATTTTAAGCGTCTTCTTCGTACTTACTGGTATTGGATGTTCAGGCAGAAAGAAAGGCTCTCGACGCGAAGCACGATTTTGAACGCTGTGGGAAACTTCTGAAAGTTGAATTGGGGCGGTTTGAAGAAGAGCGGATAGTTGATTTCAAGAAAGCTATGGAAGCGTTCCTTGAAGGGATGATACAACGACAAAAAGAGGTCAGTTCGGGTGCTGAGTCCTGCATTATCCATGGTACTCATACGGTCAATGGTGTAGTTAATTGTTGCGTGGGAGGAGTATCAAGAACTTCTCTTAAAGAAAGTCAACTCGAAGCCACCTGCGGCAAACTCTCAGGAGATCGCTGGAAATGCGTAATGATACTGCCCAGAAAGTGATGGCACTTTGTCAATCTGAAGAACCACTGCAGAAATAGATTGAACGTAAGGTTGAAGCCGGTCGTCAGGCGCATCCAATTGCGGACACGACTCAACATATTATGTTACAGACACTGGAATGTGTAGATTTATTCAATGACATTGTATTCCTCATGTACAGTCCAAGTATGTAATAATAAGTAAAGCCACCAAGCCCCAATCTCCTACATGCTCCTTAACGTCCTTGGGTCAAGATACCTATCTACTCCCAAAACTTTGGCATTTTCACCTGCGGTTCCCCAGTACCAATTTCCAAGAAATCGGAAGGCCGTTCTCTTTTATTACCACGACGTCTAATGTTAGCTGGTAATCGCTGATAAGCAGAATCTAGACCTGGTTGCTGCTGCTGTGGGTTAGGGAAAGGTACGACAGGTGCAGGCTGCCATGCGTTTTGTTGTTGAAATCCTTGCGCTGCAGCGTTAGCGGCTTCCTGCTGCGCTGCTACGGCGGCTGACATGTCTGCTGCCAACGCCGCGAAGGCCTGTGCCTGCTGTAACTCCATTTGGGTTTGCTGGAGTTGACGAGCGGTTGATTGACGGACTGCAGGAGGCAGTGATGGGTTCTGCAACATGGTGGAAAGTTGAGTTACTTGACCTTGGAGTTGGGGGATGGTCTCGTTGACGAGTTGGGAGATGTCAAAGTTGGCTCCGGGTTGTTCATCGAAATGTATGTCGTCGTCATTCTCCGCTGCGTTTTCATCTTTCGACTCCTAGGCAATTTGGTCAGATACAACTAGTTATCATATTTCAAAATCGCTCTATCCTCACCTCCTTATTCTCCGCCGCTTTCAGAGCAGCAGCCTGTGCCTCATTATTCTCCTTAATCACCCTGTCAATATAATCTCCCACTCTCGTTCGCATTGGCTTGTCAACAAGAAGACTATCCAGCGAGGGAATCTTTTTCGAGCATTTCGGACAGATAAAATCGTTCTCAAGTAAATAAGAATGTATACATTCTTCGCAGTAAATTGTACCACAGCAAGGTGTCTTTGCAGCTTCCAAGAATAGTTTGCCATCTATGGGACATGCGAGGGCGGTGTCTGTGGGTGGTCTCTCGCGAACTTCGGCGGGTGTCATGCTTTTTAACCGGGCGACTTGCTTTTGCCATGATGCGCTAGTAGATAGATAATACCAATGAGTTTCAGCGTGAAGGAGAAATAGGATTTAGCGCACAGATCTGGTTGGGCAACCACATAACCACCTTCAGGCGTGACCATGACTCCAGGAGCGAGCTTGCCCTCCGACGGTGAGTCGACAGCTTTGAGAAAGCTGCGCGGGATACCGGTTGTTCGCTTGATTCGTGGCCTGTTGTCGTAATCCTTGTTATCATTCGTTGGACAATCATGTATCCAATGCCCTTGGAGACAATTCAGAATGACTGGAACAATGTTTCGTATGACATAGAACTCACCTTTTTGCCCGCAACGGTAACATACGTAACTCGGCGGGAGTGGACGGTCTGATTGATGATACGATTGACGGCTAACGAAGGTCTTAGCACCACGTCCTATCCCTCTGCTATTATATACGGGAACAGCACTAGAATAATCCATCCAGCAGGCAAAACAAAAACAATTTTTATTACGATCGCAATCAACACAAATGACAAAGCTAAAACTGACTGCGACATCTTCTCCTGTGTCTCTTCCCAAACATTCGTCTGCGCCTTAAACATGGCAGCCATCGCTGCCGCCTCGTCATTTTCGGCGGACGACCCAAGTGGCTGCGGGGTCTTTCAAAAAGTCAACTCAGCCCAAGTATGATCATAAGTCTACATACCGAAGCCCGGGCGTCCGACGGCTCCTCCTTGCCGTCGAAACGAGCAGAAATTGCGCCTGTACCGACTCGAGCTTTTATTAGATTCGCTCCTGTCTGTTTATCTCTACCAGCTCCGTTTTCGGCGGGTGGAGTGGCCGTAGATAAACCACCAGTAATGTACAGTATACCTCTACCCTTTCCGGGTTTCGCGGCGGGGACACGTTTTGCAACAACAGACGAAGACCGAGGGATTACATGAGTGTCATCGTTGTATTCTGTCAAGAAATATGAGAAGTAGCCCTGTCAGGCCCGTGAACATGCGTGTTGAAAAGCTGATCCGACCTTGGTCATTACTTGGATCAAATAGCAATAGATCAAAGTCATTGGATTTGAGATTGTTGGCTAGAATTATTTCCTTCTTGAGGTCGAAAACGGAGATTCCAGTGCCGTCAAATGAAATCTTCGACCCTTCTCTTTGTGCCTTAAACTTGTAGTAGACAAACGATGCCATGGCAGTAATGGCGCACGAGACAAATACTGGGCTTCTGGCTTGATTGCGAGGGTATTAGCAATATCGCTTGGTGCTAATGCGTCGCCCTCGTCGACGTTCAGTACAGAGTCGTCATCGCCTGTGGATGATCGTCGGGGTCATGTGATGAGATCACGTGTACAGTTCACGTCGCGCCTGGTCGCGTCGGCTCTCCACTTTCGAGAAGGCAAAAACAACCACGCTGACCGTCCACATATCATTCCTGGCCTCCTTTACACTTAGCACTGGCTGGCCATGGCGTTGCAACTGGAAACCCCTTCTCGTATATGGAGGCGTATAAAGGAAGACGAAGCTCAGGAAGCTGATATGCCCTCGCTACCTTCGCTCCCTGGACTCGACGATTCCGCGATACCAGAAGGCGATATCCTGTCACTATCACCGACGTCCAGCGCACACGATCCCCATTACCCTCCGCCCGATAACCAACAAATCGCGCAAGAATTGCCAAGAAGCGTGGTGCGCGCAGACATTTTATATGCAAACGTACTCCAGAAAGGATCGTCTCCTGCTGCAAATCCGGCACCTTCGCATATGGACTTCACCGCGAACGAACAAGGCCACTTGTCTTCCCTTATGTCTGAGATGCTGCAGCAAAACCGGTACAGCAATGCAGACAGCGACAGTCATCTTACTGGGACAAGCGCTGTAAATGAACACCTTGATAGTGGAGCTCTTTCTGGATCATATTTCAAACGAGATTCTGGAGAAGTAACTGAACTTCCTTCTCCATCGAATTTGCATTTATCGGCTAGCAACATAACCTCATCCTCTCCGATGGACGGTACTTCGATCGTAGACCAAGATGACGCTCCAACGGTTCAGCCGCTCCGCCCCATGCCCCCTAGTAGCAGCGGACCTTTGAAAGATGTACGTCTCCTTTCCGCCTTCATTCTATCGTGTCAATTCTTGCGCATACGTTAATCACTTATGATGAATGGCTTACGTAGATTCAAAATACGTATGATTTCAAAGATGTTGCAATTCGTCAGTCCCATGTTGGTGTTCGAAGATCACCGTCTTCGTTGCCACCTTCATCAGATCCTCCAAGCTTGTCCATCTCTAACTCTCTTAATTGGGACAATGAGCAGAGTTCTGAAAGCGTAACTCAAAAGCCAGCCGCCGATATTCGTGCTGTACAAGTTGCAGACAAGGATGTGCAACAAGTCAATACGAACGAGCTTACGACAACTACGTACGAACATCACAGTGCCAAAGAATCCGAGTCCAGAGAGCCGACTTTCTCCTCGATTGAGGCAGAGACAATGAATGCATCCGGAAATACGACTGTTCAATTGCCTCGGGCCCTAGCTGTTCGTCCAGGCCTTTTGACACCGGCTCCAGGCGGCCCATTAAATGCGGGAAACCGCCAGCCTGACCAGTACGCAGAGGTGCACCAAACTCAGACTGAAATTGATGATCTAGCGACACCGCTACCTCGCAGAAGGTCGTTTCTGCTCAGCATCGTCAATTCCTCCTCTCGGCCGCGTCTCGCAGTCCCAACACCACATCCCCGTGTCCGTCTTTCGCTGGCTGACAGCGAAGCTGATCCCACACCTGGTCCCTCTCGTCCCCATGTTCAAAGAGGAAGAGCCAGACTAAGCCATCCTTTGTCCCAAGTCACTACATTTGCCCCGTGGACACCTCAAAATCCCGTATCCTATGAGACGGACGGAAACGACAGTCCCGACGGAGCAGATGGAAAGTCATACGTATCCACTGCCTCCTCGCATGACCTTACTGTCCATCACCGGGCAAATGCGTCTTTTGATCCCTTGACCGGTCCTCAGGGTGTTGGCCGATTTAATGCGGGCAAACTCAACACATACTTGCATGGCTTAAATAGGCGCCTCCAGGAAGAGAATGAGATCCTCGTAAATAAGATCAGGAGCCAGCAGTTGGAACTCGAAATGATGCACGATCAGACACGACACCGAGAACTAAGCGGAGTCGTAGAGGATGAGGCTGCGGAACGATGGATGCTTGAGAAAGACGAACTGGAACGAAAACTGGAGGAACTGGGGGAGAAACTCGCAGTTAGAGATAAAGAGCTCGCAGACGAGCGAAACGAGAGGATGCGCGATAAAGAGAGGTGGAAACAGAGGATGGCTGACGTCGAAAATGGAGTTGAACAGATTGTTTTCGATCTGGAAAAGCGTGCACAGGACGCAGAGACCAAGGCGGCAGCATTTCAAGGTGTCGAACTGCAGCTCCAAGATACCCAAGCAAAGCTTAACGGCGCAAATATGGAATGTCAGCGTCTTAAGCGACGTGTGGAAGAGGCTGAGCAGCTCGCGGCTGTTAACAAGGCTGTCGGGTCCAGTCTTGTCTCCACGGATGACACGTCCGTGAAGCTTGAACAGGCCCAACAATTGCTCATTCACCAATTGGAAGCCAAGGAAAGAGCGCTTACGAGTCTGGAGGCATCGATGTCGGACAAGGAGAAGGAGGTAACCTCACTCAGAAACATAATCCGAGATCTCGAATCCAGCCTTCGTGTATCAAGGGAAACAATCGAGACGCATCAGCAAGACGCAAAAGACCTTCGCAAAGAACAAAGGGACCTTAAGGACGATTTGCGATCTGCACAGTCGACGATTGATAGACTCAAAGCAGATTCAAACCAAGCTCGAAGCTTTGAAATGCGACTATCTGAAGTTCAGGACAAGTTTACAGAGTGCAAAGAGACTTTGGAGATCGCAAATGAGCGACTTGCAATGTCATCCGATGAGCTCGACAAAGCAAGGCTTACCGTTCAGCAGCTAGAAAACGCGCTTAAAGAGAGTGATGCGAAAATCTCCGAGGACAACAAAGAGCTGCTCGAACTGCGTTCAAGACTATCAGTCTTAGGACGAGAACGTAGTAAAGCCGGTTCAATGCGCCAATTAGATGATGCTTCAAAGGCGTATAATGACGCCGAGGTTGAGGCGCTGGAGATTGAGCTAGTTGAAGCCAACAAAGAGATTGGACGTCTTACCGCTCTCCTACAGCAGAATCCTGCCCGACTAGCCATGGAGAAAGCAAAAGACTCTCGCATTGACCTTCTGGAAAAAGAGAACCAAGAGTTGTTGGAGCAATTACGATTGACACGAGATCCATCTTACCATGCAACTCCACTCCGCAAAGCAAGTATGAGTGGTCTGTCACCCATGCATAGGCGACTCATCAATTTATCGTTGAGGACACCCAGAACTCCTGGCGAGCCACTTCGAAATGTAATATCTCATATTCATTTATGTCTTGGACAATGCTGAATAAATTTGTCTCTTAGGCGTCGTGGCTTATGAATATGACCGGTGAAATATCAACCTCTCATCTCGTGGAAGAGATTGACCGGTTACAGAAAGAACTTGATCTCGCAAACGAAAGTATCGACGACAAACTCGACAGGCTTGAAGAAGCTGGGCTTGGCGTCGTCGGATTGACGAAGGCACTCGAAGATGCTCGGCAGCGAATTGCAAATTTAGAGGGTCAGCTTGAAGATCGACAAGATCGTTGGCTTGCTCGGAACATCTGTTCGCGCTGTGGTGGTGAAGTGGATGATAAAGAGTGGGTTTATTTGCACTCGTACGGTCTCGCTAAAATGACGTCAATGTTTCCAGCCCGAATTCTTCCTTACAACTTAGACTTACGGTGGTAACAGCGGAGCTGGAAGCTCTTCGCAAGCAACGTGACGAAGAAGTGGTAGCCTCATCTGGTGAAAAGGCGGTTTTGCGTGATGCCACGAAACGTCTGAACATCGAGATCAAACGTGCGAAAGAAGAGCTCAAGTCAGCCCAAGAACGGGGACAATTGGCCGAGAAATCGAAAGCAGAGCTGCAACATGTGAGTGCAATCATATTGGTATATAAAAGTGAGCTAACGGATCGGTAAAAGGAACTTGCACGAGCGAGGAGAAACATCGATGACTTGGAACATCACCTCGATCTCGAGCGGACACGGCTTCGAACACTGAACAAGGAGAATTCCACCGCTACGAAGGAAAAGGAGAGGATATTAGAGAAACTTTCCGAAACTGAACAGGTTGGTTGTTCGATTCATCCTGCGATAATAACCTCTGCTGACCGCTCCTGAAGCGAATGGAGCAAACGAGGGACCGGCTGTTCCAATTGAAAGAAGCCAATATCAAACTGGAAGCTGAGCTTAGAGGTTGGGAAATTCTTTCAAAACTTCCTGGCGGATGCTTATCAATTTCATCGCTTCTCAGTTGAGCGGAAGACTGCGGCCATTGAAGAGGCGCTCATTGGCAACAGGGAAACTATCGAGAGACTACGTCAACAGCGGTCTGAACTCTCAGACAAATACTACGATTTACAGCAGCAACTTGCTGAAGCCTCAAAGGTGTGTGATGGTCGCAGAATTACCAACTGCCTCTTTTACTCAGAATTAAATGTCTAGAATGCGGGTGAACTGGCAGCAAAGCACGCCAAGCTGCAAATGTCATACGACGGTCGTCGCCGCCAACTTGACCGCCAGGCGAAAGAAATCGAGAACCTTCGTGCAGCATTCAACACACAACCACAGTCAATGAAACAGACGCGGGCTGAAAAGGAAAATATCAAATCGGATACTCCAGGCCTTCGTCCCTTGGCGTCGAAACTTGAGTTTGAACTCAAGCGTATTCAACAAGAAGCAAATCAATTCGGACGGGACCTCGTACGACTTCGGGCTGAGCGGGATCAACTGGTCGTTCATCATCGTGACGAGGTGGAACGGCACGAGCGCACGACTAAGCAAATCCGAGCACAACTTCGAGACTTAAAACAGCAGCTTGCGAAGCGGAAAGAGCAACCGAACACTGCTGTAGAAATGTATGTTAAACGTTATATTATACTTAGCATACACGCTGAGTCGTATCCACAGAGAAGCAGCTGTGGAATCTCTTCGCCTTAGACATAACAAAGAATGCAAAGGTCTCTTTGTCCAAATTCGATATTTGAAAGCCAAATTTACGCGGGAAGCTGCTCTTCGCGACGATCTCGGCTATCAAAAGAGTTATCTTCTTGTGCTTTTATCCCGATATGAAAAAAGGTATGTTGACCCTTCTGTTTCATTGTAGATTATTTTCTCAACAAGTCATTAGCGAGAAGAGAATCCTTGCCACCATAGCGCAGATTGAGCCTGCGTCAGCCCCGAAGCGACCTCGTCGGTGTAAACGCTTACGAACTGCGGTATTGGCACTAATATTCATCTTCCGCGCTCGGTAAGTTCAAGTTCGCAAATGATACTCTGAGCCAGTTTGCTAATAAGGGCTTCTTGGTCGGAACAGACGTGCAAGCGAAGCCTGGCGTGAACAACGATCGGCGTGTGACGCCATTGCAGTAGCACTGGATAACGTACGACAGGATAGACTTTTAAAGGACTGAAACTTTTTTGTTTAGTTGCATAGATTTTTGCTATGGGCTTGATACCTATCTTAGGCTTTGTTCCCTGTGTAGCTTTAGCGCACTGTACTGTATCAATGTTGTATATGTATTTGTTATAATGCTGCATGGAATGCTTTGTACACGTTCTCATCGTGGGGTAGCTGGCTGGCTGGTACAGAACTAGATAAGACCACGATAAGCACAATGCCTTTGATAGAGACTGAAGAATTGGTCGAGTTAGCAACGGTATTCTTCAGTGCCAGCGCTCTGTATTTACTATAGGTCATGCTAAGCGCTACTACCTTAGCTGCATAGGAGATTCCGTCAAGAAAAATGTAGTTGATTAACAAGGATGGTAGGGTACAATTTTATTCGAATATACCATTCTATAACTTCTTCCGTGGTGATCTCGAAGCAACTACTCGCACTGCACTCGAGGAGAACACATATGATAATCCGCTCCAGATCGTTGTACCCGCAACTGACCACCTTCAAAAACAGTTATTCTTCAATAAAAAGGGACAAGATCTGAAGTACTATACATGGGAACAATACTCACTGCAAACACTGAAGTGTCAAGTCCAGATCAAGACTTGTAAGCGGCGAAATCGTCGTGATGCCCATTAATAAAAGCTGGAGTGCGGTGTTAACCTAATTTTTTCAATTATCCATGTCAACAATAGTATGCAGCCGATTTGGGTATGATGTTCCTGACCTTGCTAATTCCTGTTGGGTGTACCTCAGCCGAGGGGATCGAGAAATCCCAGTAGCGTTGAAACGTTTTCTGAACATGATGAAAACGGCTAAGCAATCGAAATAATCCGCAAGATGACCGTACAAAATGAAGTGACTCACGGGAGAAGGTAGAGTCTTGTATCGGATGTAAAAGGCTGCGAGGCTTAATAGTACGTCTCGGCCAAGGATAATACATGCTAGTGGGACTACGAAGCGCGTCGCTTGTCAAGGTACTGCGATTAGTAGTTGGTTATTTTGTCATACCAGGAAGCATATCCTTCATGGCGAGAGTAACCGTCAAAGTTGTCATTAGTGCTTTATCCGCCGCCGGATCCAGGATTGTACCTAGTACAGAACGCATCTGGTATCGTCGTGCTAAGAAGCCATCGACCTTGTCAAATCATTAAATTTATACAAATTAAGTATAAACAAGCAAAATGCGTTGTTTGAAGAAATTATTGATATTCACCCAGTCCGACACACCAGCGTAGACCAAAATGGCAGTTGCTGTTGAGAAATCTCCGTGTATAATTGACCAGGCAAGGAATGGACACGAAAGGATACGCGACAGAGTAAGAGCATTTGGGATCGTGTAGGTATTTTCGCGGACTAATTCCCGGAGGTTGCCCTTTTTTTCTTTCTTGTCATCTGGGTCGGTATCGGGAGAAGTTGACAGGAATCGGGATAGTGGAGGAGAGAAGAGTGTCGGGCGAGTATGGTTTTTAGTGAATATTCGTTCGCTACCACGAACAGCTCGAAGCAGGAGAAGAGATGGCCGAGTAGGACATGTTGAATGAGATGAGGTCCAGAGACGGGAGATTAGATTTTTGTGTATTGACGGTGGATGGCGAGAAGCAAGACGTAACATGGTTTGATTGATTCCGAGCGTCGATCATGCTCAAGTAGACTCTACAACGTATGCAATGAACAGTCATCTCACGCTCCTTACTCCCACCGCCACACTCTCCTACATCGCCCAACTGCCTGAATGATTAAAGAGGGCGAACCGAAGGGCGCAGAGTCCCAGACTGGCCTTCGTAATCGCTCACAGAAGATCGCGAACCAAAAAGATAGACCCGACGGGCTGGTGTCCTCTACTGACGTTCCAGAACATGTCACTTCGCCTCTAGCAGTCTTTGACCTCCTCACGTCTGTATCTTTAGTGTTCGGAGGATGTTGTGTGTACGTTTCCTTATATCAATCCCCTTTCCGTCGTTGCTTTTGTCTCACGTAGGTCACCGACAGTAACGTCCTGACCTTCGAATCACTCTTACGAAGGAGCTCCTCACTAGGTCAGTCATGCTCGAATAACCAATACAATCCCAGCTAATGTAAAGCAGGGTCCCTGATAACATTCGGGCAGATGCTCTTCATTGCCTGTCAGTCCTTACCTTACTTTCTAATATGGCACAAATCGTCGTTTCTACCTCGGCTGGCGCCACGCCAAGTGCCTCTGCATGCATGGTCTCTGCAAGTCCTTGTGATGCTCAGTAGCTCGTTACTGAATAATTGGTCTTTTGCGTTTACACCGCTCACGCTGCAGATTGTCTTCCGTTCGTCTGGTAATTCACTCCAAACTGCGCACACAGCATTGAAATATTGCTGATTCTCGACATAGGACTACCTGTTTCAATGCTTCTTGGCCGGATATTCATGAAGAAACGCTACTCTGTCGTTCAAACTGTACGTTAGGCTATTTTTGATGTAATGCATTGATATTGATGATGTCAGTAGGCGTCAGTGATGTTAGTGACGGCAGGAGTGATAATAGCAACTCTTTCTCGGCCGTCGTCCGCTGCAGCACGCACGGTGAACCATGCCGATGATCAGAAACGCTACATCATCGGCATCTGCATGTTAAGCGTGACACTGCTTTTGACGGGCATTCAAGGTATGCTGCAAGAGAAGGCATACAAGAAATATGGGCCATGCTGGAGAGAAGGCGTCTTCTACACGGTGGGTATAAGAAATGTACAACCTAGCTGAACTTGTGGACTGATTTCTCAATAGCACTTATTGTCACTTCCCATGTTTGTATTTTTAACAAAGGATATACGGGAGGGATTGAGTGTTTTGCGGAACTCACGTGATGGAGTGTGGGATGCACACGTGGTATTCGCAGGGAACCTGGTTACGCAGCTTCTATGCACCTCTGGCGTCAACCAGCTTGCTTCTGTGAGTGGTGATTGAACATTTTAAGCGTCGTTTGGAAGTGTTCTCACGAAAGGTAAAAAGAGGGTGAGCTCAGTGTCGACGAACCTGGTGCTAACGGCACGGAAGGCGCTGAGTCTGTGCCTCAGTGTCTGGCTGTTTGGGAGTGATTGGAATTACCAGCTGGTGATCGGGGCGTCCCTTGTCTTCATTGGGTCGCTGAGCTATGCGCGGGGTGCATCGCGGCGTTGAGTAGGACGTAGAAATAGAGAATAGAGCATATAGAAACGGGAATGTAATTGAGATGAGATAAAATTAGCTAGCGTCGTGTCCGAATCGAGAGTCGGCTGATGGCTGTCCTGTCAGTGTTGTCGCCCCGCGTCCCTGAGTCCCAGTGAGCGAGTTCTTTGTTGCTCTCTCTTCTGTATCTAGCCTCGCCCTCCCGCAATTCCCACCCACGCTCCCTTTCCGCCTCCTTTCTTTTCCTCCGCTCTGGCTGCTGCACACCCACATTCATAGCACCCCGCTCCTGCGATGGGCATCCTGTGCTGTGGTTCCGATGTGAGTCCTCGTTTCCCATCACTCCCTTCCGTCCATGGTGTTCAACAATCCCATCGTGCTTGGCCCTGCTAGCCGGTCGACTTCGAAGGCGATGTCACGCTTTTCCACTTCGTCCTCCTCAAGAGCGTTGGTAAAGGTGCTTTCGGTAAAGTCCGTCCCCACCATCGTGCTCTCCCTAGATTGCATGATGATAACACCTACCCCAGGTCCGAGTTGTTCAACACAAGCAGACCCGGGAATTATACGCGTTGAAGTATATCAACAAAGCAAAATGCGTCAGAATGAAGGCAGTCGCCAACGTCATCCAGGAGCGACGGCTACTCGAAGAGGTGTGTGCCTTGCCTTTGGGGTATTCTGTCATGAGAGACTAATCGGTGACTCTCTTCCCCCGCGTGATATGCAAGGTCGACCACCCGTTCATCGTCAATCTTCGCTACGCCTTCCAAGATGACGAAAACTGCTTCTTCGTATTGGACCTCATGCTTGGAGGCGATCTTCGATGTCAGCCCCACCATTCCCATCTACTGCTTAAGGAATATACTAACTTTAACCTTAGTTCACTTGGAGAGAATGGGTTCCTTCTCAGAGCAGTCCGTCCGAATCTACGTTGCTGAAATCGGCTCAGCTCTATCATTCCTGCACGAGAAGAAGATCATCCACCGGTGCGTCGCTACGTCGCTTCCAACCAACTCACACGCCTGACAGCTACCCGCAGAGATCTTAAACCGGACAACATCCTGCTCGACGAACGAGGGCATGCCCACATCACGGACTTCAACATCGCCGTTCACTACACAGATCGTCGATTGCTGGTCGGCGTAGCAGGAAGTCTGGCATATATGGGCAAGTACCCTCCCCTATTCTATTCGTCGTACAAATTTGGTTAAATTCGAGCTTCGCCATAGCTCCTGAGGTTCTCTCGAAAAGGGGATACAGCTACTGGATAGACTGGTGGTCTCTTGGCGTATTGGCGTATGAACTCATCTTTACCAGACGACCATTCCGGGGGAGAACAAATCCGGACTTGACGCATGCAATCAGCCGGGATCCTGTCAGATATCCCGAAGACTCGAATGCGAAGTGCAGTAAGGAGGGGAAGATGGCTCTTAAGGATGTGCGTCATGACTTCGACCACCTACCTGTCTATCTATGCTAATATTGGTCACATCTTTTGGCAGCTCTTAACACGAGATCCTGACCGGCGATTAGGTTGCAGGCCCGGAGGCGGAGGAGTGCGAGATTTGCAGAAGCACCCTTGGTTTGCCGGACTAGAATGGGACCTACTGGAACAAAAAGAAATAAGACCACAGTTCGTCCCTGATGTAAGTCACTTCCTGAGATTAGTCGTGCAATACGCATTTTCCGTGGAGCGTATCGCCGATTTTCTCTCGTTCGTTCAATTCATCGGCATGGATGAACTGATATGATATTTTATACGCACGCTCAGTCGAAGAAGGCAAACTTTGACTCAACACACGAGTTAGAGGAGTTATTACTCGAAGACAACCCGCTTAAGGCTCGCAAACGAAGGGTCAATCAAGAGAACCTGAGTGAGGAGATGCGACAGATGGAAGAGCAGTACGTCTTCTTTATCCAAACTTCCACATCTTATCCTCACCGATCTTATCAAACTACATTTGCAGGTTCACCACCTACGACTTCAAGAAGATGCATCGACGTTCCTACTACCCGCACAACCAAGTAGCCTCACAAATGACCACCTCAACAGGCTTCGTCTCCTCCCGACCTGACACTCCCAGTCTCACCGAGCGTGAATACGCCGAAATGGGACAACCGCATATCCGTGGTATGAGTCTGGATAGCCATGACGCGTGCGAGACGCGAGGCGGTGTGCGTCGATTGCCCGACGAGTATGGGGCGAATAACTACTCCTCAGATGCGATTCAGATGAATAATATTGAGAAGGGCGGGCACCAACCTTGACACCTCCTGTGTTAGCGGTATCGCTCTTCTTCTTTTCTTTCTCTACCTGTCTTCCCTCTGGTTTTTCACTGCTTTTTTTTTTCGAGTCTGTGTTTTCTGTGCGGACGTTAATCCTTCAGGCGTACCTTCTCTAATGTTGTGTTTTCTTCCTTCTCCCTACTCCCTTCCGATTATTCGCCGTCGTCGTCGTCGTTTTTTTCTTTACATAGTGACATAGTGAATGAATAGCGTAATTGTTCTGCTGATATCGATATTAGGGCCTTCTTCTACTTCTGTCTGTTTTCCTCTTTTCTTTTCGTTTTCACCTTTTTTTACCTTTCTCGTCTTTATTTCCTAAGAATGTCATGACAATGAGAGGATGTTTTCGTTTAAAGTGATAAGTTGTTTAGACGTCTGAGCTCAATTTATCCTTTGTTAGTTTGGACGGAAATTCCTAGTTATGTAATCTGTGGACTACAGTCTTGGAGTGAACACGTCTCGAATTCGTATGAAATGCCAATACAGTGGCTTTGCATGATTTCATTGTCAAAGCATCTGCAGATAACTGGGAAGTGAAAAAGTGAAGTATTCTTTTTTTCTGCTCCACTGTGTGCAAGAAAGTAGACTCTTCTGGTCCTGCTTTACTTACTGACTACTTGCAAAAGTAATAATATTCTGTGCTAGTATACTCTACTGAGTCACTACCTACTTTGTGTCATGTTCTGGCCAGCTACAATGCAGTGCACGATTAGCAGAGCCCAACATATTAGATTCGCCACACATTGCTTTGTGTTGCAAGTATTGAACAAATTTTGCACTCAGAAAGCAATATACTTTCTGATATTTGCTTTCTCAAACATAAAGCGTGTGTGGCTTGGCGTATGACATACAGGTTTGCCACAACAACTTTGTATTTTGCCACCAGCACAGTAAGTACAGAAGCAGCAAAGAAGTTCCAAGAGCTTTGCAACATGATCTAATTATACTCTACAAAGCTCAACTAATACAAATACAACCTAGGGAAATCCCACCAGATGGTATAATGCTGACAGGCTCAAACATGTTGAAGGGGTCAAAATCAAACAAAACAGATCTGTGCAAAATATCATGGGCTCAGAGAAAGAAGATAACACTGAGCCGTATAGGATTGAAGAGAGCTCCTCTGACCAGAATTTGGATGACCTTCAAAGACTGTTGGATGAAAGTAAGCAGTATTGTCTACCGGCATATTATTGCCTCTCCCACCATTGGTATGCCTTGTATTCATCATATTTGGTGACCTCGCCTTTGGAAAGGCTAATGCTAACTTTCACCTCTACTCAGTGGTTCGCAGAACAGAGGATCCTGCGTTAATGGGACATGGTAGTTCTGTAAAGGAAGCCTGTGCAGATCTTTATCGGAATGTGAAAGGTTCGAACCCCGCTGAGAATACTGCTTATGTAGAGGAGCTACGAAACTGTATGTAGCACCATTCTTCTCTTCCACTCACGTTCAACACAATTGCCGTTTCTTTGTCCCATTTAAACATAACCAAATATTAATACAACCTTGCAGATGTAATGGCTGGGTCAGATAAATTTCGTCCAGGCAGTATGATTCAAGCATACAGTACTAGACATTCAAATGAGTACACTACTTGCAGTAAGTTCGTAAAAAGTCATCCTCACAACTACTTGGTCTGAATCTCTGTTCACTATTTTTAATGTGCTTGCTGATTTTATAGTCCTTGAATACGTTATAAGTGGTGAAGGGGACGACCAGATCAGTGCATATAGGAATATACTCAATGTGTGAGCATAGCCAGCGGTTTTAATAGCCTGAGCTTGACTAAATGAATCTCTTTAACCTGCAATGTGTAAGTAGTATTAACAAGCTTGTGAATGACATTCCATTTGGCAGAATGTTCAAACCAGTATGCACAAGGGAAGACTTTACTCAGGATATTCTGTGACAAGATATTTGATATAGTTTTAATTTATTATAGAAGATTACAGAGTGTATCCAGGTTATAGAAGTATAGCTCTAATTTCATTATTTTTGTTTTCTTCAATTTCTAAATATCAGTTCTACTGATTCTCATTTCTTGACTTGAAGTTTGTTCAGCCTACTTCAAGTTGATATCATACTTAGGCTCAATGCAGCTAATAAATAGTTCCATCATCTGGTAATATATCATGATTGCCAAATAAGACATACAGCTAAGACAATAGCCCATCTCAATTCTCTTGCGAGTTGTGAGTTGTGTACAGCATGTAAGAAATATACCAAAAATGCCAAAGTGCTGAGATGAAAATCGGGTGGTTAAGATGGGGATCGGGTTGTGTGCTTGCCTAAAGTAGTAGTCAAACGTGCAACAACTCACAAGCACTTCTGGAGTGCTTGTGAGTTGTCGGACTTTGAAATTAAATGATGTTTCTTGTATCCCTTACTTGTTTGTCCACTCAAATCACAAGAAATCTGATCAACACAAAATTCACAAGTCAATCATCTCAATTCTTCCTAGTTGTGAGGAAACTCAGCATCAACCTTACCAGGGTCCTCTACAAAGCCGAGCTTCCTCGCAACTTGCAACTCGCAACAGAATTGAGATGGGCTATTTGCTTGGTACTCTATTATTGTTACCTGAATTCTTTATCAATGTTTAGCACGTAGAAAGAACTGACAATACGGAGGCGTGAATCGAGAATGAAAATACACACAAATTTGCAAAGTCAAGATCTTAGAATGAAAGAACAGCTCAGTCTGAACGATTTCCACTAGACAGATGCGTCTAATTAATTGCTATGCAAAACACATTGTATGCTAGAAAAAATCCGTGCGAAGATGGTATGATGTGGTGCGGTTAAGCCAGTGTGTGTGTAAGGGTAATCTGGAAAACGAAAGACTGCCGTGGGTGGTGATGAGAATAAAATATAAGAAAAACCAATTCTACAACGCTCCCCATCTACTGCTCTATGTTCTCGTCTGACCCTTCGACCGCTCGGATGAGGCTTCTTAAACGAAGTAATTCGTTTGATATTTGCCTATAATGATAAGGAACGGATGAGTTCACAACACCTATCCACATACGCAGATCAAGACTGACTGTGCCATCTTTTTCGCCGTCGCCGAATCTGTTTCCGAACGTAGCACGCTCCCGTGAAACTCATCCAGTTGTGCTTTAAACCCTTCCTCCCATTCCCCCTGTATCCGTCTTTCCTCCTCCAGAATCGACTTCACCCTCTCATGTTTCTTCCTCTCTTCCTCAACCTCTTCTACTAACTTCCTATACTTCTCCCCCATCTCTTCTTCTTCCTTCCTCACTTTCTCCTCCCTCTCTTTCATCTCCTTCTTAATCCTTTCCAAATCGAGTTTCCAACTCTCCGAGAGCTGCTTGAGCGCGTCACGGAGCGTTATATACTCTCGTTCGGATTTTTGGCTGAGAGCGGTGGATTGCAAAAGTTGGGCTTCCATTTCGCGGATTGTACGTTTGGAAGATGTAGATTCGGATTTGAGTTGGGATTTTAGGGAGGATGCTTCGGACTCTGCTTTTCGTGCGCGTTCCAGTACCTAAAATCCACACAATACACAAAAACGCTTGTTATAGCTTGGCCGTACAAAGGGAAGAAATAAAGGTAAAAATATCGTTCTCACCTCCTGCAACAGCCTCTCCTTCCTCGCCACAACATTATTTAACCCTTCATTTTCCAGTCGTAACCGTTCTCTCCCATCTTTCAAATCCTCCGTCTGTCGAGTAAGTTGCGCAACAGTCCGTTGACTCAATCTCAACTGCGCTTTCGTATTCTCCAGCGCATTCTTCGCGTTGATGACTCCCGCTTGTAAGTCTGCTAGGACTTTCGTAGTATTCCCCCCGTGAGCGCCGAAGGATATACGTTTTCCTGGTGATGGCGGGAGGTGGAGTGACGTAGTGGTTGTTGTTAGTGATGATGTTGCTGTTACATCTGTTGATTGGGTTAATTGGGAAGAACGATTTGTGATTGAGGAGTCGATAGATGGAGGTTTTTGTGAGTGAGGACGAAAAGATTGTCCGTCTTCTGCGAGTGTTCGTGCATGTCCTTCAATCCCGTAAGTCATGAGTAACGCCTCCTTTATACAGACAACATTAAGAAAAGTAGGTGCATACCGACAGAAGCGACAGGTATACCTGCAACGTGCAGATCAGTCAAAGGTACTGAATGCTAGAGGAACAACAGGGGAAACAACGAGCAACAAGATGAAAAACAAAAATACATACGGCTCAATGAACGCGTCGGACTCACGGGTCGTTTACTATTGCCACCATGCTCAGGACTCAATAAATTCGAAGACGACGACGAGAAGTCCGATGGTATCCCTTCCCGAATACTCCCTCCGTCTCTCTTCGGTAATGGGAGCTGTGAGTGACCATCGGGACCGACCATAGCCTGAAGGACTTCGAAACTCGAGGAACGCTGCCGGAGAGTTTTAGACGATGACACGGTGGTGTATGTATATGAACCAGAAGAGCCAGGGAGGTCTGTAGGTGATAGCGAGGGCGAGTCTTGTTTGTATTGACTACCAGAGCCAGACGTAGTCGATCGGGACGTCGAACGCTGTAAGACCACCTCCAGGTTCTGGAGTTGCGCTTGCTGGTGTCGAATCGTATGCTTAAGGAAGGAAATATGGTTTCGAACGGAAACTATAGTCGAGCACAGAGTGGAGTATTAGTGCTGTATCTTTCTTAAAGAGCGGTTGACTTGCCTGGATCGTCTAAAGAAAATGACGGACTTGGTGCACGGTTGGAGCATCTTGACGACGCTCTGGACTGTGAGCGAGAAGGTGAACGGTTCAAGTCAGACATTAGGTATACAGGTCGCCACAGAACAAGAAGTTAGCAAAGGGGCCAATGCTAGCGAGAAATGCGTTGAAGCTCCTTTCTCGCGGCTCATTGGCGCGGCAGCATGAAAGGAACAAACGCTGAACAGCTCACAAATGGCCGTACGGCGGCGGCTCGACAAGTTTGGAATTACGTACTCATATTCCCGGTCCGAATAACAAATTATTTTCTACCGATGTACATACAAAAGTCATCTCAAAAACACTGGTACTACCATCCAAATACAAGGTCAGACACCTGTCCAAGCATCCCCTTTGACTTTGCCGGCGTGCCTGGAGTAGCCTGCATTGGCACTCCAGGACCCTTACGGCCAACATCTGGTGTCCCTTTACGAAATGCTGCTGCAGATGGTGCAAGTTTGATAGGTGTTCCAACAGACGGCGTGCTATCCTGCTGTACCGATCCTACATGCAGGAGCTGCGAGAGTGCCGGGTCTGGTAAACCATCCATATCCATATCGTCTTGTGGCGCCGGCATTGAGGTGTCGCCTTCAAACAATGGCAAAGGGTTTGCAGAAATCCTTGCACCCGAACCTAACACTTGCTCCGCCGCAATCGGGTCCTAGAAATGAGCGCCACCTTGTCAATGCATGCATCAAAGAACACTAGATGAATAACAACGTACCATCCATTTAACACCAACCATCCACCTGCCACCCTCCCCGTTTATAACCTCTCCATTCCTTCGCAATGCCCTAGCAGCCTCCCAAGGTTGTTTATATCCAATCCTAAATGCATTTTCGACGTCAAGACTGAGTTCAGGCTCTGTAGTTCCTCCATCCGAAAGGGACTGGAAATGTGCCAAGGTTGACGAGTATCTCGCTGGTGGATAACCAAAAACGATAATATAAAGAGTTTGGTGTGTTACAGTGGGTGACGTCGCCGTAGCGTCTGCTTTGCGCGTGGTTGTCGACTTCCTTGCGCTATTAAGTAACTAAAAGATTAACACTAGTCAGTTATAATGACGAGATAGGTAAAAGACACTATGTGTACCTGTCTCCGAGAGTCAACGTGAATCTCTGAAACAAGATCAACCACGGATGACATTGGTGGACCATCTTCGTCTATCGCCGCTTCTCGGTGTCGATGTCTACTAATTTACACCATCAGAACGAGAGTAGACACAAATATTAATTGGGTGCACACATACTTTGTTGAAGTTTCAAACATTGAGTCCGACCCAAAGTCAGATGGCGCGTTTCGTACGTGCGACGGGTTCATCTTCGCCCGAGTTGGTATAAGTAGCGGTTCCTCATGTCGTTGGCCTGATACTGACAGTGCCTGCAAATAGAAAAAGACGTTAAAATTTGCAATGAAAAAGAGAATGTTTAAAGTCAGACACACTTGTCCTTGTGCGAGTGACTAAAAGGTGATCACATCAAATTTGTTAGTCTTTGGTAAAGCAAAGGTAAAATCAACACGACTTACCAAGAGATATCCAGGCTGATATTGCGGTCTACTCTGAGTAATTGAGTCACTAAGTGGTTGTCCATGACCATGGCCGTGACTAGCACCGAATGCAGAAGGTGATGTAGTTGATGCGCCTGGACCGTATCCAAGGACAGAGCCAGACGGATGACCCATTATATGAGGTTGGTTATATGACATTCGCGAGCGATCTTGAGACAGGGTTGGGTTCATGACGGATGCAGAAGATACAAGTGCTGTGCTAAACCGTGGCCAAACGATGACTGCACGTGATCGTTATATTGTATTGTCCAATTTGTCCTCTCCTTTCTGGTCGTCTTCCACCGTGGAACAATCTAACTACAGAAATGAGCTGCTTGAGAAAGAGCAGCCATACATAAAGATGATGCACAATATAAACAAAAGAAAACTATGCGCGGCAGAGAAGAGGAAGTCTCCTATTTGTCTAGCACTGGTATGCACAGGACTTTTCCTATCTCTCGCCCTGACTCTTCAATTTGAAATTGTCCAGCACTAATATGCACAGGACTTATAGAATATCGAATGATCATCACCGTCAATTCATTCGCACAGGATCAACGTGTTCTCAGCATGGTTGCCGGAGTGCATAAATGCTCCCATCTGCCCTCATTCCCAATGTCGTACCCAACGTTCGAACTAAGTCTCTGGTATCTAGCAGTGGCACGCGCAGATACCGTCCGTTGCATTAACAAGTCTACTCTGACATTGGGCTTTGTTCAATTCTCGCTGGTAGGTCTGTTCAGAAACAATGTTTTAAAAACAGACTTATCTTACGAAGAATCCTTTGCGGGATAGCAGCAAAATAACCAATTTGTCAGATAGCGATTAGAACAAGCAAGAATCAAGGACAACGAGGAGTTCAGCCTGCGGTAATACATTTTTGTGGCTTACTTTCCGTCATTCTAACTGAACGTGCAGATCACCTGAAAGAACTGGAAGGATTGACAAGTATTGCTGCAACTTCATGCCAACATGCAGTACTCTGTTAAGCTCGACTTGATTCGCAGTGCACTCCAGAAGCTGGCCCATGAGAACTTCCAATGCTTTAATCAATCAAGGGAGAAGGGACAAATCGACACGGCCATTTTTTATGTTAGCATAATACTCGGACTTTGTCCCGAGCGACATCCAGATCACAGCGAGGCATTGGATGATCTTGGGACGTTTCTTCACGCGCGATTTGAGCAATACGGGAGAATACAGGATCTTGAAGAGGCCATCGAGCATATACGTGCTGCTCTGGAACATCGTCCCGACGGCCATCCCGAAAGTTATATTTCCATGAATAATCTTGCACTCTCCCTTCGAACTCGATTTGATCAGCATGGACGGACCGCGGACCTTGATGAGGCCATTGATCTCCGTCGTGCTGTCTTGAAACTTTGTCCCAACGGCCATCCATTTCGATTTGAATCACTGCATGGACTCGCAGTTGCACTTCATACGCGATTTAAACGATATGGGAAGACGACAGACTTTGACGAGTCCATTAAGCTTTCCCGTGCCACTCTGGCTCTATTCCCCAGCAGCCATCCCCTTCGCTCTTATCCTCTAGCTAACCTCGGGATTTGCTTTCAAACTCGATTTGAACGGGACGGGCGTATTGCAGACCTTGATGAAGCCATCGCGCAAAATCGTGCTGCCTTGAAACTTTTCCCCGATAGTCATCCTGATCGTGCCGCGCCCCTTAGCAATCTTGCAAGTTCCCTTCAGACTCGGTTTCGCCAGCTTGGACGGACTGCAGACCTTGACGAGGCCATCAAGTATCAGCGCACTGCCCTGGAACTTTGCCCCACAGGCCATCACAAACGTCCTGTATCTCTGAACAACCTTGCAAATTCACTTCTAACTCGGTTTCCAATGTATGGACATATTGCAGATCTTGACGAAGCAATTGAGCTTCATCGTGCTGCCCTGGAACTACACCATGTCGGTCATCCCGGTTGTCATTCATCTCTGAACAACCTTGCACATTGCCTTCGAATTCGATTTGAACAGCATGGACAGGTTGCAGACCTCGATGAGGCCGTCGAACATCTTCGTGCTGCTTTGCAACTTTCCCCCAACAGCCATCCCGGTCGTTCCTTGCCTCTGAATAGTCTTGCAGTCTCATTGGGAATTCGCTTTGCACAGCATGGACAGAGTGCAGACCTTGATGAGGCCATCGAGCATTGTCGTACTGCTCTGAAATTTTGCTCCAATAGCAATCCCCATCGTTCCATGCCTCTAGATAGCCTCGCGAATTTTCTTCGTGCTCGATTTGGACGGGATGGACGGGCCGCAGACATTGATGAAGCCATTGAATATCATCGTGCTGCCTTGGAGCTTTGCCCCGACGGCCATCTCAATCGTTCTTCATATCTGAACAACCTTGCAGGCTCCCTTCAAGCTCGATTTGAACGGCATGGACAGACCGCAGACCTCGACGAGGCTATTGAGCATCATAGTGCCGCCCTGAAACTTCGCCCAGAAGGCCATCCCGATCATTCTGGATCACTGCGGAATATTGCTGTTTTGTTATACTGTCGATTCCAGACGTTTGGGCTCATGGACGACCTTGGAGAGTGCATGCGTTTATTCGAAGGTGCTGCCACGTATAAATTTTCAAGCTTAGTGAAACGTTTCGAGGCCGCCAGTCATTGGGCTACCTTTGCTCAACGACATGCTCACAGTACTACCTCTAGAGCATACAAGGTGGCATTCCAGCTCCTGCAACGTGTCCTTATAATTAGCCCTACTCTTCACGCACAGCATGATTTCCTCAAACGGAAAGGCCCCTATGGCAATCACAGAGCGATCATACTGGACGCAGTTGCCTATGCTGTAAAGGAAAATAAGCTTGAGGAGGCTATAGAGATACTCGAACAAGGAAGAGGTCTGCTCTGGTCGCAGATGCGTGGTTTTAGGACACCTTTAGATCTCCTTGCAGAAACAAACAGGGAACTTGCTGAAAGCTTCAGGGATGTTAGTTGTCGGCTGGAGGATCTCGCAACTTCACCTACCGGAAGTGGACCATCTGCACTGGACATGGACAGAGAACGGAAATTGTCCGAGGAGAGTCTGAAGCTGAAGAAGCGACTCTCCAGTGAACAGGACGAGATTATTAATAAGATACGACAAATTCCCGGATTTGAGGGCTTTCTCACAGCTACGCCGTTCAGAGTGCTCCAGAGAGTGGCTTCAGAGGGACGGGTGATAGTGGTCAATCATAGCAGATTTCGATCCGATGCCCTTATTGTGCTCTCTGACAAGGATTTACCTGTTGTCTGTGTTCCCTTAGATGATGGGTTCTTTGAGGATAGCAGTGTGTTGTATGCAACGCTTTTGGAAACACGGTGGAGTTTTACAGCTAATTCACGCAAGTATGACGAGGTGCTCCGCGAAGTAATGGAGATGTTATGGGATAGGGTTGTCTCCAAAATCGTCAATAAACTTGAGGAGCTGGGGATTGAAGAAGGTGCACGTATTTGGTTGTGCCCTACGTCTGTGCTATCGGCACTTCCCTTCCACGCTGCAGGTCCGTTCAAGGCTACAGATGGCACTACAAAATATCTATTAGACAAATACGTCTCATCATATACGCCAACACTTGGAGCACTCATCAATGCTCAATCAGGTAGGAACGGAGGAGAACCAGCTGCGCTTATTATCGGAGATATTTCGCTTCCGTCAGCAAAGGACGAAATCCGCAAGGTCAAGAATTGCGGGATAATGCCTCGATTACTCAGCAATAAAGCATCTCACAATACGGTGATTAAAGCACTTAAGAAGACGACATGGGTCCATTTCGTTTGTCATGGAGGCTTGAATCCAAAGCCCTTCAACTCAGCATTCAAGGTATCCGACCGCGGGCTAACTCTGCTTGATATCATTCAAGCGAATCTCCCAAACGCGGAGTTCGCATTCCTGTCTGCCTGTCATACTGCCGAGCAACCACTCAATGGTACGCATGACGAAGTGCTTCATCTGGCGGCGGCGATGCATTTCTCTGGGTTCGGAAGTGTGATTGGATCGATGTGGGAGCTACTTGATGTTGACGGACCTTTTTTTGCCAAGACCGTTTATGAGTATATGTGCGACTGTGACGAGGATCAAGCGAGGTACAAGCGAGCAGCAGCAGGACTTCGCAAAGCAGCGATAGAACTCAAGGAACGGCCTGGTATTCAGACTGAGAGATGGGTCAACCTGATTCACATAGGTGCTTAATTGGTTCTCGAGGTTCTTGCAGTGCATAAGCCAATACATGTTTAAATAGTATACATGCTAAACCTATCTATCAAGTTTGTTACATGATGTTCATCTCCTCAGATATAGGTCTATAATCAGACAATCTTTTCATCAATGAACCCACCACCTTTCTTACATGTTGAAACTCTGGCATATCCAGATGTGTAGACCCACAAATTAGAAAAATCATAAATAAGTTTACACCAATACTAGCAGTTAGCATTAGAATTATGTGAAGGTTCTCCATGAACCCTAAAGCTCACCTGCAAGAAATCTTCCATTTGTGAGGGATTACCATATATAGTGGACCATACATAGAACCTCTTCACCAAAAGGGTGCAATGTCAAGCTTGGCTTAACACCTAGTTCACACTATATATACTGATAAATGTTTGTGTCCTAACATTACTCTCCTCTCTAGAGTCATGTGTCCTCACATGACCAGTATATAGAGTTTGACCCCAAGGGTTACTATTTCTAGCTTAACCTTGACAGTCTTTAGAGGTAGGAAGAGATATCCTAATATAGAGTCCTGGCCCTAGTATTCCAAGCAACTGAGAAATTCACTCCCCCCCTTTAGGAAGCTTATTCTCAGCCTAATACTTTTGCTCACAGACAACCCTACATCAGGATCAAACCCCTGACTGCTCAAAGCTTGACATTATGTGAGGGATTACTATATATAGTGGACCATACATAGAACCTCTTCACCAAAAGGGTGCAATGTCAAGCTTGGCTTAACACCTAGTCCACACTATATATACTGATAAATGTTTGTGTCCTAACACTATTCAGTAGATAGACTGTCTGTCTTGCATTTTGAAGCTCTAGAATATTCAAATGAGTAGGGATGCAAAAGTATAAGCAAAGGTAGTACAATGTTAGTTTCTGTCTGTCTGGTCTTCTAAAAGTTTACTTATTCCTTTAAATTTGCATTATTATTATTCAAATGAAAAAGACAAATGGATGGGTTTGAATACATGCAAGTTATCAGCATCAGATAGACATGATTATTGATGCAGTTGATGTGCCCAGAACATATCCAATGACAGAGCCAGAACAATGTTGTACCATATGAGGCTGGTTCAATGGCATTTTTGGGACTGCTACATGACTGATGAAAGTGACCAAGTAGCAGTTTTGTTCCAAATGACCTAAGCTGCACGTGATCGTGGTATTGTAATCTGTTTTTAATTAGATTAAAGTCCTTCGTCGTCTTCAGTTTGCCTAGCCTACAGGATCTCGCATCATTTGATTAGCACAGGTTCAACGTGTTACCAGCATGGTCGGTGGGATATATAAACGCTCTTGGTCTGCCCTCAGCCCAAACGCTGTGTCTAAGGCTCAAGCTAAGCTTCCAGCACCCAGTACTACAGTAGCAGCCAAATACTGACTATTGGATTGGGATATCTACTGTGATACCACTTGTTTATCAGTAAGTCTGTTCAGTAATAGATGAAGAAAAAGACTTAGAAATCACCCTTTATAAGATAGCGGCTAGGACTAACTGAACGTATAGGTCAGCAAAAGAACTGAAGAATCGACAAGTGTTGCTGCAACTTTATCCCAACATGGAGTACTCTGTTAACCTCGATTTGATTCGCAATTCACTCCGGAAACTGGCGTTTGAAAATTTCCAATACTTTCAGCGATCAAGGGAAATGGGACAAATTGATGCTGCAATATTTTATATTCGCATAACACTCGGACTTTGTCCCCAGAAACATCCAGACCGCAGCGAGACGCTGGATGATCTTGGGATGTTTCTTCACGCGCGGTTTGAGCAATACGGGAGAATACAAGATCTAGAGGAGACCATCGAGCAGATGCGTGCTGCCCTGGGACTTCGCCCAGACGGCCATCCCAAGCGTTATGCGACTCTGAATAATCTTGCACACTCCCTTCGCACTCGATTTGAACGGTATGCACGGACCGCAGACCTTGATGAGGCTGTTGAGCTTCGACGTGCCGCCTTAGAACTTTGTCCCCACGGGCATCCATATCGTTTCGCATCTCTGCATGGACTTGCAGCTTCTCTTGGAACCCGATTTGGACAGTATGGACGTCCTGCAGACCTTGACGAGGCTATCAAGCATTCTCGTGCCACTCTAGCACTCTGCCCCAGCGGCCATCCCGTTCGCATCTCGTCTCTGACTAATCTTGGACTTTCTCTTCAAATCCTATTTGAACGGCACGGACATATTGCTGACCTCAATGAGGCCATCGAGCGTCATCGTGCGGCCTTGGCACTGTTCCCCAACAGCCATCCTGATCGTTCCTTGCCCCTGAATAACCTTGCACTTTCTCTTCAGATTAGGTTTAGACAGCTTGGACGGACTGCAGACCTCGACGAAGCTATCAGGCATCAGCGCACTGCCCTGGAACTTTGCCCCACTGGCCATCACAAACGTCCTGCATCTCTGAACAACCTCGCGAATTCCCTTGGAATTCGATTTCAATTTGATGGGCGTACTGCAGATCTTGATGAAGCCATCGAGTGTCACCGTGCTGCCATGGAGCTTCTTCGCGATGGTCATGCCGATTGTCCTGCATCTCTGAACAACCTCGCAGATTGCCTTCGAACTCGATTTGAACAATATGGACAAATTGCAGACCTTGATGAAGCCATCGAGCATCTTCGTGTTGCTTTGCAACTTTTCCCCAACAGCCATCCTGATCGTTCCTTGCCCCTGAATAACCTTGCAGTGTCTCTCGGAATTAGATTTGGCCAGCAAGGACAGACTGCCGATCTTGACGAGGCCATCGAGCATTTTCGGGCTGCTTTGGACCTTCGACCCAAGGGTAATCACAATCGTTCTTCGTCTCTAAATAATCTTGCACTTTCCCTTCAAGTTAGATTTGGAGAAAATGGGCAGACCGGAGGCCTTGACGAAGCCGTCGAGTATCATCGTGCTGCCCTGGGACTTTGCCCCGACGGCCATCCCAATCGTTCTTCGTCTCTGGCCAACCTTGCAAATTCCCTTACGACTCGATTTGAACGGCATGGACGGACCACAGACCTTGACGAAGCCATTGCGCTTCATCGTGCTGCCCTGAAACTTCGCCCAGAAGGCCACCCTGATCATTCTGGATCACTGCGGAATTTCGCTCTGTTATTGTACTCTCAGTTCAAGACATTTGGGCTCATGGACAACTTCGACGATTGCATGCAACTACTCGAAGATGCTACCATGTATAAATTTTCAAGCCTAGTGATACGTCTCGAAGCCGCCAGTCAATGGGCTACTCTTGCTCAACTACATGCTCATCATACCGTGTCTAGAGCTTACAAGATGGCATTACAGTTGCTGCAACGCGCCCTCATTATCAGTCCTACTCTTCATGCACAACATGATTTCCTCAAACGGAAAAACCCCTACAGCCATCACAGAACATTCACACGAGACGCAGTTGCCAATGCTGTGAAGGAAAATAACCTCGAGGAGGCTATAGAGATACTTGAGCAAGGAAGAGGTCTGCTCTGGTCGCAGATGCGTGGCTTTAGGATGCCTTTAGATCTCCTCGCAGAAACGAATAGAGAGCTTGCTGACAGGTTTAGGAATGTTAGTAACCGACTGGAGGGTCTTGTGACATCATCTACCGGGTTACAACCTGAGTCGACTGCAGCCGGAATCGGGTCATCTGTACTGGACATATATAGAGAACGGAAAATGTCCGAGGAGAGGCTAAGGCTAAAGAGGCAACTCTCCAACGAGCAGGAAGAGATTATTACCGAGATACGAGGTATCCCGGGTTTCAAGGACTTCCTAACAGCTACACCGTTTAAAATACTTCAGGGGGGGGGGGCCTCGGAGGGTCCAATCATAGTGGTCAATCATAGTAGATTTCGATCCGATGCGCTTATAATGCTTGCCCGTGGGGATCTACCAGTTGTCTGTGTCCCATTAGATGGAGAATTTTACGAGGATAGCATCGAGTTATACACCAAGCTCTTGAAAACACGACAGCGTTGTACAGCTAGTTCGTCCGAATACGACGAGGTGCTCCGTGAAGCAATGAAGATGTTATGGGATAGAGCTGTCTCCAAAGTCGTCAATAAACTTGAGGAGCTGGGGATTACGGAAGGAGTGCGTTTATGGTGGTGCCCTACATCCGTGCTGTCTGCACTTCCCTTCCATTCTGCCGGCCCGTTCAATGATGCAGACGGCACTACAAAGTACCTCCTGGACAAATACGTATCGTCATATACACCGACGCTTGGAACACTCATCAATGCGCGATTAGATGGGCACGGAGGAGAACCAAATGCACTTATTGTTGGAGATACTTCGCTTCCGTCGGCTAAGGACGAAATTCGCAAGATCAAGAATTGTGGCATAATGACTCGACTACTCAGCAGTAATGCGTCTCATGATGCACTTATTAAAGAGCTTCGAAAGACGACATGGGTCCATTTCGTTTGTCATGGAGGCTTGGATCCAAAGCCTTTCAACTCGTCATTCAAGGTATCTGACCGCGGGCTGACTTGGCTTGATATCATTCAAGCGAATCTCCCAAGCGCGGAGTTTGCATTCCTGTCTGCCTGTCATACCGCTGAGCAGCCACACGATGGTACTCATGACGAAGTGCTTCACCTAGCCGCGGCAATGCAGTTCTCTGGGTTCCGAAGTGTGATTGGATCGATGTGGGAGTTACTTGATGTAGACGGCCCCTTCTTTGCCAAGACGGTCTATGAGTACATGAGCGACTGCGATGAGGGCGAGGCAATGCACAAGCGAGCAGCAGCTGGACTTCGCAAAGCGGCTGTAGAGCTTAAAGAACGGCCTGGTATTCAGACTGAGAGATGGGTCAACCTGATTCACATAGGTGTATAACTAGGTCTTGAGGTTCTTGTGATGTGTTATATTCTACACGCATATGATCAAATATTCGAACACGTATCAGCAATTAGTGTGGAAACTCATAAGGTAGGGAAAGTATAAACTCGACAAACCCAAGGTATCACGTGCACGACCCTGTTTACACAGCCACTTACTCCATTAGGAAGGACCCTAGCGGCAAAAATCGTGGTGAAGATATGATTTTTCGTCTCAGTCTCAAGAAAAATTGTAAAAGCTTTTAAATATGTCAAGTAGAAAGTACATTGTGTATTTACACTTATAAGTCAGCCAAAATATCATCACTGTCTGAAATGTTGTCCAGAATATTGTCAATAAGGACAACATTGTCCTCATTCCTGGACTGTAAGTAATTTCTTTAATTTTTTTCTTCATGAATCACTCAGAGCTAACTTACAGCTCCTCCTTTACTGTACAGGTTTTGTGTTCTAGCTTGTATTACTTTCTTTCAGCAGGGCATTATTGACTGAGTTGTGTTGGTAGCATACAGAAGTCATGTGGATATAGATGCTGTAATGATGACTAATGATCATGTATATACCAAATAAGGCGATTGTTTGTAATATTATGGTTACCCGAGGGTGGCAAAAATCAAAAACCTAAAAACTCAAAAAAAGTTATTTTCTCGCCAGAATGTTGCTAAGGACATTCTAGAGTGTTTAAGTCAAAAAAAGCTTCTTTTGGAAATAAGTCAGGCATTTTCTAATATTTTTGAAAAATAAAACCATCAATTTGTAGCTACTTTAAATACAAATATTTTGATGGAATTACATTTTTAATTTGTGGTGTGTGGAAGATGGTATTTCGTTGTCTAAGTGTGAGGCCAAAAAAGGCAATTAAGGTTACATGAGGTCGGTCGAGTTTATACTTTCCCTACCTTATTTTGCAATGTTTATCAATACACCAATGGCTTACTCAACCCACTTTGGCGACCCAGAAACTAAGAAGTTCAAGAAGATTCGGGAATCAAGCCATATCCGACTTGCGTATGCACAGCTTTCGGCGGTTGATCGCTACGGATGACAGCGTTGTAAAGAAGGTTTTGGTTTCTTCTATTGTTACGTACTTTCCTAATACACCTCGTTAACGGTAAAAATAGCCCGCAATTATCGATATGCGTCTCATAGATTCATAGATTATCGAAGAAGTTTCATAATAGGACGCAATTTTATTGATACGTTCATGAATAAAAATAGAACCGCACGAGTAAAATTCTGCCGGGTCAATTAATTTGTTTATATTTAGATACTAGTACGACTTGTATAAACGAGATACGAGTTAGAATGTTCTTTAGGTGCTGCGGATGAGATAGGCGGGAATGTATAGAGTTCCTTGAATGCTTGGCCTCGTCGTAAACATACACAACAGACTACAGGATTAGTAACAGATTAATAAAGACTTGGCTTCATGGCAGACTCTGCTTTTCTGCTCTGTTGTACTGTTTTGTACGGGTACGGAATATTGAAACAAAAAAGAAGCAGAGAGCGTTATTAACGAGGAGATTTCGATAGGATCTAGAGTTTACCATGTGCACAACTTCCATAAAAGTGTATGCATCTACGTGTGCATGTAATATTAAGGCCACGAGATGCCATCACAAGTACGACAAGAACTCGTGTACAGTGCGTGCCGTGAAACCTTACAAGAATAAGAAATACTTAGGACGACATCATAAGCGTGACAAGAACTTGCGCTGATGTTGCGTGCCGTGAAACTTTACGCAAGAGAGTCCGATGATCGGTCTTGACCTCCATAAAGTTCTCTGCGCAAAGCGGAAGAATTTATTCTGATTCTCGGAACCGGTTCGTCTCGAAGGGGGATAAGTAGCTCATATAACTTAATATAAATGTACACTGCCTTCGACAAAGGACAGGAGGCGGCCGCGGCGAGGATGTCTCAATAGGGGTCAAAAGGCTGTTTAGCAATTAGTACGGCGGAATCCTCAATCAAGCAGTCGGAAGCACATGGAAAGAGCCAGAGTCGGAGTTGAGGTCGGGAGGGAGATTGTATCTCCTTGAACTCTTGATTGCTGATCTCGAGACACAGGAAAGTCAGGTAAAATAGTGATTTTTATTATTGATTTTGATGAGGGCGTCGGCGGGAATTGGAACAGACTCACGCTCAAGCGAAGTGAAAAGTGGGACAAGACGGAACGAAGGACAAGAACACTTCACCTAAAAAGGTGAAAACCAGGAGGAAAGGCGGTGAGTAGAGTCCAGCGCGAGTTCTAGAAGCACCGCGAATTCATGAGAGAATTGAAGTGATGGTCGTAGCGACGAGGAAGACAGCGTGGATCATGGATCAGCTTCCTTCTTCTTCCGCGGGCTACGGGAAGAAAAGGGCAATGTCGGGTCGGCAGCGGCGTTGAGTTTGGAAGTGCAAACATGTGTAGGTTGGTGGGGATAAAGAGGGAAATGGGGTGGAGGTCGAGACGCCACGGCAGAAAAGCAATTACTGAATCCGTTCAGGCACACGGAGAAAAGGCCTTATGATCCCCACATGGAAGTAACGCATTACATTGCGGACAAAGACTTGACTGTGTGCATGTTCTCGTATGTTTTCTGAGTGTTTTCACATAAGACGGAGAAAGTAAGTGGACTGGGAAAGTGTGAATGCGACAAGGGATGTTTCGGCAGGGAGGCTGGAGACGGGCGGGAGGACTGACGGGTGTGATGATCTGCAGAAGGGACGGCATTGCGGCTGGCGTGGGAGCAGTGTCACTGAAAAGGGTGTCGGAAACCCATCTCCCACCAGACCAGACGGGAAGGCATCGTTCTTGTTCCTGTTGTTGTCTCGCCCCTCCGTTCTCCTCACCTCACGCTCTCTTTCTCCTCTCTTCCAATTCAACCAATTCATTCCTCCCCTCCCCCCGCCCCTCTACCCGCTCAACAACGTTCCTCGATTTTCTCCCCCGCCCTTGACACCCTCGCATCGACGACGACAGACACTGTATCACTTTGATCTTTTCGCTCCTCATTCTTTCTTCACGAACAATGCTTTCGCGGCAGCCTCGCCTCGCAGCAGGCGCGCTGCTTGCTGCTCTCCTCCCTGCAGCCCTTGCACAGTCGCCTGGTGCCATCGTCGAAGTGGGCAACACCAAGGTCTCTGCAATGATGGTCTGTACCCTAACTCGCTTTATCCCTCATATCACGAGTCGGTCGGACAATAAAACTCATTGAACCCCGTTTCGCCTACAGATGTTCGTTGGTAACGACGAAAAAGTCTACATCCTCGACAAGGCAGAATCGAATAGTGAGACAATCAACGGACATCCTGCCTGGGGTTCCGTCTATGACCTCTCATCAAACCAAGCGACGTTGATGGATGTCACCACAAACGTCTTCTGCGCGTCAGGAATGCATCTTCCTAATGGCTCTTTCGTCACCTTCGGCGGTAACGGTGCTGTTGGTCCAGGTGGGAATCTGGGTAGCGTCAACAATGGCTTTGTCGGTTCATTCGACGCGACCGTCGGCGATTACGATGGTCGCAAGTCAATTCGCGTCCTCAATCCCTGTACAGGTGCTCCAGGCTCCTGGGATCCCTCTTGCCAATGGTTCGACAACCCAGCAGTGCTCTCCATGCAAAAAGACAGATGGTACTCTGCTGCGGAACCCCTCGCTGACGGCTCAATCGCCATCATTGGAGGCTTTGTGAACGGAGGATACATTAACCGCAACTACCCAAATACGGATCCAGCATTTGAGGGAGGCGCAGCTGAGCCGACGTACGAGTTCTTCCCTTCCAAGGGGCAAGCAACGATGATGCAGTTCATGGTTGATACTTCTGGTCTCAACTCGTACGCCCACACGTTCCTGATGGCATCGGGGAAGATGTTCGTTCAGGCAAATGTATCTACAAGTCAGTGTTTCTGTCTTCTTTTCGTTCGTCTTTGTAATGATTTTATTTTTCGGCATCAACAGTGCTTTGGGAACCAGACACCAATATAGAGCATCGGCTTTCTGACATGCCGAATGGTGTTGTTCGTGTATACCCGGCATCTGGCGCGACTGCCATGTTGCCGCTCCTGCCAGAGCAGAACTACGAACAGACGATTCTTTTCTGTGGCGGTACGGACATGAAGGACAACCAGTGGGGTGACTACTCTTTCCCGGCCATCAACACATGGGACTACCCTGCCTCGAAGGACTGCCAACGTATTACTCCCGAGCCCACTGACGGAAGTACCCCAGCTTACCAACAGGATGACAACATGCTTGACGGTCGCTCCATGGGCCAATTCATTGCGCTCCCAGACGGCACGCTCTTGGTGGTTAATGGCGGTCGCAACGGCACGGCTGGTTACGCGCAGGCAACGGGTCAAACGCCCAACTTCAGCGATATGCCTTACGGCGAGAGTTTGTGCGCCGACCCCGTGTATACACCGGCGATCTACGATCCCTCGAAACCGGCGGGTTCTCGTTGGTCAGAGGATGGCCTGCAGGCGTCCAAAATCCCGCGATTATACCACTCTAGTGCACTGCTTCTCCCGGACGCGAGCGTGCTTATCGCGGGTTCAAACCCTAACGTTGACGTCAATCTTACAACCGTCTTCCCGACCACATACAAAACGGAGATTTTCTACCCACCTTACTTTGGCAAGACGAGGCCGCAACCGCAGGGTGTACCGACTCAATACACGTACGGTGGCAACTACTTTAACGTTACTGTCCCCGCAAGTTCGTACAGTGGCAGCGCGAACGATGCGGCGAGCAACACAAGTGTATGGCTCATGCGCCAGGGTTTCACTACTCACGCGATGAACATGGGTCAGCGCGCGATGAAATTGAACAACACCTTTACGGTAAATAGTGACGGTTCCTACGTCCTACACGTCTCTCAGCCGCCCCCGAACGCCAACCTTCTACAACCCGGACCAGTTTTCACTTTCGTTACTGTTAAGGGAGTCCCGTCTAATGGTACCTACGGTATCGTCGGTAACGGTCAGCTCGGTACTCAACCGACGGCTGACGTAGCTCCCCTTCCGGACTCGGTTCGACTCGACACTGCTTCTGGCTCTGCAGACCCGAGTAGCTCAAACTCAGATGCAGGCGGCAGCAGTGGCGGCTCAAGCCACACCACCGCGATTATTGGAGGCATTGTTGGAGCTGTTGTGCTCATTGGTTTGCTCGGCGCCGGTATCGGTATCTGCATGAAGAACCGTCGCCAGAATGCTGCCGCTGCAGCAGCTGTAGGTGCATCTGGTGCTGGCATGCCGGGTGCAATGCGTCAACGCGATTCGGACGCGACGATGATGCCCTTACAAGGCGCATACAACAATGGCAGCACAACATGGGGAAGCATGGCAGACCTACGGAGTCCAAGCCCATACAAGGACTCTGGTCGTGCGACTCCGAGTGCAGAATTCGATCCTTACACGCATGCACCTGTGCGCTACTAAACTAATGTGAAAGAGAGAAAAAACTAGGATTTACTTTCATCGTTATAATGTTTTTTGGCTCTCTCGCGTGTGGATAGATTGGATGGACTATTTTACTACTTCACGAGCTATGTTGTTTCGCCCGTTTTTTCCCTTAATTCTTCGTCGCCTTGTCGCTGCCTCCTCGCGCGCCTTGCCACTCTTTGCCTCATCGTCCTCTTGTCATGACCTTGCCTCCGTTTATCCCTGCTAGTTACCCTTCGCATTTCCTCCTTTTCCCTCCCTTCTTTCCCTTGTCGCCGTCGTCGAAGCAACTTTCCGCAGACTCAGAACAAAGTCAACTGGACACCAACCCAGGGTTGTATTTATCCTTCCCTATTTCAAATTATACAACGTTACGGACTCGTCACACACTTGCCTTTACTCCCGCTCCACGCACGCTCGACCGGAATCCATTTACTAGCTAGCTAGTTAGTGTTTAGTGGTAGTGGTAGAAGTAGCTGGTATAGTAGTGTTAGTTATGTTTCGTTTCACTCGCTTGCTTGCTTGCCTCATTATCAATTACTTTCACTCACTCACTCACTCTCGCTGTTTCTTGCTGCGATCACACTCGTTTCTTCTAGTCACTCTTTTCTTGAAAGCTTTATCTGCCCGTAAGAGCTTTGTCTGTTTTTACAGAAAAGCTTTAGCGAGTATGGATGGCTTTATTTTAGCCCCTGTGGGGTGCAAATTAATGGACTCTTCCTCCGCCTTGGCCCCTTTTCTTGCATTACTTTTAGTTTAGCTATCTTCCGCTAGCTTTTTTAGGTTTTGCCTGCCTTCCCGCTTGCACCTTTTATTTTCTCTGCAAACGAAGCGATCCATCTTGCCTTCTACTTTCTTCATTTCTTGCGAATTGAAAATCTCTACCTACAATACATACCAAATCTCTCACTCGCATAAGTATGTATGTGGTGATATAAAGTTTTTGTCGGGGCGTACGTGTGTTTTTCTTTTGGGTTTATTTATGCGTGTTGATTTATGTTATGTGTTGGAGCTGTTGAGCGTTTCAGAAGATTTAGGGTGAAAACATGAGAAGCCTGTGTGGTATGACGAAAGAATATACGTAAGGTCTAAATATGCTTGTGACGCTTTCAATAGGCTTTTCGTATGTGAATTGACGGAACGAGGATAGTATAACGTCATGTTGTAACCCTTGCATCATTCTGTTGAATAGAATAAGTAGTGCTTCTTTCCGTTTATTTAGGCATTCTCGAGTCTATTGCTCCAAGCCTAATAAGTGGTCCGTGTGTGGAATATTGAAACAGATCAAATATGGTACTCCACTCCGCCCGTGTCCGTTTATTATATGCTCGCTCCAGTGTTCGACGAATTATAGTATCAAAACTTCGTTTCAAAAAGTAAATGTAAGTGGCACAGTCAAGCTTACTCAAACAGAGAGCGTACTATTGTTCCAGCTTGTAATACAAAGACGTGAGCACAAGCTCTGTACTAAGATGTACCACCTAGAAAGAGAAGATGCCAGATAAGAAGTGAGTATCACCGAAGTAACGAAGTGAGAGAGGCATACTATTTCGATCCACTCTTTCCCATCTTATCTGTTGGCTGGCTTCCTTCTTCATTATTCACACTACTCGGAAGGTAACCGCCACTACTACCATATTGATCTGCCATACTCAAGTCTTGTACGTCTCCCTGACCAAATTCACCAGAACCTTGTGTACGATCGCCGACGCCTCCGCCGTAATTACCGAACTCGCCTGCGGGTTGTTGGTCTTTGTCGGTGGAGGTTGGGTTGTAGTCCCGGTTTGGGTCACCGCCTCCGATTCCTGTGGAAGTTGAGAAGTTTGGTCTAGACATGATTATTCGCGTGAGGAGGATGTAGATGAGGATTAGAGTAAGACTTGCGTTCTCTGAGCTAAAACTCAGAGAGATGAAGTAGTTTTGTTTCATGACGTCATGGACATTTTTAAACTGGAGCATCATGAGCGCAATGTTGCACAGACGCATATTCTAACTACATAGTCAGCTTGTTTGCAGAGTATCATATGTAACGTTAACAGTTTGCCAATGTCTATCACTGAGTACTCAATGTCAACTGGGAAACATTTTAGTTGAACTTTGGGGGAAAAGAGAAACCAGGGATGAACAAAGAAGTGAATGGATGACCCAGGGAACAATGCACCTTAGTAGTTATTCTATATACATTCTCTGTTCAGGCTACTAGTAAAAACAGCTACTTCCATCTGTACAAGATGCTTACTTGTCATACTGATGATGACCTGGAACATGTAGATGCATTGCAGCCTGCAGGTGATTACTGAACACGGTGCACTTCGTTACTCATGTGGATAGTCTAGCCGATATTTACCTGTATGTACATATGATACATATTTAGCATCGTCCGCCGACACGGCCATGCACCTCAGCAAATTCTCGAGCGTCAAGAATTTGAAAATCCGTAAAAACAGATTGATTATCGCGCTCAATATGCAGATACCCGGTTTAGCGAGGCGTTAAAATTACTCAATATTATCATCTGTGAGCCGATTTGTGCCTTCATTTCTCTTTGTTTTGTATCATCCCGCCGAAAATAAGAAGCTATCCTCATACGGAGGCGCCTCAAACGCATCCTCATCATTACTATCAGCTTCTTTTGTAGATGTCTTGACCTTGGAAGTGCTTGGCAGTACAGATGGT